CCTTTTTGGATTTCTTTGACTTCTCGCTAATTATAAGTCAGATTTCAGTGGTTACTGAGGCTTAAACGACTGAATATTATCAATCATACAGCAGATACCGTTGTGGATACGTCAGGCCTAGGTATACTTGGAGAACCACAGCTAGAGTTTGGGAAGTTTATGGCCAAGAATTACGCAAAGTCGGGTTGGGGAGTCCTCCAGTCTATTGGAGATACTTCAATTCATCGAGGATGGTTCGAGTTCGAGTCTCCTCGGGCAAGAGGAGTCGAAGATACACCCCATCCTTACGTATCGCCAGATGAAGATGTGGATCATAAGGCTAAGGCTGGCGCATGATTGAGGTATTTCTCTTTAGTTCAAGATCTCACCCTTGGTTCTGCAATCGCCTAGATTTGGCTTCTGGGCATGGTTTTGTTTACTTGTATGATACTATCATCAATTGATTTTCACTTTAAATCACGCATTTTTCAACCCAAAGTTCCTCAGCCCACTCGTCGCCATCATCATGAAATTGACTTGTTAAAACCTTGTTTCCACGATGGCGGCATCTCTCCATTTTCTTAGGGAGCCCTTGGCCGGCCATGATACTCCTATACCATATCCTAACATAGTCTGCTGCACTGCTGTAACATTCAATCTCAATACAGAGACACTTTGCGATAGAAACAGGCCGTTCCCCTTCTTTAAGTGGACACACATGTCCGTTGACGAAGCTTTTGATAAAAGAGAGCAGTTGATTAGGGTCGTGTGGCATCGACTCCCAATCTGGATCATCGTAGAAAGTTAAATTAATTGATAAGAAATCCAGATTAAGGCGGCCTTGATGTATGGCATGATCCAAAACGGCGAACCAATCTGATCGAATTTCTTCCTCTTCTCTGTTTTCAAACATTCGAAGATCCAGAGACCGCAGATACGGGAGAGGTTGTAAGACTCCGATTTGTGACACAAAATAGCTTGCAGCATATCGCGAAGATGGTATGTGATCATCGCTGCCGCCGCTGAATACCAGGACGTGTTCCGGGGGTAATATTGAGAACCGATTCTGGCTCCAAAATATCTGCTGCGCAAGGACAGAGAAGGACTTGTTGACTAGGAAAAGCGAGAATGGATTCACATCTTCGGACACAATAAAACCTTCATTTGGGGTCCACTCGATATACATATCGAACTTGTCTTCTTGCTCTGGGTTGGGTGTATAAACTACCTCGTGAAGGATTTTGAGCTTGATTTCCATTGGAAGGTCAAGGAATGAGAGTGGTGCCATGGTGGTTGACTTGATGGATATCATGGATGTTGGCAGATGGTGCACGAGAGAGTATAGATGAATCTAGTGGTGATGAGGAAAAAAGAAGAAAGAAGTCAGAACCACTCCAAGAAACACTAAAATAACTCACTGGGCGCTCTGCCTTCGCACGAAGTGGAAATTGGCCCCCAATAAACCGCATCATGGAGCCCTGATTTTGGGCTACAAACTCCCCATAATTACTTGTGTGCGGTATCATACGTTGGTGCCCAATGGACAGCTTCACAAATCCTTAATAGTTAATTACCAACGCGAAGTTGCAGTAAAAGCTCGATGCCATGGCCTTGGCGCCGACGTCCCGTCCGTATAACTAGTCCAGCGTGACATATCAAGTGACGTGCGCGGAAATATTGAACATGGAGCCTCAGCCTAAGAATTCAACCCTTGGAGCATCAGATATTTTGAGCAATGTCGAAAAGGCTTTTACGGCAAATTGGAAAATCACAGCCCGGAACTATCGTGTGTTGGAAGAAATGTATTCTGAAACCCAGTTTCCCACAAATAGAGCCACTGAGGAGACTATGGCCTCAGCTATTGCAGTCTGCAACTCAGTAACAACGGCCATCAAGGAATACACGAAAACGGCGAGTAAGCTTGATGTTTCACCTGTAATTAAGCTATTAACTGAAGTGACCAAGGCAGCTACCGCTCTTGAGACGGTTCTTCAACAATTGATGCGTAATCATCAATATAATACAGCCCGAACTTAATATCTGGTTTCCTGGTCCGGGAAATGCCCGTAATCATCCAGTAGTGGTTATCATCCAACATAATTACACAAAAACGGTATATTGTGCCCGCTACTCAAGCTCAGACGGTCTCGGGCCGGCATCTAGCTCAACCGGTCCTTTCGAAGTTGAGTCTAGCTCGGCGACTGGTGCATTGTATGCTGCTTTTGTTTGCCACTGTATGAAATCTCCATTGGAAGGGTTGACGGAAGATGCCCTTCGTTTTCTCTGCCGTTCAAAAACGGAAGCAAACTCTCTTGCTTCTGGCTGGCCTACCGATATTCACGTCAGCCCACAATGAAGCTCAAGCGATGGAATGAATGCTTACCGGGAAACGTGAAGACGGCGACATCCGCGTTATTTCTCCAAGAAAGTTCCACCACCCTATTAATTACCAGAGATACATCTATGAAATCCCTCAGAGGCCATTCCACATATTTTCTAGAGTTTCGGTCGTGAAACGTGATAGTCGTATCTGGGATCTTGCTAAGGCCTCTCGACTTTTCCCATAGACAGACCAGTTTATCTCTCGCGAGCAATATGTCTTTTGAACCTCCGACCATCATACAACAGAGGTTCTTCCATGGCGATTGGGTGTTCTTTTTTGCTATCTCAACAGGAAGGAATTTCCCAACGAGCTCGCGCTCCCTGACCTTCATCATGAATTTATCACAGGCTCTAGAGGTCTCGAATTTATATATTGGGTCGAGTCGGTACACGGCGTAGTCGGTAAGTGTCTCAACAGTGAGTAGTTGATCCTCCAAGAAGTCGCATTCTTTCGCGTCTAGATTTTGTGGTGTGTTAGGTATCGTTCCGAATTGAACTATATAGCCGTCGTCAGCAAGACTGATTATTTGTATTTGACGCTGGGCCGATGTAGTATGGTGCTGCATGAATGGTACCTTCGTGAGTTACGACCGTATTTCGGTCACTCGATTCGTACTGGATGGTTCGAAAATTAGATGTATAGTTGCGCTCCAAGATGCTGAACCATTCTAGTTGTAACGGCGGTCGCACGTCTTCGTTCTCGGCGTCCTGAAATATCCTATCACAACGTTAGTACCGGGCGAAAAGACATAGCACGGAAATTGTTCATGTGCGCTGAAGCTGACTGTGCGCTCGTACAATGTAGTGTGTAATTGTGAGAGGCTCGAAGTTGGAAGTAGGTCTCGCCGCGCGGTTGATGGAGGTGAGTAAGGGCTGTGTTGAGGCGAGCTATTGATATTCGCGATGCTGGCATTTGAAGTTCGTCGCCGTCTAGCAAAGTAGAGTTAGAAGTGATCTAATGTTAATATCGACTATATCCTTCGCACACATACCGAGTTCTAGTTTTCAGCATCTCGTGTAAGCGGCTGAGCTTTGTGTTGAGCCGGTACACGTCTGCCTCAAGCGAACTGTTCCAGAAGAAGGTCATCGCGACCCGAGCGGTGGTGCTATTTTCCTCTATCATCTCCATGACCTCGTCAATAATACGAGAGATCCTGTCCAGTAGGTCAATGTCTTCCTCGGGATCAACGTAATCCTGCAGCTCCATAACATCACTCAAAATTTCTCGTAGGTCATCGACAGTTCTACCCAGTCGTTGAGCACGACCCATGTTATTCCTCGCCAAGGTAATGAGCGAGATGGCTGTGCCGACAGCTCCAAAGACCTCCATCTTTGCTGCCAGATTTTGCGCGCCTTACGCGCGCATAGAACAGAGAAAGCAAAATAGTATATCCTAGACATGTAGCCGCCCATACGGCAGCAATAGCTGCGCTGGATGCGCTTGCGCCTTAGAAGAACTGGGAGATAGAAAAGAGCAAGAAAATGGAAAGACAAGACAGACAGAGCGATGACCAAAGACCAGATGAATCTGCGGAGGGGCGCCAGTGCCATGTGGCGACTGGCAGGGCACCCGTCGGCCGCATCATCCGCCCGATGCCCATCCAAGGCAGACTCACAGCCCTACATAGCTATCTCAAAGGGCCTTTCGATCAATATTTGTATGTAGGAAGGGGCTATGTCCTCACTTAGCCACTCCACAAACAGGTTACAGCACGCGCCTGGGTCTGTTTGCGGAGCCGAGGCGTCCCTTGGTCGTCATCTACTTCAGTACTTACGAGAGAATAGTCCCCGCATCCGTCACTTGGTTGGTATCTTATATGCGCATATTGCAGGTGGACGCACCCCCGATGTGACCTCTTCCTAGAGGGAGGGGTGGCTGCCAAGCATCTGACGCTCATGTATAGAAGATGCTTCGACGAATGAAACCACAGCACGATGGCACGGGCTCTTCCAGCTGCAGGCAGGGGTTAGACGAGCACATAACAGGTAGACACACTTCTATTTCCGTGCCATACTTAGCAAGCACACATATGAAAAGTACGGGAAATTAGTAATAAGTGGTGAGACAATCACTACTCTTTCGACACTCCGAAGGGGCGCAGCTGAAGCATGCGCAGCTGCAGCACCGATGTGGCCACCAGCTGAGTCGTTCCAAAGGTAGGGCTGGGGCATAGGATAGGCAAAATAAGGCCTTTGGTTGCCTGACGACTTGCCATGGGACGGCGGTTGCGTGTTTTCCCGACGTAGGCTTGCAGCTGGCGGAAAATATGAACTGCCTGGGCGGCACCACCTCGCAGCCACGAGCTGCCCTGCTCCAACACGATATTCAAGCAGCGTGAGCTACAAGTTGCATGTGTCACTTAGTTGTTCTCTTCATTCTAACCTTTGGTTGGCACCAAAGACCAACCTAATATCTTGCCAGATTGACGAGACTGCTTACTCGGGACCTTTTCTACGACCATGACTGACAATACACAACCCAACCGTGGTAGATGGTGGGACAGGTACAACCCAGCTCCTGATACCGAGCACATTAGAGTACGTATGATAATATTCTCTTATCTTTTATAACTCTTATCTTTTATAATTCGATGACACACAGTCGGAGTATTTACTGACGAGACTCGCTTTGTTAGAATCGCAACGAGCGTGAAAGGGAGATTCTGAGAATCCTTGACTCGATAGGCTTCAACTGGCCCGTCTTTATAGCTGTGTCGGCTGGATTTCTCGCCTCGTCATACACCATCTTCTCAAGTAACATCATCGTTCCAGCTCTCCGCTATGTCTATCCTTCCGAGAATAAGAGCGATCAGTACTATTTTCCCCACCCCAGTTTGACCATTGATATGGTGACGATTGGCACCACCACATTGGGTATGCTCGTCTTTGGCCATCTTGCAGATCTTCTAGGTCGCAAACGGCTATATGGACTGGAACTGATCATCATTATCCTGGGCACGGTTGGGATGATCCAAACCTCTGATGGATTCTCAAACGGTCGTGAACACTCACTTGATCTATACGCTGCCATCGCGACATGGAGAGGGATCCAAGGCTTGGGTATTGGGGCCGAGGCAAGTGTAAATTCTAAGTCAGTGATTAAGTAAGGTACTGACTATTTGGATCAAGTATCCCGTCTCAGCAGTGATTGCCTCCGAGTTCTCCTCCACAGAGACCCGTGGGACCCTCATGGCGGCCATGTTTGGGATGCAATCGCTGGGGAGGCTTTTGGCTTATGCCGTCACACTTGGGGCCGTGAAATCAATACCAGACGACAGATCAGACCACCGAGTTGCCGTTGACAGAATATGGCGCCTTGTGGTTGGCATCAGCGCGATCCCTGCTTTCGCCGCGGTTGGTTTACGCTTTACCATACCCGAAACTCCGCGATACTACACAGGGATCAAGAAAGACCTGAGGAGGGCAGTGCAGGCTGTTGAAAGAGTCGGAGGGCGTCAAAATGATCTCGATCAGGTTCACGAGAGCATACAGCCACCGCGAACCTGGAGGCGTGAGAAGAAGAAGTCCTGGTACTCCAATGCCTTTACATATCTGTTCGGCAAAACACAAGGATGGAAGATTCTCCTTGGTATCTCCTTGCAATGGTGTCTTCTTGATATAAATTTCTATGGCCTAGGGCTTGATAGTCCCTCGACTTTGAATCGCCTTTGGCTATCAAGCCCGCCGGGTGCCAACATGACCTGTCCGGAGGTTAATATTACGGTTCCAGCCCCAGCATACGAATATCAAACGGCCACTCTCACTCTCCAGAACAGCATTGTCACTACACTTACAAAGATTGCTGTCTCAATTCCAACCGCTACAACGACGTCTAGTTTAATGAGCGAGATTACAGTAGCAGCAACCGACCTACCAGCTTGGAACGAAGATGCTGGCAACCTCTGCGCTACAATCCATGAATCCCTTCAAGACGCAGCGGAACGAGCCCTAGAGGTCACATCTGTCGCCTCAATAGTAGGATCTATCGCAGCCGTATTCATCATCAACCGCTACAAACGACGGAATCTTCTAGCATGGACTTGCGGCATCCTCTGTGTGTTATTTTTTGCTGCGGGGATCGCGGTCAAATATGCCACGGAGACGCCCGCGAACGAAGCCAGTTTGGTCTTCTTCGCTTTGACCCAGTTTGTCTTCAACCTAGGACCTAATACCCTAACGTTCATCATCGCGGCTGAGTCTTTCCCGACTCTGTTCAGAGGCACTTTCCACGGGGTGGCAGCGGCCATGGGGAAGGTCGGGGCGCTTATCATCCGGCCCATCATCAACGCGGTGACCCATGGCCAGGTGGGCAAGGATAAAGAAACACTGAGCTCTCTCCTGTTCGTCTTTTGCGGCATTCAGCTGGTGATGGTCGGCATAGCACTCATACCAGCGTCCATGGTAGATGCGCAAGTAGAAGATGAAGAGACCTCTCTGGAGTGGGCGGAGAGGAAGCGCTGGTTGTGGCTGCTGTTTGGAAGACTGTATAACAAGTCGTTGGAGGAAATCGCCCCAAATCCGGAGAGTTCCCCAGAGAGACGAGACGTGGAGATGGTGCAGATCAAGACCGATCGGGGGGGAAGAGTCCGAGACCGAGACCCCGATGTGCCTCCGTTGGTAGTATAAACACAATCTCTATTTCGGTTCTGAATCTATCTAGTTGGCGTATCTATTATCCACGGGTAGTGAAACAAATCTCTCAGATCTGTAGATTTCAAGTATCCTATCATTGCCGGGCCGCAGGCGATTCCATTTTTACTTGTTCGATTTGCCAAACCACTGCTGGGCGAAGTAGACCACCGGGATGGGAGCCATATCAGGAGGGGGGTTTGTCCTATACTGTTCGTAGCCGAAAGGAGCCATCGACCACCAGAACCAAGCTGCCACCCAAGTATATCCAATCACATACCGCAGGCTTTTAGGCAGACTTTGACCAACCAAGGCTTGGATGGCCCCCTCCAGCATGATTCCCAGTGGTTGGAGAAGAAAAAATGTGACTACCCCAAAACGACCTTTCTCAAGGCCATCCATCTCGACTTCCATAACCCAATGAAGCGCGCCACTTACCAAGAAAGGGAAGAAGAGACGGGCGAACCGAGAAAGAAAGGTGCCATGTTGAAGAGACAAGATCCTATCCGAAATGAAGTTCCCATGAACGGAGACAGAATTTCTCAGCAATTGATGCCAGCATTGACTGTTTCCCGCAAGTTAGTCAAGTGGACGCTCTATTACTAAAACCATCTACTCACCTCCACAACCCGCGAACTGTATGGGCAGATGCTATTGGGCCAAAGATCGGCGGCCACGAATCGGGTTCGCTCATGCCGGTTGCCACCATTATCGTAGCAGCCAAGTAATACATGCAAGTTGCAGATAGGCTGGCAACGACGGCGAACAACAGGACTACACTGAGCCGAACAATCGCGTCTTCCGCAGAAAGATTCCAAAAGGCATAGAGCGTCTCCTTGCCCGGTGCCATCAGATGCGGCTCAGGCTTGGGCGGCAATCTCAGGATAGCGTCGATGGCGGTCGAGGTCAGAAGGGTCTTGAGGGCGGCCCAGGCCACAAATTGAACACGGCCCTGCGGCTTGCTGGGCCTGGAAACACCTCTCACCTCCCACTTAGTGTTGATTCGGCGCAGATTGAAGAAGAGGCGGAGGGCTTCCCACAGCGGCTGAGCTGGCCCCCGGTGCCGAGCGAGTCGAGCCAGCTCAGCTGCATCAACGCGAGTGATGAGCATGAGATCGACAAGGCTCAGGTAGTGATTCCATATCAGCGGCCCCAGAACCCTCAGCTGAGTGCTGGTGAAGAAGCGGGCGCCGGAAAGGTAAATGCAACGCGTCAGCACAGCAAGCGGGAGCGCGGCAGCGAGACGAAGAAGCGAGGCCTTCCTCGGCGTGTACACAACCACGCCAGCGAAGATACTGGCATGAACCACGCCCAGCAGCAGGAACTGGGCAACAGAGTTGACGGGTCGCTCCATTGTTTGATGGGAAAGGACTGATTGCCGGACTGACTGACCGTCTCCTTGAATTGGTGGAGCCTTGATTTGTTGGGCCACGCTAGAAATTTTGAGATTACAAGATTACACATGTCAGCTTTAAGGCTAGGGAAAGCCACCGCACTAATACTGGGTTAATGCCAAACTGCATAAGCCCTAACTCCATCATCCATGCAGGAATGTCTCAAACATGGGCAACGGGCTTTGCTGTGTGGCGATCTCTGTGAGTCGTGGATAGCGATGCTTCTCGGTTTTCTCTATCCTACACTATATGAAGTCTTAACCACACATATACTCACAAATTGAACTATATCACAGCTAACCAAGGTGAGCTTATAGTCAATCCGCTGGCTGGCATGCAGCTCGTTTTAACAGCCTACCCTGTAGAGATGACCTCTCAATTGATTCTGAATCAGAGCGAAGAAAATGGAAGAAGGATGATATGAATTTCCAATGCCAGATCAGAGGCAGAAAAATATAGGTTCTCGGGGAACTTAGACAAGTTCATTACATTTTCTTAGCTGTCAGTGTGCTGGGGATAGAAACCGACACGATGATCTATAAACAAAATTATAGGTAAAGACTTATGTCTTTCCACGTCCCCTTGGACCTTGTGCTGACACCATGGTTGATTCTTGAATTGATAATTGAAATAATCTTTTGAGATTTTTTTAGCCTTAGAGTTACTTTCCCGCTGTTGGGGACCATAAGGTGGAAACTCGTTTTCGAGTTTAAGATGGGATGTGATAGAGGGTTTTCCTTCAATATTCGGCTTATCCTATAGTTGTCGCTACAACCATTCTTAGTAGGTATCTGAACTCCAGCCTTTACCCAGCCTGGAACAACGATAAGATATGCACAGATAGGACTTGACTTGCTCCGGTTGCAGTTTTGCGGACTTGACTTTTATTCTGTGATCCTAAGATTGTGTAGCTGAAAAGTACAAGTTTTCGCAGAGAACGATCTACGCAATGCCTGACTGTTGACAAAAGAAAAGAGAAACGCTCTTACTCAATAGCCAAGCTTCCAAACCACATTACCAAAAAGCCTCACTCTCCTTACTGCTGTTGAGATCCCTGGTGCCCTTCATATGCCGGCTGCCATTGAAAATCCGTCTGCCCTTGTGATCCTTGATATGGCTGCGTGGCTTGGTATCTCATCTCTCCCTGTCCCATCTGCCCCTGCAATGCTTGATACGGCTGCTGGGTTTGGAATCCCGTCTGCGCTTGTTCCGTCTCCCCTTGGAATCCCGTAAATGTCTGCTGGGTTTCGGATGTTTGGAACTCTTTGAGTGGGAGAGATCTGTTGCCTGGTCGAAGCGGGACTAATAGATATACCTGGACTGGCAAGACTGGTAGTGGACCTGAAGGTATTGGCGTTACCGTCAGCGGATATAGCTGAATTGGTATCTTCTTCAGAAATTCGTTGATTGGTTGATCTGCCAGGGCTGTTGAGAACCTTGAAGCATTGGGTATACCGCCGCTTAGGTCGACTGACGTGTTCGTAGGCGCATAATACTTCTCAAAATCTTTTGTCACCCGGCCCTCGTAAATCCCCATCTCCATTGGGATTTGGGGGCCATCCCAGCGAATAATTCCATCCTCGATTCTATGCGGCTTTGTAATTAAGTCAAAGAAGTGGAAGGGGGGTTTGGGGGCCATCAGTTGACCTGCTACTTCATATTCCACAACCTTCTTCAAGTTGATCATGGAGTTTCGTGCCCACCTGATCATACATTGCGTCCTAGAATATTTTTAGCGAAACGGAATAAGGAGGACTAATGACAGAACGAGAAGAAGTAAAAAGCAGGTGCTTTGTTTTAGAACTTACACAAAGTCGCGAGATCCCATTGTTTTAGCGCGCACCCCGGACCCAATTTCGTAATTTCTGCCATTCACGAACGTGCCCAAATCTTGTCCACGATCCCGTCTGAGAATCTGCAGGTACTCTTTCACGCTGCGACTCTTTTTTGCTACATCGAATCGAAGGGAGCAGAGATGCGCGCCATGCAAATATGGAGTGCTGAGAGTAATTGATGATCCGAAGTTGTCGTAGGTAGTTAGCAAATGGGAATTCATTCCCAGAACAATTGTTTTTGTCTCGATTGGAAGCCATCCGGGTGGAAGGCACCCGAGTGGCACAGCGCTCTCTATCTCTAGTGTTAACTCGGCATGTGGTTTAATGTCTCTGGACTGAGTGAATACAACATAAATGTTGATAACACGTTGCGTCAATATGGGGGCCAATGGGCCGATCAGATCAATGAGGTCGATGTACTTAAAGTTGGAAGCGCAAACTATGCCGGCGAAAGCTGGGTCGACGGATGCCATGGCTGCGGTTCTAGTTTCCTGTATCGAAGCTGGGTCGGCGGATGCCATGGCTGCGATTTCAGTTTCTTGTATCGAAGCTAGATTGGAAGGGAATTTCGATGGCCAACATGGGAGGTAGCGCTTATTTATACGTTTCCTGTCCTGCGGTTCATCCGGCTTAGGAAAAGGAACATGTACTTCCTACATATGTTTTGAATACTCTGAGATTGAGTTCTGAAAGTACAGTGAATCACTCAACAGCCAATGATTTTCTAGCCAACGTAAGAGTACTTGTATTCATTCATCGCAGGGGTTCTAATAGCAAGCCAGAAAATAGTTGTCATGAAGTATATACTCTTCTTAACGAACCTGGTTTGAAATGTGAAAGGATACACGGGAATTGAAGTGAAACCTTTTGGCCATTCACGTCACAGTATCTGAACAAGCAAGCAACAACGATCTGTGAAGGAACTACGAAGACCATCATTGGGATTTCGAGCTATACTTGTCTTGGCGTTAGATTGAATATCGACATGAAGAATAAAGGGTTGTGAATTTGAAAGGCCATTGGGCCTAGTCGGTGGTGGTGATGACTTGATTGTGGAAGGCAGAGGTTATGTTCGCATTAGAACACTGCTTAAGAGTAGCTAATGTGGACGAAAAAACGATGATAGCAGCATTTGATCGCCTGCACTTAACTCTTACAAGCCCCCGTGGTGTACTACAATGGGGAGATCATGGACGAACCGGTAATGTGATCATGACAGACCTCTGGCGTGAAGGAATGCCTGTACATGCAGCACCATATATATCTGTGCTATGGGGCGTAGAGACTTTTCTTACTACGGCTGTATCTCAGTTGGCATCGTTGTAGCATTCCATAGTAAGAACGAAGTAATCCAAATAATAGATTTGGGCCCTTGTTGAGAGCGGATGATCTTGCACATATATTTCCTCGGTAGCACCATCCTAGTTTTGGGTTTTATGTTTGTATCAGATTCTTCTGTTTGGGATTAACTTGCTCATTGTTGAATTCTGATTCTCTGTGCCCGTTTGGTCCATCAACAAACCATCGTTGACGCTGTATTTTCCCCAACTCGTTTTCACCAATTCGTGAAGTGGGTAGCAATGTTATTAGAGATTGGGCCGCGGCGATCCATTGTTGTTCTGAAAATTTAAGGCTTTTAAGCTTTGCGCTCACAGAAACTCGACTTTGACTATTTATGGCTTGTTGAATAATATCAGCCTAAGCCACCCAGTTCTCATTTATTAATTGAGCCTCCAAATCTATCGATATCTTGGTGCCAGTTAATGAGAGCCGTCTACGTTCGTAGGGTTGCAAAAAGCTTTTCCATGCATAGGAAATAGTCCGAAGTCGCTTTGTGCCAGTCAACACATCCTTATCAAGCTATTGCCCGGGGTTTTGAAGACAACATGAGTCCCTATCCCGCAGTAGGTGTTATGGCTCTCGGTTGTGTGCTGGATATGCACGAAAATGCGAATGGCAGTTTCGTAACTGAAGTTCGCGACTGAGGTTTTGGCAGCATGAGTGTGAATGATTTTCCTTGTCAGTGATTTATAGCCTCTACTGTCTGGATGTATCACAATCTGTCAGATGAATGTTAACTGAGGCCAATCATTCCACCGCTCGTATGTTCGAGCGTCGTGAAAGAGAATATCATCCGGAAATTGGTCACATTCAGAGCGAAGGTTTCATAATCATCTTAAGTGCTATTTGTTCTTGCCGCACATTGCCAGCTCTGATTCAGAGTCGGAGTATGAAATCTGAACAGGAAAAAATGAAATACAGTCAATATCTCTTTGATTTAAGAGATCTGAATTGGTAGAAAATCGTTGATGGCTCATTCTCGACGACTCCATCCATCACAAGAGAAAACGTTTTTTGGCCAAGGTAAAAGACGAGAATCAAGCCGATATTTGTCCTAAAAACTCATACCAAACGGTGGTGATGCATTTTGGATTGGTAAAGCCAGAATATCTACGAATCTTCAATATCGTTGAGTAAGATAGGGTAGGTCAATAAGCTTCCGGGATGGCTCAATAATGTTAAGGTCCAAGTCTTGCCATCGCCATTGCCTCGGGTTTCAGAGCACAGAGAGTATAGATTTGGTCAATTTTTAGTTATTGACACGGTTTCGGTACAAATGCTAGATACTTCATTCTCCAATGGGACTAACACAGCTCTTTGCTAAGTTACATGACACATCCTTATTGAGATATAATTAAGATATGTTCCATGGAGCGTACGGAAGCCGTATACCTCTGTACTCTTTGACCCGGGCAGCATCGTTCACAAGAAATCCTGGCACCATCGGAATATCAATAGTCATTTCTAGGGTGCTTCCTTCGGTGCGTGAATGCGTATATCCCTTGGCGATGAACCTGTGGAACTGCAGTGGGAGGTTATCGCGTCTGAGAGTGTACGCTGACTTCACTTCAGAAGCATCCCAACCCATTAATTGATGTTCATTCAGCCTTATTACCCATTGGGTTCTAGTTACTAGTTAGCAGAAGCGAAAGATACAAGGAAAGATATTCAGAAAATGAAAAATAGTTTTTCACGCTGTTGGATGCTAGATCTTTGATAAACGTACACAATGTCACGGCATCCCTCTGTGATAGGAGGCTTGCCAAATTTGCAAGAAACGAATACAGATAAATCTGCTTCTCGAACATTCCCTCTAAGGGCCTTGATGAAATCATGAACCGCAGCATTCCTCTGCGATACATCAAATTGGAAAGAAGCGAAACATCTTCGACGGTGGTCGCTGAATGTTAGAGGGCGAAAGGTAACGGATGTCTCTTTGTTGTCTGAGCGGCTTGGGTTGGCACCGATGCTGCAGGATAGTATTGTTTTGAATTTGCCGCTGTCTTCAAGTAGGACTCCGTTCTCAAGAACCAAACGGAGTTCTGTATGAGGCCTTGAGCCTTCTCCTGGGGTGAACTCAACATACGTTTTTACTACTCTTTGAGTAAGAATCGGTTCTAGATCTTCGCAGTCAAGGACATTCATAAGTTTGCGATCTTCAATATGGTCAGGGTTCATTATGTGGATCGATGTCGTATTGAGTCTTTCAGGAAGTTGTGGATAAATTTGTTAGCTGTTTGGCAGCTGTTTGGGGTCGCAGGCTGCGCATATTTATGTCATAACTTGAACAGTGATTCACCACTGAGTTCCACAGTATAATCGCTCGTCTCGACCGAAGACTGCAAGCAGGCTAGTTACTGCTTTGCTTGCATATTGAGGGCGGTAAAGGAACAAGCAATCAGAAACACTCACAAGAAAGGACCAGATGAAGTAACTTGGACTGGCAGTGAAAGTGGGAGGCAATAAGTAAAAATACTCTGAGCTGGTAAGATTTGTAAGGCGAGATCTACATTACGAGACAAGGACTGGCAATCGTCGAAGCAAACAAAGAACATTTGGGAAAGATCATCCACTGCCCTCGCATCACTGCCTTGATCAAAGTTCTTAAGTCGACTTCCGGGGCGATATTGGACTCGAAGGGTAAAGCTAGGTCACAGTTTGTGCCGATTGAGTTCCCTTGATGAGAGTTGCGGTTAAAACGCGTATTTCCAAAACCTCGTAATAATATGTTGGAGTCGCACCAGAACCTTGGTGGGACCATGGCCGGGCATGATTTCCTATTATGCGGACCAACAGTACTCTTGTCTATAAGGCAACCGGAAAACAGATCAAGTATCACTATACATCAACCTGCAGAAATGACACCAAGCGTGCTGATAGTAAAATATACAATAGACTGGCATATGAAAGGCGGTAAACAACATAACTTCAAGACTTCAGAACTCCTAGCAATGCATCTCGATCTCAAACACAACACAAATGGAATTCTACACCGTCGTCTTGGTCTAAACCATCAAATTTTCAACTGTCTAGTCACATTCCGCTTTTTAGGGTTTCCAGACAATGGTAATGCATAAGCTGGTGTTGTAAAAGCGTGACCTTAACAGCATCAGTATGGATCGGAACGAGGAGCGTCCGACGTAAAGCATGCTCTCAATCATGATAGTCTCGTCCAAAGAAGGAAAATAAAATCAAAACATATCATTGATAAATATATAATTATACACTATCAGACTTTTGCCGAGGACGATGTCTCTGCATTTGCTCAATCCCAAAATGAGCACATGGCAGTTAGAGACACTATTAACATCACCATCCATACACGAGCCCAGTGTTCTTCTGGCATCCTTAGAAAAATGGCCATCTCTGAATTCAAACATCTCATAATCTTCTCATGTTCAAGAGCTTGCGTATTTATTTCATTCTTCAGCAATGAGCATTTGTTGATACGGCAGGACCCAAGATGGGGAACGGAATTTATAGAATCGATCAAAATCTTGGTCAAGAAATTCCCCCCTGTACATGGGGATATCCTGAGTCATTCGGATAGTTCCGTCTTCAAGTTCATCGTAACCTTTGGCGATGAACTCATGAATTCTTAGCGACAGATTTTCCGGCATAACAAGTCTGCCGTGCGACTTCACACACTTAGCCGTCAAGCCCACGAAGCCCGTCTTATAAAGCCTAATCGCCCATTGGGCTCTGCGCCTTGATTAGCTAGAAGCCAGAGGAGAAGCAGACTATGAGGAAGTCAAAAACCTAGGAATAAACTTCGAAAACTTACACAACATCACGGGACTCATAGTCCAATTTGTCTCCCAGGTTTGGCATTCGCACAAGAGAATCGAACTGCAATAGGTTTGTGGAATGACAAGGGTATTTTCTATACTTCCCACTCAGTGCAGCAAGATATATACCAACTCTAGCCCTTTTGTGACGTGGGAAGATAAAAGACGCGAGACTGTGCATATTGCCATAACTTGCCTCCTCAGTACGCAAAGTGCATGTAGAGTAGATTCCGAGATGTGGGCGGGGCACTAGGTGGGAATTCGAGCCCATGCTACAGGCATATACCATCTTAGTTCCATCGTCTTCGGTTAGCTCAACTCCTTGGGCAAGAATTAACCTGAGCTCTGCATGAGGTATATCAGGCCCGCCATTCGTAAACTCAATAACGACTTCTTTCACCTCTTGCCGAAGTAAATCCCAAGGGATTTTTGAGCCGTTGCTCATGTCACCGAGTCTATAGAGCATATTGGGATTAGTTATTGGGGTTGGAAATAAGATGGTTTCTAAAAATTATTAACAATAAATGGGTGGCAATGTGCTACATTATAGTGTGCCTTCAGATTGCAGTAGGATGCCTCTTTATATAGATAGATATGATTCTTGGTTTCATATTGCTTTTTCTATATTAAATTGGTGGATCGTATACGTTTAGGCCCTTCTTTGTTTGAGATAAGTTCGTGAACAGTCAGTGTTTGCCATCTTCAAGATGTGCGGCAAGGAATGTGGGTTTGAAGAAGTCGGAATTAGTTGAGTTGAAATGCGCTCTAATTCTATGTCTCAAATGAAAACTATTCTTGATCAAAGAGAACGGAATTTATCATGCATTGACAGTTGGGCAATCTAATCATTGGGCTTTAGGGAAAATGTGATTTGGTACTTCTGTGTTGTGCAGGCGAAGAGAATAAAAAAATTGTGTGAAAATGTAACTAAGGAACCCAAATGAATTTCAGAAGAATAAACAGCGAGAACCAAGTTTTTTTCTTTTCTGGACTTGAAGGCATTGTGTCTGTGGTTTCCCTAGTTCGCGAACAAAGCGGCATAGCCCTTGAAGATAAACAAAGCCGCCTTCTAGCGAGAGATTGAGGAACTCAGCCAACACAAATAATGAACACAATACATACAGGCTGGGCCACCGAATATTTCTCATGCAATTGATCCAAGAAGCAGCTTTGAGCCAGAGAGCAACTCCCTACGTATGACTAAGCCTAGTATTATCCAACGATGCAATGCACAAAATTTCTATTTGAAGGTCAAATTTGATACGCCTTCAGAAAGAAAAGTACATTTAGTATAGAAAATGGCAAGGTACTGATATCAGTTAAGCCACTAGAGACTCTATATATTCTTCTAAACCTCTTTGTAGAGAAAATTACGCACAGAAAGAAACCCAACGATTATCACATTCACACGCCCTAAGACAACAACACCCTCGCCACATTTCTTGAGTCTTGGATTCTGATCCACCTGAAAGCAGCTTGTTGATAAATTAGTAAATAGTACCAACGTCTACTCCGTATTCGAGAGAGGGATTTATTTGATTAATCAAGGCTGCTTAGCTAGTTACCGTGGATATAACTATTGACGTTGGGCAGCACAGACGTACAGGGCGATTTGTAGCACATTTCCTTACCTATCTGTTTCTAACTTCAATCACAAATTACGCATTAACACGACTTCACTGTCCTTCGGTACAGCCAAATACTACTTTTATGTTTTTTATTTGCATCTTCGTCCCTCTTAGTCCCTTTATATAAAGGGGCATCAAAATATTACGTCGAGAGTGACAGTGGCTTATAGGCCTTTTTAACAACCCATGTCGAAAAGCTCGTCAACTCAGACGCTTTTCCCTAAGAAAAAATCCCGCGAGAAAACACAGAAAGCTTAGGATGATGCACAGAATGAACATTCCTCGGAAACTCTGGAGATAGGCGTCCACGACGAGTTCGTGAGCCAAGCCTTCCAGTTTTTGGACGTATTTAATATCTGAGAGTGCCTTTTCGACCACCTAATTATCACGTTAGAGAATGGAAGATTAACGAATTAGCGCTCAGATAATCTTACCGCTTGAGCGTTCGGTACAACGCTAATCAAGGATTTCTCTAAAGTCGGCCGTAGAACGGCTTGCATAACGGCACTTGCAGCAGATATACCGGTTACAGCACCGACACTCGTGCTAAGATAGATACCAGAGCTCGCGATGGCCATGTGTTCTTCGTCGACCCCAGCTGCGATGGCCACAAAGATGGCCGAGTGCGCGATTCCGGTTCCAAATCCGCCGAAGAAAACCAAGAGGGACTGCCAAATCGGTGTCTTTCCATTCCAGAAAGATAGGAGAAGCACGAAGCAGAAGCATGAGCTCACAGGTGCCAGGATAGTGGCGAGTTTGTATCGGCCGGTATTCTTGATCGCTCTACCAGTAAGGAGTCCTCCGATAGCGTTGCCAGCAACTGTAGGGATCAATTAGGCCCCTGCTTCACCAGTACTTGAGTTTTGAGTTACTTGAAAATACAGAGGAATGACGAAGACGAGCTAGGATGGCTTAATAGGAGAACATAACTTGAGGGAGTTATGAAAACATACCACACATTGGGTTACATTCTGCAAGGTGGAAATGAAGTATGGCGTCAACACATTTCTGTTTGAAAGAAGGTGAAGAGGGAAGATTGGCTAGGTGGCCCATCTCTTCTCGGTAACGAGAAACAGAACGCCAGCGGCTACGCTAGTTCCTAATAATATGAAGATTAAGGGAGAGCTCCACGGAACCTTCTCACCTCCCACGTCGAGAATGAGAAGCAATGAAAGGACCGAGATGCTCATGAAGAGTGCGCCGGCAAAGTCTACATGGCGCAGGCTCTGAGTAAGAGTGGACTGCGGAGCATCATCCCCTTCCTGGCTTCTATTTTGCTTGTTGTCGATATTCGGGCCAACGGTCATGAGGCCCATGGCAACTAAAGTCAAGGGAGACTGAACTGAGAGGGCCCTGCAATCTTGTGGTTAAGAAATCTTTCATCACACTTCAATCATGAGGGGAATGTACTAACCATCGCCAGCCGATTGCCTGAGCAAGGAAGCCTCTAATAGCACCCCCTGAAGATCGGCCCATGGTTTGAATGATATTCACATAGCTTCTGTACGTTGCCACTTCTCTGAGTGGGATCAAATCTATTAAAGTCAGCTCCCCAATTCAGTGAAGGGTGGAGATTTTGCGCATACCGGTAATGATGATTGACACGAGACATACCATCCCAGCACCACCCAATCCTTGGATAGAGCGAGCTACGACAAGTTGCAGAATCGATTGCCCAAATCCACTTGGGTTTCGTTAGTGTAATTCGGCTCTCTGAGAAGATGGTGGACTTACCATAACAGACTACCCAAGGCGAACAAGCCATAGGAGACTTGTAGCATATTCTTCCTCTCGAAAATGTCGCTTAATTTTCCGTACTATAGACAAGTCAGCATGTTGCCATACGAGTCGGCAGCGACAAACCGTCCTCACCAGAGGCTGCGCTGTACACATGGCAAGCATGTAGCTCGATATCAACCAGCTCCCATTCTGCAGGTCGTTGAACTCGGAAGCAATGGTTCCATAGGTGGCAAGTACCAGTGTTGCATCGGCCTGAGAAATAAAAACGCCTAGGATGCGTATATTAGAGTAGAGTCTACAAAACTTGCCATCTAATCATACCTATAAGTAGCAGTTGCAGAGTAACGAAGATTGATCGAGAGCTCGAGGCTTTCTTTGCCGAAACTTCGTCGTTAAATGCCGACCCAGTTTCAGGATCGCCGTTTTGCTGGTGAGTCTAGTCAGAGATTATTCATTGGAATGGCGGCGGAAGGTTCCATTTGTTACCTCGATGTTCTGTTCCCTAGGGGTGAGCAGCGCAGTCCTCTCATCAGGGATCAACTCCCCTGTGAGCGGTACTCCGAGGGCTGATTTTGCCTGCACGGGATGCAGTGAATCTCCCATCTTACCCATGGTACCAGATCTTAAGTTTGGGGCCACGTTCGACTTCCAAAATGGCGGCAGGGTAGCAAATAAATCAATGAACCGTGTGTGTCAAACATCTTTGAAAACCCACTCTCATCATCCTGACTTCCTGGCAAGGGACCTCCGACTGGACAAATTTCACCCCTGTTGTTACAATTCTCTACTATCAACATTCGCTATCCCGGCACTCCAACTGTCTTCTACCATCCGCCCGACCCGATAATCCGTGCGGTTTCGCAATCCGTGTGCGTAGAACGATGGCGTGCGAGCGGGTCCGAATGATGAACAAGGGAAAGACCCATAGCTGAGCATGCGGCATCTGTCATGTTAGAGTGCTGGGTGCAATCCTCGCCGTCCTCTTCTACTCTCCCAAACAGCCCGATAGCGGTAGAGAGAAGTTACTTGCCAGGATCTGTACACTGGATGCCCTGTAAGACAATGACGTGCTTCGATGGCGGAATTGAACAACTTCCAGCTCACTGCTTTCCCAGGAGTGTGGTTGGGCCTTGGCTTCCAACACCCCCGCACGAGTCATGTTAGAGGTAATTCAATATCAATAGTATGAACATGTCCGGCTCTTCACAGCCGCAGATTCGTACACCGCAGGTCATTTCCCATATTGGAACCAGGTTGCTTAATAGAACACATGAATCCGGTGAGACAATTGCGGACTCCGTCAAACCAACTATCCTGCTGCGAAGTGCTCATATTTCCAAACTGAACACCAAACCCTGATTCGTTTCGGGTCCACGCCATAAAAATGAGCGAGCACGAGAACGAAAAGCATGTCAGCAATGTCTTAGTTGATTCCGAGGTTTCTGCCCACGGTCAGGAGTCAATTCAGGCCCCTTATTGGTCGCCCGAGCAGGAGAAGAGGCTTGTTCGTCGGTAAGGAGGTGTCACAGTCCGTATCTTCGTCTTATAATTTTAAAGCTGATGAATTCTAGGATTGATATTGCGATCATGCCATTGTTGATTCTCGGCTTTGCTGTTCTACAACTCGATCGCTCAAATATGTGAGTCGACGTGCTACTCATTGTTTTGGTAGCTTTTGCTTACCCATTTTCAAGCGGCAACGCCATGACCGACAATTTTATGAAAGAAGTCGGCATTACCCAGTTCGAGTACAATGTCGGCAACCAACTCATGTACCTCGGCATTGTTCTATTTGAGATACCTAGCAATCTGGTCTTGTATAAAGTCGGCCCTGCTATCTGGATTGGGTTTCAAATCGTCGCCTGGTTCGTACCTGCAGCTTCTGAAACACTGCAGATAAATGCTAACAGCCAAAAAGGGGGCTGGTAGCTACATTCCAGGCGTTTATCAAGGGACATGGATATGGTCCATACATTGCAACGCGATTCCTTCTAGGGCAAGTTATGGCACACTCCTCCACTTCCATGTTTATTGCTGACAAGTCTTGATTTTCACAGGATTTGCGAATGTGGCTACATACCTGCTGGTCTGTACACTATGACACGATTCTACAAAAAAGACGAAATCAGCAAGCGATTCGCCGTGTTCTTCTTGGGCAACATGGTAGCCAACGCCGGAGCTGGACTTTTAGCGTTCGGAATGTAGGTCTCTCCATTTAAGAGGCTCTTAAGTTCATCCGATTAACCTTTTTGAAGCCTAAGAATGAGAGGGCTTGCAAATCTCTCCGGTTGGCAGTGGCTCTTTCTTGTCTGTGTGCCATCTCCCTGTAAAATCATCTACTGGCAACTAACCTTCGCAAAACAGCTTGAAGGAATGCTGACAATTGTCATCGCGGCTCTTTTCATAACGCTATTCCCTCGATCGACTTCCAACCCGGTGTCTCTTGCCGGCCTGCGACATTTCACCGAAGAGGAAGCCCACATCATCACGCAACGGGTTTTGCTCGACGACCCCACGAAGAAACATGCACACACTCACGTCAGCCGAGAAGAATTGAAGGCAGTTGTACGTCGAACCCTGTTTAAAATGATATTCTCGATGATTGGATGCTGATAACATTTAAACTGCAGTTCACCAATTGGAAACTCATCGCCCATGTCATGACTACCCTTGGCAGTCTGTCCGCCATCGCCTCTTTGGCGTCCTTTGGTCCCTCGATCGTCGCGTCCTACGGGTATAAAGCCATCGAAGCGAACGCCATGAATTCGATCGGTTACTGGATCCTGATCCCTGTTACCCTTCTCTGGGGCTGGGCCGCGTACGTAACGCCGGCTACGCAGGTGTTGACCGTTATTTGCTAACATGACGCAGTGATAAATGGGGAAAGCGTGGGCCCATGGTCATATTTGGCACTTTCATCAGCTTCATTTTCCTAGTGAGTCCCTTCGTCCTGTGATACGGGCTATGTATGTCACTAATAGAGTCCGGTAGATTGCTCAGCGCTGTATCGCCGAGACTGACAAGGTTACGACCAAGTATGCCATCATCACTGTCATATACGCATTCAGCTTCAACTGGCGTAAGCAACCGAAATCTTGAATAATTTGCTTAGAGCTTTTCTAACTACTTCGACAGATCCGATTAACGGCTCCTGGATGGCGCTGAACGCAAAATCAGCCGGGGAACGGTCCATAACTATGGCAATCCTCATCATGGCTGCTAATGCATCCGGTATCGTAGGCGGACAGATTTTCCAAGCCAGTGATGCACCCAACTATAAAGTGGGATGGTCAGTGTCAGTGGCTTTGTCATGCATAGGATTTGTCTCTTCTGTCGTAGCGAATGTGCAGTACTGGAACCTTAACCGCTTGAACAAGAAGAAGGGAAACATCGGGCTTGTTTATCATCCATAATGGGAGACAAGGAAACATCTAGATGGTTATGGCGGAGACTCAAATCGAGGATATATAGAACAGTGTGCTTTTCCAAGAGTATCTCTTTAAATTAACAACCCTGTTAAGCGAGCCATCCTACGTTTATTTTATCCATCAAAATCTCTTTTTGAGTGAGGTAAACTTTTTAGTATCTACGGACCAGCCACCTACAAGTCCTTGCATCGCCCGATGGAGTGTCTAAAACCACAAACCCCTCACATTGTGGTCTAGATACAGAAGACATAGACAACCGAGGTATCTACTTAGACTGTCACCCTCATGGTGGCCAGTGAGACGCCTCTGACTCTCGCTCGCCCTACTGTAACTTCCGGTTTGACCATCATTCATCCAATATCTAAGTCCAATCACTCCACTTACCCCTGTTCGCACCATTCTCTACACTGCGCTTCAACTCCGCGTCCTGCCACCACTTCCAAGACCCCCCAGCCGCTTCGTCCTCGGCTCCAAACTTGTTCACGTCAAAGGGCCCCTCGTTCTCCCTAAAGTACGCAACCTCACACTTTGCAAACGAGACCTTGGGCTGCTGGGCATAAAAGGTGTCGAATCTAGCCTCCAAGCTGTCCAGAAGACTCGTCATGTCGCCTGCTGGGTGCAGCTCCCTCCATGGCTCGATGCATGATCGACCCTTGCAGCTCTTGAGAACCATCATCAGCGCATCAAGACGAGGCACGATCTGTTCGAAAGAGCGACCAGCAAGGGTGTAGTAAGCTGATGAATGCTCTTCGGCGAGTAAATTCTTAGTCTCCCCAGAGTCCTCCTAAAGAATAGTCAGTTGCTAGTGGGCGTGAAAGGCGGCGCGTGCTATCTACTCACCTTGAGGTCATAGAATTCCTTCTCTCCCGTGCACCAGACCGAGTAGTAGAGGTTATAACTGTCGCCGATGACTCGGATGGCCTTGTAGGTGTTGTTCCCGGCCGCGTTTCCGGGTACGTAGAATCCAGGATCGCTCATGCTATTGTTGGCGTACCATCCAAAGAGGCCTTCGGGGATGGCCAGGCCCCAGTACTCGATGGTGACGTGCTCGTGTCGCGACTCGCTTTCGGACTCTTTGGTCAAGGGGATAGGCGGTCCGTCGGTGTCGGGAACGGACCCGCCTGCGAGGTGCATGATGGTCGAGGCGAGGTCGGTGTGTGCGGTCACAGCGTCGGATATGTGGCCAACAGGGACATTAGGTCCACGCTTTGAAAGGAAGAATTAGCATTAGTTCTACCAATCTTTGGGATGTGAAAGGGGAGCCACTTACAACAATCAAAGGGATGTGCACATCAGTGTCAAAGCCGCACTCCTTGCCAGGATGCATCCTGTGCTGACTGATATGATACCCGTTGTCCGTCGTGTAGAATATGTACGTATTGTCCAGCTGCCCAGCCTCATCAAGAATCTTGACCATCTTCTCCACCATCTCGTCGACAGACTGGAGGGATCGGAGTCTGGCACGCTGGAACTCATCGTTGTACTCAATGACGGTGTCATTCAGTCGAGGAAGGTCCTTGACCCAGCTCACGCCTCCCTGCACTTCGGGGTTGAAGTTTTCTGTTCGGGGGATATAGTAATCCTTGAACAGATGGGCGTGACGGTCTGCATACATGGGCTTGTCGGCGAGGAATTCGGGGAAGAAGTGGACATTGGAGTGGGGGGCAATAGGGGCGTGAACGAGGAAGAATGGTTCTTCATGCGAAAGGGCCTCGTGGAGGAATCCGTAGGCCTTCTCAGCGGTAATGTCTGGCGAGTACTCGCCCGCGTAGTTTACGGGAGGGCCACCGTTCCGGGTCATGGTTGCATTACGGTACTGGTAGGTGTGAGGGTCGAGCAGGAAGTCGGACCCGTTGAAGCCACCGGCATAAGGCGCGTTATAATTGTCAACAGTATGGTGATTCCAGAGCTTGCCGCTGTAGTAGGTGTTGTAACCGACGTCTTGCAACCAATGTGGCAGATAGTTATCGTTGATGCCTTCCCGAACAATCTTGGGATAGCCACCGTAAGGCGCCCAAACATCCGTAACCTAGTCTATTTGTCAACTACGTGTCATCTAGTTATATGAAAAGGCAGTTCTCACATTGGTATTATGTGCCGCGCGACCTGTCCACAGATTGACGCGAGAAGGGCAGCACAAGGCGACAGTGCAGTAGTGGTTGGAGTAGAGAGTACCTTCGTGGAGCAGATACTTTTGCAGCAACGGCATGTGTTGAAGCGATTGCATATGCCTAGGGTCTTGACTTTAGAATTATACTTTTTTTTTTTAAATCCACTTCATGAGACATACCAGTCTTGGTCATCAGTGAGAATGAAAAGAATGTTGGGCTTGGTGGCCGCCACCAGCTGTGCAGCAGAGGCCACAAGAGCGAAGAGGGTAGATTTCATCATTGCAGCTCTGGATGGCGAGACCTGAACTTCATGAGATTTTCGTCATTGGCAGAGAAAGTACGCTCTCTTTTATCACTGAATGCCAAGAGCGATTCCATGGCCGAACTCTGGAGCTGATATCGGAGATGGACCCCAGAGGCACTAACATGACACGGCAGGATCCTAGTTCGCGATGGTGTCATTCTATCCTGGTAGCATGTCATCCAAGAAGGTGGAGATGACACGAGCTGATGACACCGAGCCGTGGCCCCCCTTAAAGATGGAGCTTTCTGTGTCAAGCTGCAGTGGTCTGTTCAGTCGTAGTCTCATACTCGTCATCTTAGCCACTTGGTGGCATTGAATTAAAAGTCTGATAACAATCATGGATCGACCTGCCACAGCAAATTCTTCAATCACGGTCAACGTCACTCGCCGTATCTCCAATCTCACTTCCGAGCAAGCCGAGAAGAAACGAGCGATTGATCGGGACAACCAACGATATCACCGAGCGAAGAATAAAGCGTACATCAAAGCGCTGGAGCAGAAAGTCTTCGAACTTTCCGCGCAAGTTCACGAGCTCGAGGGTCGCGTGCATCAATACCAACAAGCCGAGGAGGAGCGACAACAGCAACTAGCCTCCGCGCCGCCCCTTACACCCAGGACACCACCAACGAGAGCTTCTCTCGAGATAGACCATCATAACCCGCTCATCTTCAGCGCTGCCCTCCATCAAGAGCTGACAGACACTGATTGTGTCCCCGCGTTGCCCCTTGATTTCGGGACTGGAATCACGGTCCATGCCTTGAACTCCGGCCAAGGAATTGACTTATTCGACTTCGACATCACCAGCCCAATCGAGCAGGCAACCGAACATGTCGCGGTCTCGAGTACTAACTCACCATCTCTGAATTGGACCAGCACATCCTCAGGGAATATCGACCTACCTGCTTGGCAACGGCTCCCCCTCCATATAGAGCCCTCATCCAAAATCGAAGAAGTCATCAAAACCATCACCGAATCATGGAGCGCACGAATTTCCCGCCTCGGGAACCGCCAAGAAGAATTCCGCCAGCCTGTATTCCCCAGCATCGGCTCCCTGCTAAACCGCCCAGAGGAAGAAGAACGCGACATGGCGCGGTCCTTCTTCGACGCCATAGCCGCCCAGGTCTGGCGATCCACGGTGAAGACGCTGGCCGAGCGCATCGGATTCATGTACACCTTGTCTCATCTCATCCGCTGGCTCGTCTGCCGCTCCAAGGAGACGTACGAGCTGCTCCCGCCCTTCCTCCGGCCGACGGAACTGCAGCTCACGGTGCCGCACCCCGCATGGATCGACACGATCGTGTGGCCGGCGGCGCGGGACGCCATGATCACCGAGGACTGGGGACGGTTTGAGGAGTTTAGAAGGCTGGGCGGGAATCGCATCACCGTTCGATGGCCCTACCCGGACTCGACGGCGATAATCGAGTCGCCGGATAAGAAGACGATGCTGCTTCATCCGAGTTTCGAGGCACACATTCGCAACTCGGATAACTGGAGGGTGGGACCTGAGGTGGGAGAGGCATTTCCATTCATGAAACCCTTTTGTGTGGTGGAACGTAGTGTATAGGTAAAAGCCTTCCAATGATGATGATCTTCGAATATCTTGTTCAAACTCTGATTTCAGCAAAGGGAGGAGTTTACCTTAGGTAGGCAACCACCAGAGCATACCTAACTGCCGGATTTGCTAGGAAAGGGAGTCAAGCAACAAGAGAGATGCCTCCACCAAATAAGGTATTAGCGTCGATTCGCTTCCAAGTGAGTCAGTCAATGGCTTCCCGAGACTTCGTTTCGCAATCTGCTGCTTGCTTTGGTCAACTTGGAACAGGCTGTAAGCAGTTGTTCTCTTGTTGCTGGCTTCTAAGGGCCACTCTAGTTTCATTACAAACTGGTCGGATGCCCCGGAAAGGGCGTTCTTAAACAGCCCGCTAAGTAACAAGTAAGTCTCATCGGACGAAAAACAGTATGAAGATTGAGCCGTGGGACTGGGAAGCATCCACGTGGAAAGTGAATGCGAGCGTTGTGCCACCAATCATGGCCTGGGGTGTTCATCAATACGGAAGCCTCCGTGTAGGATCGCGAACCCTCCATAACAGCCCTAATTTGCTTGGCTACTAATTAGCGGGTTCTTACAGAGGAATGGCGAGATTCGAGCCCCCAAAAATGCCGTTGGAGGCAATAGCGCGGATTATTCTGACTGCTGGGTTAAAACCAGGCTGACCCTCGCGAGTTGCAACATGCCCAAGTTGGGCCAACATGGGCGCTGCTTTGTGCCAGCCCTGTAAGCTCACTACCGTGTAATTAAGCACCATATTTACCTTGCCTTGTAGCCTTGTCCGCCAGCTGCGATCTGGGAGGCTACACTGAACAGCCCTAAAGGCGGCACCAGCGCAATGTCACTCGGGAGCAGCACTGCCGGACCCGCCTCAGGCTGTCAGCATTGTCAGACTTTGAAACTAAAGCCAATTTCCGGCCTGTTCGATGATTCAATTATTGATCTCAAGGGCTTACTGTATTACAGTGTGGTGCCATAAGTCTACGAACAACCCCACCCAACGCGACGCGTCGGTCAACGCGCCTAACCCCCTTTCCTTCTTCAAACCTTCATAACTTATTATAATAATATCTAAAAAATATACCTTTAGTACTAAAATAAGTAGAAATCGCAGAAGAAACTATAAATTTACTCCTGAGTAAAAAGCTATAATATATTTTAATTTATCTAGTAGTAAAACCTATTACTAAGTTATAGATAAATATAGTACTAGTCCCTTAATTATATAGACTATCTTTAAATACTAGTAAACTAGTAAAATATTAAAAAATAAGTCTTATAGTAGTAGACTAGTTAAATTAACTAATTCTAAATATAAGTATATTATTCTTTTAGTAAAAAGAGACTGAAAAATAAGCTATACTATACTTATTAGTATAATAGGTAGTAAGATTAGTCTATAGACTATTAAGTATATTATAAAGAAGTATTACTTATATAAATAGAGGGCTATACAGAGAATTCTAATTATAAAAGAAATAGTAAGAATTTAGCTTTAATAGGTATAAGCTTAGTAGTATAATATTAATATATTATTATAGGTATTTATAAGTATTTATTAGAGCTTTATCTAGCTATATTTAAGCTAACTAGTACTCCTTAGGTAATCTTCTCTAATAAGTTAACTATATAATTATAATCTAATTTAAAGAAAGATTAGATCTTCTAGAAGTCTTATAAGAAGTTCCTCTCTTAATATATAAATATTATAGTTTATAAGAAGTTAAAAATATCCCTTATAGTATAGATAGTAATCTAGTAGTCTGGTAAGAGTAAGCTTATTATTATAGAGTATAATCTAATAAGCAGAAGAAATAGATATATAGCTAAAAGCTATTAAAAGATATTATCAGAAGGCCTTCTTCCTATTTATAATAGAATAAGGTATTTTCAGTAAGATAATATAAGAATTTATAACTTTAGAGATATACTAGAGTAGCTATAGATCTATAGAATTAAGTAGATTAACTAGTTACTATACTTACCTGATCTTAATCCTATTAAGTATATTTAGAAAGCTTTAAAATTAAATCTTATAAAGATATACCCTGAAACTTATAATTTATAAGATAATAAGATTAACTAAGTAAAATTAGTAGAATAGTTATAAGAAGTATAGGAGGTAATTAACCAGATCTTTATCTATAAGCTAATTAATTCTTTACTATATTATTTCCTTACTATTATCCGGACTAAGGGTTTTTATATAAAATATTAATCTTCTACTTCCGGGCTATCTTTTTAATAATATAAATCTTTAATTGTATTAAAATTAGAAGATTTATTACGGTTTGAAATAACCGCGTTGAATGCGAATTGTGGGTGCTGACGTAGCTGTTCGTAGACTTATGGTACCAAACTGTACTACTTGGTGCCATTTAAATAATAAAGGGGCCCATCAATCATCGTCATCCACCTGCCGCTGTCCCGTCGCGACCGTTAACTTCTGAATTCCGTCACTCTCTCGCTGCGCACTTTACTATACATACCTCTACTAATTAATTAAGTCCTTTCTTTCGTCGCAGGATGCCCATCTACCGCTTCCCACTCCGCCGTCTGCTCGGCCGCTACATCCCAGAGCCGCTGCCCCCGGCCGGTTCCTTCGATGGCAAGACAGTCCTCGTCACCGGCGGCACGTCCGGCCTCGGCCAGGCCGCCGCGCAGCACTTTGTGAACCTCGGCGCCCACACCATCGTCACCTGCCGGGACGCGACCCGGGGGGAGAAGGCCAAGAAGGCCATCGAGGCGGCGTCGACCAGCTCGACCGGCAGCGTGACGCTCATGGAGCTCGACATGAACTCGTACGACTCGTGTGTGAAGCTGGTCGACGACCTGAAGAAGGACCTCGCCGGCAAGGGTGGGATCGACGCAGCCGTCCTGAACGCGGGCGTCCTCGGCGCGGAATACGTCGTGAGCAAGGAGGGATGGTAAGGAGCCCTTTTCCAACGCCCTCGAATGAATTGACGTTGATTTGTCGCTCGCAGGGAGGAGACGCTGCAGGTCAACACGCTCAGCACCTCGTTGCTGGGCCTCCTCTTCGTGGACTGGATGAAGGAGGAGCGGAGCGTCCGCCAGGACCCAGCACACCTCGTCTTCGTGACCTCGCGAGATCATCTGTACACGACCAACGAGCAGTGGGTAAAGTACTCGGAGGAGGGCGGCATCCTGAAGCATTTCAGCGACGAGAAGAATTGGCCCAGGTGGTATCCCAGTGCCAGGCCTCACTACGCCGAGAGCAAGCTCCTGCTCACATACTCTATTGAGGGATTGGCCGATCTGGCCCGCGGGGAGGATGGCGAGTAAGTTGCTCAACTCACAAAAAAGCCGTCTGGAGCTTCGCTGAACAGTTCTTTAGCCCCAAGGTCATCATCAGCCCCGTCTGCCCAGGTCTCGTCCGTACGGACCTTGCGCGCAAAACCTCCAACGTCAACTGGTTCCTCAAGCTCGGGACGCACATCTTCTTCTTCATCGGCGGTAAGATCCCGGAGTTCGGCGCCAGATACTTTGTCAAGGCGGCTACGCGACCCAAGGAAGACCACGTAAGCGGACCCCGTATGAACTTACCTGGTAGGCAGATAAAGCTGACAGACGATCGCTTCGACAGGGCAAATTCGCCATTGCCTGGTATTCACACGAGAATTACCTCAAGTACGTCGGACCATGTCACTCTTCATTCCTAGTCTACTAACACAAGCTTCCAGGTTGGGCCAGACGGTGCGCGCAGTCACATGTGCACATGCACGAAAGGTCCAGAAATTGGTGTGGGTGGAGGTGATTACCGAGCTCACCACCAAGGTGCCATCGATGGGGAAGTATGCTCTTCCCGTCAGCAAGCCGACAGACACTGAATAAAGGTATATCTCTCAAATTACAGTTGTGCGCCGGGGGGTGGAAATGCGATTCATTCAGGATTGAAAACGGATTGCTCACACGTCATTGAATGACAGCTCAAATATTTCTCATATGTTTATACTCATCTTAATATTACCATACATAATTGCCCTGCAGTTGCACAATTTTCAACGTGTTCGACTCCTTGCCAAGGGGTTGCCGTTGTGAGCAGCAGAGAAACATACCGCGGCGACGTCTCATTTATCAACTACCAAATGGGCATCAAAAATCCCTGCAGGGAGCAATATACGAACAAAGGGCCACGTCCAGCCAGTGAGATCTGTCACCAGGGTCATAGGCAGCCAGATCTAATCCCTCTTCTTCATGTACGGCTGGCACGCCTCGTGAATCCGCTTAACGCCAGGATACGCCATTACCTTGTCAAATGCTGCCCGATTCGCAACTCTAGCCCACTCAAGCATACCGATGATCCAGAAATCTGTATAGCTCACCTGGGCACCCAGCACAAATGGCCCGTCATCCTTGTGCGTGAGTGTCCAATCGCTAAGTTGACTCAGGTCACCATGCGCCGACTTCCAGGCCTGCTCCGCCTTTACGGGGTCATCTAATTCCTCCAAGGTCAATCCGGTAAGGGTTTCACGGCTTTTCCTGAAATAGATCTGAGCCCGCGGCGATATGATGTGATAGACGCTGGGCATGACCGAAATGCGGAAGATCGGATTGATCACGTCGCGGAATTTCTCCTGGATCTTAATCCCAAGCTCAGATGTGAGGGGCACTGGCGGGTGCGGGTACTTTGACTCGATGAACTCGGAGATGGCTGGCGAGTCCATCAAGTACGTGTTTGTTGGTAGGTGGTGGATCGCCGGCACAGTGTAGTCGGCATATGACGATTCGTGTGGCGGTATGCCGCTGGAGTCTTTAGTTCCAATTTTCTCCTGTCATTCATGAGGAAGATTAACGCGACCTACAATCCCTTCAGTGTAGGCTCAATATCTGGGAACTCAAGGAAGACGGTCTTGTATGGTATGCCCTTATAGTTGAGCATCAGGCGGATGCGCCAGGCCAAGGGAGAGAAAGGCTCGTTCTGGAGAGACCCCAAATCGTACAGGATAATCTCAGGTTCACTCTGGTCCGTCATTGTTCCTACAGGTGAAGCGTATGAATGAGAATGACAATTCACGGTTAAGAACGCTGATGTGAAGTTGTGAACTAGGCTTCGTTTTGTTGTCGCGTCACGACGCGGGGTTTTTAATAACCTGCGCCCTTTGAATCAATTATGTGGACAGGCTGGTGCCTAGCCTAATCGCGGAGGTGCTTCTAAATCAAGCGACAATGCAACTTGACCAATCAAATTGGCCAGGTCCAACGGCCCAATCCTTCGTCTTGTTGTCGTAATGATTAGCCTTTCGTACTTAGGCCAGTCCGACACTTCAATGTTCTACCTTTCAAATGGATTCTACACTCGGACTCTTCATTGAGTGTAATCCTCACTTGTTGGTAGCCGGTAGAGATTTGAGTGCAACATTGTAGGACTTTCCTGCCTTCGGTTCTGGACAAAGTCTCTGTTTCCATTCCCCTTGCATCTTGCATTTCCACTATTGGGCCAAAGGCCAAGTTCATAGCTCTTCAGGTGATTCCAACATTTACTCATTAAGTTTATTTTGACTCTCGAAACGATGGCTTGCAAGACCAAGTGGCAATCATCTTTCCAACAAGTACTACCCATAGTCCCAACCTGAAATCATCGGCTTAGCTAGGAAGACGATATAAAGGAGGCTTAATCTACTCATTCCGCGGAAAGGACAAGCAAGACCTCCAACAAGAAGGGAATTCTTCAAAATCTGAGTGTGTTTTCGGGATTTCTGGAAACTGGAACCCCCTCTTCCTTGTCCTCTTCCTGGGACGAGTCACTATCATCATGGAAAAAACTCATCTCGTGTTGAGAACATTGCCTCTTGGGCTCATTCGCACCATCACCCACAGGCATCAGGCGCTTCCGCTATTGGCTTGTCAGTAAAATTAAGAAAAGGCAGTTGATCTCCCGGGAAAGGTAACGCATACCCCTGTCTCTCTTGCTGGCAAGCCTGCATCATGATCTCCCCACACACCCTGTCCAGCGGCCCCAGGCTTCCCTGAACCCACGCACATGAGACCTGCTACATACTCCTTGTTGCACATGAGGGCAGAAAGCTTACTGTCAATAGCCTCCCTCTCGCGTATGTAGCGCTCGACAATTTCCTCCTGGGCGTTGAGGAATCCGACTTGTCGCCTTGCGAGCGTGGCCTCTTGCTCAGTCTGCAGATGAGCTTGTTCGACGCACACCTTCTGCATGACTTGCGCGAGGGCATTCAGCTCTGCTTCGCTCTTTGCCTTGGCCATGGACTGGGCCAAGAAGGTGATTTCGTCTTGCATGTTGCTTAGCTCGATCTGGTCGTTCCTCTGGGGCGGCATGACGGCCTCGGCCTGCTTCATGTGCTTTCGGCAACATTCCAGCGACTCAGTGAAATACCACAGGACCAGCCCTCCATGGCGAAGTTCAGCCTGCTTGAGCTCGGTGGGCATCCTTGCAGTACGCCAAAAGTCTAGATGGAAACGGGTGGAAAGTCAGGTAATAGGATGCACTGGATGTGACGTGTTTTGTCAACTTGAACGAGAGGCTAGCCGCGATAATAGTGTGTATAAGTGAGTGAAGGAAGAATACCGGTTCAAAATAAAGCAGAGGCATGAAGGAAGAATACAAATGCAAAGTTTCCAGCCTGTCTGGCTGATGTAGGGACTTCACTTATAGAAAGAGTAGCAACATTGACTATGGGTGCTACATGTGACTGATTCAAGGCCAGGAAGGACTGTTTCGCAGTGGTATGAGCACCAATTAAGTAACACCACAGTTGCCTCTGAGACCAGTCATTTGGATTTTGTAATAGCGACTTTAGCAAGCTACAAGTCGTAAATATGCTTCAGAAGCATGAACGTCCGATTTGCTTAACAAGGATGGTCGGCCGACGAGCTCGTTTCTACCGTATTTTTGCCTCAACTTCCCTTTTGCATTTGGAGTTTTTCTTTTCTTTTCACCTCATCATTCACCTCAAAGACTACTACTCGAGAACGCCGACATGACAAGGAGTGAGTGGTGTAAAGTGTTACGTAGCGGGAGTGAGCTATAGGGTAAGTAGACATGGTCGGATACAGGCAGGAGCGATTTAGGTGCATCACATCCAAATAAATAATGTTCCATTCTCGAAATGCCAATCGCACACAAAACACCTCAACAGATCAGCACAGGCGTCATCAAGGCCCTCACCAAGCCGCAATGGCCGACGTCCCTGCAAGATCGGCTATCCAGCAGCTGCCGCATGAGCTCGTCCACCACATCCTCACCCTGTCTCCGGATCCCGCCTCGCTCAGCTCCCTGTCGCGATCCTGCTCCGCCTTTTACGCCGCCTTCGCTACCAGGCCGGCCAAGATCATAGCCGCTGTCTTGTCGCTCACCATCCATCCCTCGGTCCAACGCGACGCCTACATCGCTGTGGCAGCCTCCCGCCTTTGCCCCGACGACCCCGCCGGTTTCGACCAGTTCCTGGACGAGACGCTCTACCCGAAGCCAGCCCCTGTGCCCTGGACCCTGCGAGATGCTGTCGATGCCGTGCGCTTCCACAGCCACGTGCAATACCTCGCGGAGGCCCTCTCGCGGCAGATTCTACAGGCAGAACCCTTCACAGCGCCAACATACGGCGGCAACGACAATGACGGCGACTCTGCATCCCCGGCCTCCCCACCACCGCCACCAGCCACGACGTCGGAGATCAATCGTTTCCAGCGCGCGCTGTATCGCTTGCAGACGTTCTGCGAGCTGCTCAATCGCGAAAGCAGCTATGAAGAGGTCTGCAAAGTCAAGGGCTTCGCGACAAGCCCGGACGTGTGGCTGGCCTGCTACGCCGAATTCGCTACTTACGAGATTGAGCAGCTCAGCTGTCTGAATGATCTGCTCATGGCGCTCGTCGCCCAAAGTCAGTCAGCTTCCCTTCCCGCCCTCACCCTAGATTACCCAGCCTCTAACTGTAAATCGTCGCAGAATTCAATGATATAGTACTCCACGATGTTACCTGGGGCCATCTCGGCGTGCGCCTCATCACCTCGGCGAGCTCCAGGCTAGGCCAGGAAGTCATGAGCCGGGGGCTGGAGACGCTTCATGCACTCTACGAGGCGACGTCTTATGACGATTCTCGGGAGATTCTGCATCTCGGGGAGACCCGGTACGATCGGCCTGTTGAACGGAGGAATTTTCTGATTGACAGGTTCGACGACCTGGACGGCCGCCAGTATCTCGGCCACATTGGGGTGTTTGACGATCTGCCACCCGAGGTGAAGACGAAGCTGATCCGTAAGCCGTTCTATCCCGATCCAGACCCGGGACCTGGGCGAGTTTGGGAGAGGGTGCATCTAAGCGAGGGAATCCCCATCGGGCTCGTCGCAGTGCACCAGTTCCGGCACTACCGTCGGTGGGGATATGTCTTTTGGGACGAGGAGAGGCTCGAGAAGCTGGGGGCATTCGATGAGAGGTGGGATGATGTTGCGTCGTCGCCCGCAGCGCCTGAGGATCCGTTCCTGGTGTATTGGGAGATTCACCCGGAGGAAATGGCCGCCTCACAAATGCTGCGTAGTAAGATCTGGGCTCGTGGGGGGAGAGGGTACTGGGATCACGATGATGAGAGTCAGATTGTTTTTCCTGCGCGCGATCCGTAGGATCTACGCTCCTATTTATGATTCGGCATTTACATTTTACGGAAGCGAGGAAAGATGAAGGCTTGCTGACATTCAGTCACAAATGATTCATCGACGCCAGCGAGAGCATACGGGAACAGGCCGTGATGATGGGGGCAGGGGCCGCCGGGAGAGAATACGTGGATTGAGGTATTTCAATGTCTTGTTGATGCTTAATGGTGATGCGAACTGGCACTAATGGACATGTTTGCTTACACGCCTTGGAAAGGTGAATCACTGCATTTCTTTACGAAGTATACGTCTCAAAGTCAGAAAGTTATTTGAAGATGAAGTATATTGAAATGATGCAAAAATATGTGTTGTGAAGAAAAGAAGACGAAAGAAAAGAAGAAGAAGAAAATCAAGAAACTCCGGTTTTGCTAATGCAGATGCGTGTAAAATCCCAGAACAAATCGCCAAAAATCAAAGAATGCTCATAAATCGACGGCAAAGAAAGCGCGCTGCTCATGCCTTGATCTGCTTAATGTCGTGGAGGAGCTTCTTGTCCGACTTCTTGATCTTCTTGGTGTCGAGGGTCCCCTTCTTGTAGAACTCCTTGCAGGCGCTGCGGTAGCGCTTCATCTCGCTCTTGCTCTTGCAGGCCTTGCCGTTGTCCTTGTCCTCCTTGCAGAGGGCCTTCATGGCCTTCTTCTGCTTGCGGGTGCGCATGAGGCGGCCCTTCTTGTGGACGAGGGTCTCGCACATCTTGACAAAGGTCTTGTCCGAGTTGTCGTTCTTCTCGACGATGGACTTGGCCTTGGAGCCCATCTTGGAGTGGTGCTTGGCGAAGACCTCGGTGGAGAAGCCGAGGAGGAGGGCGGCGAGCATGGAGAACTGGACGAGCTGGACCATTTTGGCGGTTGGTGATTGTTTTTATGAAGTAGGATGTGTGAAATGTGTGAGATGGTTCTCGAGGGTAGGTCTTGAGAGACTTTGGTTTGTAGTAGTTGTAGTTGTTGTGTTGATGTGATGATGGTTCTAATAATCCTCCATCATCGTCTCTCGCCGTCCTCTTTATATCCCAAGCCTCGACGATGCGCAACTATTTTTACAACAGCCAAGAGACCGTGATCAAACAGACTCACGCTTGGCACCTTGGCACCTTGACCAGACGGCGGCACAGCCCGCCTGTGTCATACCCAGTCCCGGTCCCAGGACCTGCCGTAAGCTCCAAGCCATTCAAACGGGCATCGATCCCCCATCGATGACTCCAGCACAGTCCCACCAGCCAAATCCAGCAGCTGCGTTAGTAAGAGGAGCCCAGGCAAAAGCGCGCGGACAGACCCTCGCCCATGGCCTATCATGGCCTGGGCTGAGGTAATATTGGAGAATGGCCCCATTTAACCTTATTTAATTTCTCTACGCCGCTCTTGTATCCCGACCGTGTCTCCATTCCCAAAAAAAGCACACAACGCACCCACGTCCATCGGAGATTTGTTAGCGGGACAAAGTCCTTCTCCTTCGGAGTCCTTCCCCTGCGGCTGAACTCCATGCATAGTGCCCGCTCGGGGATTTCGATGTCATGATAGGCGTCAAAGACTCTGGGGAGATGAAACATTCATTGCCTTAATAGTGTGGCCCTTCCCTGGCCGCGTAGGGCGCAAAGGTCACTCGTTCCGACTTGGCAGAATACGGCACGGACCCTGTAGATCCAGGCAGCTAAATAAATCAACAAGCTTGTAGATCTGGATCATCGGAGTACAAATGACGGCTATGGATTTCTTTATTTTTCGTACGCGTGGCTGCTGTGTTATGGCAGAAACAAGGTAAGCTGACACCCGGCTCAGCCACATGATTTGATGTTAGACTGGTCCGCCCCCAAATCGGCGAGGTTGGACGCTGCAAATCTGGAAGATCGACGGCACTACATGTTTACTAAGCCAGATGCTGATTTGTCCTTGTCGATGGCTTTCCTTCTTGTCGCGGTGGGGCCTTCGCATGACGGCCAGCTTGTTTCAAGTTCGACCAGGTGCGTGCCGGGACCGAGCAACGGCGTCATAAGTCTCCAGCCGTCCCGCATGTAGGTTATGATATGTGTGTCTATTATTACATTCATCGATCGCACACATGTCTGAGTCAAGGAGGTGCAGTAACACCAACAACATGTCCGTCTAGAACCAATAGCGATGGTTCAATGTTGAGAAACTTAACTCGGTGTCAATACGTTAGATGTTTCGCAGTAAGCGATCACCCTCCTATAAATCGATTGGTTTTTGTGGTAGCATGTGTTATGTTATCTTGCGTGATTAGTTGTCGCGTGATCCCGTGGTAATGTTCTCAGTCGTGACCGTGTTCTGAGACACTACCCTATACTCTAGCCCACCATAGATCAAACCAACACGCATTAAATGGTACATTTAAGAAATGTGTGTTTATAAATGAGTCTAGTATTGAAAATTATTACTTCAGTGGCTAGGTTTCGATGGTTTATTCTTTTCCATCCGTAAAAAAGGCAGTGGGCAGGTGGGCATTAGAAAAAGGCTTCTCAAGTTCTCATCGTTCTTGATACGAACAGGGACTTCACCAGCCGCGAGGGGTTGCTTTCAATCTACCAAAATATATTTTGGTGGGGAGAGTAATTCTAGACATGCAATGGGAGACACTAATCACGCTTCATTACAAAGTTCAACCGGACAAGCTGGACTAACATCATGTTGATTGACTACTGCTGCTCGTTATGCCCTGAGCTGGTGAAGGAAAGAGGCTTGAAAGATGTAAAAATAGCACGTCAGATTCTAGAGTGGACAATCGCCAAGCTTCAGTGGGCGGAAAATAGCACCGTCACCAGCCCTGTTTCCCCGTTTCTCGTGGGTCTGCGGAGCAGAGTCTAGGCCTTTGGCGTATAAGATCCATGGTATAGGGTAATTTGGATCAGGGAAGACTCGACGGCGGCTCACGTGATGGTCAGGAAGCCCTCACCGCCTGCCAAATCTGGCATCTTTTACTGCCGCCGCAAATTTCTTATCGCCAGCCTTATCCAGAATTTTGTTCTGGTGGCAGCAACATCACCACTCTCCAACCAACGAGCAACCATGGGTGTCGCGAAGAAAACGAGAAAGTTCGCACAGGTGAAGCGCGTGCTCGGCCGCCGCGACGAGCGCCTCAAGAAGCCCAGCGCCCAAACGAAGCCCAACGCCCAGACGAAGTCCAACGGCAAGCGCCCCGCGAAGAAGACAGACGAATCCGAGATCGTTCGACACATCCCTCAAGTCCCATCCGGCCTCTTCTTCCAATCCAACCAGCAACTTGGTCCCCCGTATCATGTTATCCTCGATACCAACTTTTTTTCGCACAGTGTTCAGAGAAAACTCGATATTCAAGACGGTCTGATGGATCTGCTACTGGCAAAGTCCATCCCCGTCGTCACAGACTGCACCATTGCGGAACTCGAGAAGCTCGGGAATCGATATAGGTTGGCGTTGCGGCTAGCAAAGGATGAGCGGTGGAAGAGGCTCAGGTGCTCGCACTCAGGCACATACGCCGATCAGTGTATCGTGGACACCGTCATGCAGAACCGCTGCTACCTGGTGGGAACGGATGATAAGGAATTGAGGCAGAGGTTGAGGAAAATCCCCGGTGTGCCATTGTAAGTTTTGTCCTGATACCCACCATAATTCTTGGTATTTTTCTCTTTCATGCGAGAGCTAATATTGATAAATCAGGGTCGGCGTTGGGAGAGGAAAGTTCCATATTGAGAGATTGCCCGAGATTGCTGTTTGATTTTTGAGAATTTTTGCTGGGAATACTTTTGTGGCGTCGACGTCTAGGCGCGCGGCTATCGGTTATGTTTGTATGTAGGCATTTAAGAATTCATGAATCTTATTTCGACCAGTTTGGTTCCCGAACTTGATCGAACCATCTGTGATTTGGAAGAGTCTCTGTGCATTCTGTATTTAGTACACGAGGGAAGAGGGATCGTCCTGGTACAGTAATAATTTGCACAGCCATGTGAGTTTCGTCCTGACGCTATAAATCTGCCTCTCTTTTCTTTACTTGAAGGTTGTGCTGTGAAGGTTTGGGAGAACTTGCTGAGAATGGCGAGTGCGTGGCAACGCGAAACATGATGCCGATTTCATCCACTCCGCATCTTCACCAGTTTACAAGATGCCGATAATTGTAGCTTATAGTATCGATGGGGCAAAGTGTTGATGGACATACTTAGGTGGCTATTCTCGTGTGAGATACTGTCAGTTATGAAGCCTCCCCTTCTTACGATCCCATGTGCTAGCACTTGGTATGTTCCAAGCCCTTGGTGAATAGCGCTTCCCCTACTTTGCCCACTGTCCATTCTCAAAGGAGACCAGTTGCACGGTGATGCAGTTAGGATTGTTCTTTACGAAAGCTATAGATTATGCCTTGCCCCGGAAAGATGGGGACGAGCAAGACCAGTCACAACATCTTCAGTTTCTGCTTTGGCCACCAACCATTGGTTGAACTTGCTACGATATATCCTCTTTATATCAAAATGAACGCGCGGAATTTTTGCGGCTTTGAGGTGCTGAAAAGCACCAAAAATGGCTCCGCAACTGACTGGGACAAGTTTTGGACCGACTTTACCTCCGCCTTTGCGTGGGAAGGGACCGTTCTCATGTGGCCTACGTCTGGGGAATTGGGCCTGGTAAGGTCAAAATGCCGCTATACGCAGACATGGACAATTGTCAACATGCTGGGCATCTACTGGTGCACCACGGGTTCAAGAAGCAGAAATCCTCCAAGGGAGATACACATCTTGAATCAACGGAGAAAATCCTGGCTATTGATATGAGTGCTCAACAAACCTGGTTCGAACTAGCGATGCTTTGCGATGCAATCTTAAAGCTCTAGGGGCTTAGGAGAGTTTACTAGGGGACACAACACATCAGAGAGAGGTTTGGTGCTTGTAATGGTATATCGCATGTATCTCAACAATCGGAAAATCTTGCATTTAGAGAGACTGTGAGAGTTCTTTTCAATAATGACTTCTGTTCTTTGAAGTATCAATTGCGTGGAGATACCAGCTCTGGCATCTTCCCTTGCTGTTCTTCTACTTTGTATTCAAATCCTCTCACCCGTGTTCTTGGAAAACGGTCTTAAAATATGCTGATCAGAATATGTATTACCAATTCGATTCCATGGCTTTCCGAATATGGCGATGCCTCCTGTGATAAAGCCCGTTACTTCATTTGTTATCATTGGAGATCTGACCACTGACTACTCCCGCCTCTGAGTCCACCAAAACAGGTAACCGAATGGCCGTCCAATACTCGGAGCGGTAGCCAACCTTATTGTGGTTTGTTTTGCAGTTCAACTCTTATCCTCTTGGATTTTCACGGGATCAGCACAGTGGGGTGTCTTTGTTGAGCGAGAGCTAATCTAAAATAAGACCAGTGCTTTGAGGTATATGGCTGTAATCTCCAACCCAGTCCTAAATCTTATAGATGTATGGGCGGATGAAGCACTCACTGAATAGGTTTATAAATCTAGGTAAGCTGCCTTCTTGTTGAGCTAGTATGGTGTCACTTTGGAAGAGGTCGTGATGTAATTCCTTACTGCAATGGGGCTCAGTGCTGGCCTTATCTCTTTCTAGTTTGGATACTATAGCATCATAGCTTTTGTTTATGTGGTAATTAATCTGGCGAACTTGTTGTTGTACGAGGCGTGGGGGGGGGGGGAAGTAGTTGCATATGTTCTATTTGCTATATCTGGATGTAAGGACTGATCTTATCTACCGGAACTGTCGTGTCTAACCCCGTGACAAGAATCAACCCTAGAGCCTCGAGAGCTATTCGCATTTTAGCTTTAGCATCCATTCCCTGGGTAGGTTGATTGAAGAATTGTTTTTAGTGGCAAAATTGCTTGGGCAATCGAGGTATCGATAACTTTTAACTGTTCTGGATGACTTAAATAGGTCTGGAATATTCATCCCCCGTGCTGAAAGTCAATGGGAATGAAGGGGAAGGATTTGAACTAGTCAGTACCATTAGATACTTCAGGATGTCCTCTTGACCAGCTAATTGACAGAGAAATGGTGATAGTGAGTTACCAGTGAAAGTTGCCAGAATGACGATTTGCATTGCCCTTGATTAGACCGTAACACTACCATATAGCCAGACTAAACATATGAAAAAAAGAACACGTGAAATGATGACCTACCATCGAACACTAATCTTGAATTCCTTCGCGTAGTAGCTTTTCCTTGAACCCTTTAAGAATCTTGTGTATTTCCCCGAGCTTTTTGAGACACTTGATGAAGCCGTGATAGTCCTCGGGCTCTCCGATGCGATCATGTAGTTTCCTTTGCTCCTGTTCATCTTCGACCAGGGGGTGTTTCCAGAGTAGTGAGTCCACGTGTTCTACACTCACGTTCCTTGCCGTCGAATTGTCTGTCAACCACCTGAGAAAACTAAAGGAAGAGGTCTGCAAGGCGTCCTTGCACACAAGACTCAAAGCTGACGAATAATCCCCAACCTTGTTCAAGGTTGCGCCATGCTGAAGCAGCATTAAAATTTGATCTTCCAGCTCAGACATGCTTTGGGCAATAGGTGGCTCCTTCAGTCCAGAATACTGGACAGGCCATTTCACGAGTCCCCATCGCTCCCTCCAAACATAACTGAATAGCGCCGACAGCATCGACATAGTGCGATGTCCGCTACCCTGAGTTCCTAGGGCCTGTACGGCAGAAGTTGCGTCCGCACCGGCTTCGAAAAGCATCTTCATGCAGTCTGTATTCCGGGCAAAGGTAGCGGCAAAGAATATCGGCGTGGCTTCACTCATCATTACTTGCCAAGGTACGCTGCTGTACCTTGAGGCAATTTGGACATCCGCACCGCGTGCTATTAATTTTTTGACGAAGGTCGTCACTCGAGGGTCCTGTAGCATCAAAGCATGGTGAAGGGGACCGGATCTTCCTCTTCTCCGAGCCTCACGAACATACTCGCTGTCAAAGTATTCTTGGGAAGTTAGGGAAAGAAGTTTCGATGCGGTCGACAAGTTTCCATAGTGAATGGCATTAACGACAGCAGAGCTGTCTGGCTCTAGCAGAGCTACTCGTTCAACCAAGCGATCCACAAAATCCTTTGCCAGATCCTCGTCCGACATGCGAGAAATAATTTCCAATACCTTGCGCAGGTCTTCGCGTTCCGGATCATTGAAATCAGGGTGTTTCAGAAAGTAGGTAAATGTCTCTAAACTTGCTGCTTGGGCAGCCATGTGCAAGACAGTTTTGTCCATATTTGTTCGGTCATTGACGTCAAAGTCTGGCATTTCGGCGAGAAGCCGGACAATGTCCATCCGACCCTTGAGCGCCGCTAGATGAACGGGTGCTTTCCCCTCGTTGTCTCCAAAGAAAGTTCCAACCCCGGGTTGTTGTAGAATAAATTTGACAACCTCTAATCCTCTATTGGGGGAGTTGATGGCTAGGTGCAGTGCAGTATTTCCCATTGTATCCTGGGTGTTGACGTTCGCTTTCGAATCCTTCAGACATTGCGTGACAAGCTCCAGATTGTCGGACGAAGCACCATAAAGAAGTTTTCCGTTGAAAGACGCACCGTCATTTTCATTCCTCTGCAGAAGGGTTGTGACAACGCCTTTAAAATCCTTGGCAAAAGCAGAGGGAAGTGCCGATAAATCCCTTCGGGAGCGGTAGGCCCCACGGCTAACGAGCATCTCGGCGACCTTTTCGTGTCCGTTTTGTATGGCTCGTTCAAGTGGAAAGCTCGTCCGGTGTTGTGTTTCTTTTTCAACGTCGACCCCGGCTTCTAGGAGAAAGGCAACAATTTCTGTGAAGCCGCGGGAAGCAGCGTCAGAGAGGGGCGGTCCCCACGAGCTGTGGAATTGGTATTCGGTACATGGTATCAGAACACCGTTCACCTTCATGCGATAGTCTGTGGCTCCATAGATGGTGTTTGAGTATACCACATCTGAAGGCAGCCCGTACGAGGACAAGTCTGCACCGTATGTCACCGCTCGTTGGATAGTCTCCAGTCGGTTATGACGGACAGCCCAGCGAAGGCAAGAGCAATAGTTTGGGTCGCGGGATAGATTTCGCGTGTAAAGTCGCTCGTTCAAGATATCATAGAAATGGCGGCTAGTCCGAGCAAATGCGGCATGGTATCTCACGTACAACCGAGGTTCCCAGGCCTCGTCACAGCGGTAGCGATCTGCGTCGATTCTAGAAGGGAAGCCATACTTGGGGGGGGCTGAATCCCAGGTACACAGTTCGGCGATGAACTGGACGATCTCAGTCGGTAGTCTTTCGATAGGCGACATTTTGCTCACAGGTGATGCGAATCTTCTGTTGTTGTTTGGAGGATAATATGCTCTCAGCAATGAGGTGCTTTGATGTTTTTGTAGCACAGGGCTTCTTGTTTTTTGTGGGGCAACTTTTTTGGAATGAAGTGAACAGCAAGTGAAGAGCAAGTGAATTGATTGTGGATCTCGAAGTTGAACAGTCCTGTGACTACAACCAAGGTTATGTAGTTACGGAGGGTTGCCCTGCCTAGCAGTGCCTTAACGTGATAGGTGTGACCAACACATTGGAGAGCTGTTGTTCACTGCAGCAGAGTGGGTTGGTGGTTGGTCCTTGCGGGGTTGACAAAGGAAGTCATCAATCCTTTGATGTTTTCAACCTAGACTAGGACTATTCATGTTCCATATCATCATGCTAGACCTTTGTGTATTTCTCTATTGCGTCCCATTTAGCTTCAAACGGTATGTATTTCAAAACTAGTTACCATACAAAGCTAAAAAGGAGTTCACTAAAAATATCATGCTAATGAGTGTAATTAACAGAAGCCGACTTGGGGTAAACCACAGTGAAACGCGGCCAAGATACTCAGATTCAGTCTGGTCAGAGAACAGATACGCTACCAAGCCATGTGCCACTACACCTAAGGCTTCTCGTTCACAACACTCGGCTCGCCGGCAATGTCAGACGATGTCCGCCTCTCCTGCACGCCCTTGGGCACCCCATCCTCCGACTCTGCGTGCCCGCCCTCGAGGCCGCCGTCGGACAGGATGACGGGCTCGCCGATGATGACGCGGGGCTGGACGGCGTACTTGCCGTCGCCGCGCTGGATGCGGTGGGCGGGGATGAGGGTGTTGGCGAAGCGGGGGAAGATGGCGAGGCTGACGACGAAGACCATGACGATGTGCATGAGGGCGAAGCTGTAGATGAAGGGGGGGTCGTTGGCGTGGTTGTTGATGAACTTGGGGTAGGCGAAGGAGAAGACGATGCCGATGGCGGGGGCAGTGATGTACTTGAGGAGGACGGGCCAGACCCAGTGGAGTCGCCAGTTCTTGCCGGTCATGATGGCGGCGTTGATGTCGCTCTTGAGCTGGTTGCCCTGTTTCCAAAATATGGTCAGCGAAGATCTTCCTCAAGGGCGGTAGTTCTTTTCTGAGTTGAAATGTGTGCAAAGCAAGTACAAAATGAGTTCCTGGTTGAAGGGGGAAATGGATAAGTGGGAGGGAAGTGTTTGGAGTTGACTTACGCTGTAGAAAGCCGCGTACCAGAGACGGCCCAGGAATACGTTATTACCCCAGAATCCAGGGGCAGTAACCGTGGGCGTCTTGCTCAGAACGACGGAACCGATAGTGCTGAGGATGTAGACGCCGAAGCCGACACCAGCGCCAACCCGGGGGTCGACGACATGGCCCAAGAGACAGCCGATGATGTGGGCGAAGACGTATCCAACATTGTACAAGCCGAATCCGATCCAGCCAATCTGGTCCACCGGGTCCCTCCAGCGATACAGGCTGGTGGCGAAGAAGATCTCGCACCAGACGGTGAAGAACAGGGCGAGGTCGTTGACAAACATGTCGATGGCGTCCAGAGTGTTGAACCCAAACTCACTGCAGTAAATCAGGGAGATCAGCGAACCACCGCCGAGAACGGAGACGGAGACAACCCAGTGAGGGACACGCTTGCCCCAGTCCGTGTCGCAGATGAGAGTGACTAACACCTCGCTGAGGGCAAAGACGCACGTGACTCCGAGAAGGAACAGGGTGAGGAAGAAGAGAGCAGAGAAGAAGTTCGAGCCGGGCATCTGGGCAAGCGCCTCGGGGTAGGTGAAGAATCCAGAGCTGAACGTGGAGAGTCGGGTCTCGCCGGGGGTCATGCCCAAGTATCCAACGATGCCCATGACGGCGAGAGCAGAGATGATCTCAATGGCGGAGTTGCTGAGGGCGATGATGAAGGCATCCTGAACGGCGTTGGCGAACTTGTTGTTGTACGACGCGTAGGAAGTGAAGTAACCGAAACCAACACCGATGGAGAAGAACATTTGGCCGAAGGCGTCCTGCCAGACTGTCGGGCCCTGGAGCGACTCTGAGCGCCAGAGACCAACATAGAGCTTGTAGCCGTCAGAGGCGTTGGGGAGGGACAGCGATCGGATGGCCAGGATGGCAATCATGACAAGGGGCAGGGCCATGGTGATGTAGATGACACGGCCCTGGAGGCCGACACCCTTGAACGTGCACATCAAGACCAGGGCCCAGGTGAAGAAGCACCATCCGGCAGTCTCGCCAACGATGCCGCGGCCTGGGTACGACTTGTAGCCGCCGTCCTCTCCACCTACAGGATCGGGGTTGCGGACAACCGAGTACAGAAAGTATTCTGTGGTGTCCTGACCTGCCCAAGGGAGAGGCGACTGGAAAGACTGGCGGAAGTAGACCATGGCCCACGCTAGGATGGGCACGTAGTACCCGACGACAGTGAAGCCGTTGAACACAATGGCCAGACCGACACCCTTGGCACGGTGGTTGACGTTGTTGAAGGCTGTGACGCAGCCGCCACGGAAGGCCTGGCCCAGGACAATCTCAAGAATGAGGATGGGGATACCAATCAGGAAGAGGGCAATCACGTAGGGGATGAAGAATTGGAGACCGTAGTTGTTGAAGACGACGGAGGGGAAGCGCAGCAGGTTTCCCAGACCGACGGCACCGCCCATGGCGCAGAGGACGAACTGGGACCGAGACTTGAAGTTGTCTCGGCCGTCTTCGTCCTTGTCCGCGTCGGGGAACACCAGGAGCCAGAGCTTCTTGCCGAGGCTCTGCTTGGCCTTTTCTTCTGAGCCCGCCATTTTGGGGACGGATCAGCGGGCGAGTAAAAATAGACGCAAGGGCAAGGTGAGACAAGGAGTCGGTGTGCCTGCGAGGAGGAAAGGAGGGGAAGGGGAGAAAGGAGGATAACATAGGTAAGCCCGTAGAACGAACGTAGGGGGAGGGGGGCAGCTCATATACACACATGCACAGACGTGATTTACAGTAGTCACACCCCGTAGTAAAACATTGAGTGAGAATCCTTGAATATCTTGCTTCAGGCAGGGAAAGTACGCCGAGCCGCCGAGTACGCCAAGAACCTTGGCAGTGATACGAGAGATGATCAGCTGGTGGTAAGTGGTCCGGCTCGCTTCTGCTTGGAGGCAGAGGTTCGGCCGATTCCGTATGTTTCTGGTCCTTTTCCATCCTTCAGGCTCTGAGCCATCCCCGCAATAGTTGCAGAATGGGGTGTGATCCATCCCTACGAGGGTAATAGACCTCACATCCATGAGTCCATGAGACACGGGAGCTGGAGATGGGCTACACCGACCGGGAGAAGCTGCGGGGAGTGTGGGTGGATTTCTAGAAGCCTGCTCAAATCGAATGGAATGGACCGTTAAGCTTTTGGCTATGCATAGGCTGTCCCACAAACCCCCTTTTCTGGCTTCATCATCAATACTTGCCCCCCAGCTGAATGCAACGACCTGGCTATTGCTCCACTCGTGCCATACCTACGTAAAAGGGGACTATTACTGGGTAGTTGAGCGATAAACCGCGGGAGACAGGATCGTAGTGCCCAGCCTACGCGGAAGTAATTTGGGAGAGCCGCGCCACGCGTCCTTTTTCGTCTGGATTTGCTTGTTTGCGTTGAGCAGCCAGCAAAGGCATAGCAATCGAACCCCAGGAATCCATCCAGAATGATTTTGAGGCCCCTCCCCCGCCCCTTTTCCCCAGACGCCAAGCTGGTCAACTCGCTCTACTTACGAGAGAGAAAGTGACGATTGAGTTTTACTTAGGTAAGAATGCCTGCTTTCGATGGATGGCGTCTTGATTTGCCAAGCCTCTGGGCATGGATCTTAGTCAACAAGGCGCTTTTGATCAGTCCCAACTGGGCAGGCCTCTGTTTCGTGGAGCCTTGGCCGGGGGGGATAGTCCCGGGTGGATATGGGGAAAATGAGAAGAATCCTGGCAGGCTGTGGCATGGATTGCTGCCGTGTTGCCGGTCAGTCTGGCGATTATTTGCCAGGTGATTGCGCCCACAGATGGGCATTCTCGCGGGTAGGCAGGGGAGAAAAAGCGCTCAACGCATGCCCCGAGCGTCCAGCGTGTCGTCACCATCAAATCTGAACTTCGCTCTGGTCGCGTGCTTCTCTTTGACGCAGTTCCAAGATCAGCGAGCACTTGGCGAGGGAGAACAATGGGTGTGTTCCCCTCACCTGGGCGTCTTGGGGCCCGCTCCCACTGGTGCCAAGACCAGCGCGCCAAGATCTGGGACCTTTTGGACGCGTAAGAAATGATAAGCAGCACTCGAGAAGCAAGCAGCCACCGATGTCAGCATGCGCCTGGTGAGGCTGCTGGTTGGCAAAAGAGCCTCCGTTATTGGTTGTATGCTTGGCCGCGCCGCCGGCCACTGGAACGTTGGTTTTAGGTTCTTGGCTATAAGGTTAATTCGTAAAATTGAATCCTTGCAGAAGATGACAGCGTGTCTTATCTCGCTTACCAGCGGCCTATCTTCGTAGGAGGAATGACGGGGGGCGGCGGGAAAAGGTGTGGTCAATACTTTCGGTCGGTCACTCGCTCACTCGAATTGGGCCTTGAAGCTGCCACACCTAAATAAGCATAATTTAGTCAGTAGCTAAAATTTAACTCTAACCAGCTCCGACGAGCACTTCTGTACGCTTCTGTGGTGACTTGTTTCAATTGACTTCGATTGATACAGGTCTATCATTCACGCCAAAGCGACAGTATTGATTTTACATTAATTGGCTATCAATGAAAAACATCTCATAAGAACAATGCTGCCAAATGAGGCCAGACTTTATCCCCTGGACCAAGCACGGGAATAATCAAGTTGCCGAAATGAGGCAAAACATGTGATCGCGACAGGATCACCCCTTTCTTTTTTCTATGCCAACATCTCCTCGTCGTTGAAATAAATGTCTGAGAGGGTAGGCTAGTGGGCGTTACCATTTATTCAATGTATTATTTACCACCCGAATGGTATACAAATCGAACCTGCATTTAGATCAAGACGCGCAACACTCATATTTGGCCGAAGCTTATTGCCACATGATGAACCATGTGTAAAAACGTCACCGTGCCAAGTGATCTTGCGGGGGTGGCGACGCTTGGAGTTATCCACAACCTCGTGAGTACATTTTGCAGTTGTCTAGCTGAGCTGCGAGATCCAGCTTGTTGCAGGCCGAGATGATGCAGACCAGGGAGATATGAATCAGCGAATGCACCCCCCCCTCCCCCCCCAAGAATAATCCCATGTCGAGATGGCATGGAGGACCAGGACAGAGGACTCAAATTGGAGCGAGGCGTAGGGCTTGGCACCACCTGGGCTAGTGTCTAGGCGCCCAGATGGCTAAGATTAATCCCATCCTCTCTCAACGACCTTCCTATATCTATCATTTCCAAGAGCATCTATCGTCGGGCGTTCCCATTTGCAGCACGCCCGATCTGGTTGCCTGCAGAAATACAATGTGATGGGGTCAGATAACCCCACCACTTCAGAGGCGGACGCACCGGGGTGGCTGATAAGCTTTTGCGGTTTGATTCGAAGCCGTGGTGGTTCTTACGCGTAGCATCAAGGGTTGCCGCGGGTCCTATGCTTGACTTTCAAGCGAAATACTACCTTAATTATGTGATTACGTGCTTGCAAGCGGACCAAGGGGATGTATGCTTCTGGGTCTCAGTAGTTCTTGATGTGACTGAGATCTCCTTCTAGGCGTTTGCTCTAGGGAATCGGCCTGGACAAAATGATCACAGTCACGGGACTAACCGCGGAATTGGAATGGATGGTATGGAAATAGCTCGCTGTGAGTATAAGTAGTTGGAACTACACGGCAGTGAACTTGATTACACACAATGGTAATTAAGCGAACATCACCCAACCTTTCCCCCCTTTTGGAATTATACCTTGGACCGAGATATGAAATTGTTGAATGAGCGACTGCGAGTAATAAGGAGTTCCGATGGAGACCAGTGCTAGGTGATTGCCGACATACATTCATTCGCCGATAGTCTCGGAGCTTCTTCTCTAGTGTTTTACGAGCAAGTCAATTCTTAAAAGAAACCGGGAGCTCTGAAATCTCCTAAAATATAGTGCGCCCGTAGTCATCTTGATAGTCATTCAACCACTCTTCAGAATTGGTCTTCCCGGAATCTGTAGTAGGCAATCTCGGACTCAGCCAATTTAGGATTGACCCGCTTGAATACCTTTCGCAGTGGCTAAATAGGGAGGGTTCAACCACTCAGCATAAGAAGATGGACAGTTTTATCAATTAATTTGAATTAGTTTATAAGCTAATTGAACCTCAGCTCCGAAGTTAGGAGGAGAAGGAGGAGGAGGAGGAGGAGAAGGAGAAGGAGAAGAAGAAGAAGAAGAAGAAGAAGAAGAAGAAGAAGAAGAAGAAGAAATCTAAGGGATTAATAAGATAATTTATAAAAACTCTAAGGAAATGCTCAAAAATAAAGTAAAAGAATAAAGAATAAAAAATGAAAAATACTTATTATTTTAATAAAGTTTAAGTAGAGAAAGGGAAAGAGATAAAAAGAGGGGTAATTAAACAATACCGATAAAAAGAATCGAAAGAAAAAGAATTAACTTAGCAGAAATTTCAGATAAACGTGCATAGCAGAATAAAGATAAAAAAAAACAAAATACATAAGAAGTAAAGGAGATCTTGAAGCAAAGAAAGGTAAAGTCGAATAACATAAAGAAATGCACAAATCTTACCTGTCTCGTGAAGAACAAAGTTATTCTTTGTGGTTCGCGAGAGAAAAGAGATCTATCCCCTGGAACTTCCAATCTGAGTTTGATGGAGGCTGAAGGGCAGTTCTCAGTAGTTGAGATATCACGGCGTTTTCTCATGCCCTCCTGCCTTGATTAGGGGCCCGTGTGCACACTTTGTCAACTGACCGGAGCCCTGGGCGCAGCTAAATAGACTGAACTATGCTGGTACCGGTGGGAAGCCCAATCTGTTTGGTTTTTGGTGTCACGAGTGCTGCACCGAACTGGTTGGGTGTATATGGGATTTGTAGCCTTCGAAACCCTCGCAGACGTCACAGCCTTCGCAGCCTCAGCCTTCTCAGCCCTTGCAGCCCTTGCAGCCCTTGCCTCTGCAGCCCTTGCAGCCCTTGCAGCCTTTGCAGCCTTTGCCTCTGCAGCCCTTGCGGCCTTTGCAGCTTTTTCGGCCTGTTTCTTCTCCCTCTCCGCCTGGAGCTTCATAGCCCTCTTCTCAGCCCTCGCCTCCTTGGCCTCCTCCTCTTTCTTGGCCTTCTTGGCCTCCTCCTCCCGAGCCTTTTGCTCATCCTCCTCCCTCTTCCTCTTCAGCTTCGGGATTCGCTCACTGCGACGAGGCGCCTGTGCTGGGTGGGAGCCGTTGCCATTGGAGCACTTCCGAGACTTTGTGTTGCGCTCGCTCTGTTCTGAGAAGGACCCCTTTCGCTTCAAGCTCCTGGATGTGGGATTGCCTGGCGCATCCAACGGCGAGGTGGGCTGTGTGCTCACCACCTGCTGCGACTGATCAAGCTGAGGGGTGGTATCCTCTGGACCCTCTTGTATGGCGACAGCGGCAATCTGTTCCGCTGCTCTGGTAGCTCCATCAAGAGATGCCTCCGTGGGGAGGCTATTTTGTGGTGGCTGCGCGCGATCTTTGACGAAACGCAGCTCGGCTTGGATAAGTATTGTAAGCTGCTTTGTACAGGCTACTATAGTGCTCATATCATGCAAATCGTAAGGCTGCCAGAAGATTGACCCCTTTGATTGACCCCTGGCCGCGAGCTTTTGACAATTCTCCTTGGCCTGATCGAGGCCCTTCTGGGCCTTTTGTAGATTGGCCTCCCAGTCAGGGTCATCTCGGTCAAGACTGCGGTCCTCAAAGGTCAATGTGGCAACGTATAGCTCGTTCTCAGCTAGCATTTCCTCGTTCTGCTCGGTTTGGACGTCTAAGACCCAAAACATATGACCCAGGTATTCAATCCATGTCGTGACTGGATCTTGGCTCCTGGCATCAATGTTGGGCTTGAAAGTCTTGTCGACTCCATGCTTAGCCAATCGCCGTTCCACGGCGGCACCGTAGTCGTCGAAGCCTTCACAGTCCTCTCGCCAATGTTTTTGCAGCTGGGTCCGCAATATTTGCTCCTGCTTCCATTCCTCCTTCAGAACTGAAGGGTTGTCGCTTCTTATGTCTTCGAGAAACTTGTTATAGTCTTCCTCTGTTCCCATGAATTTATTCTTGCGCCAGGAATGGATCGCGAATTCCTCAAACCCGCCCGTGTCATGCAGCCCACGGTTATAACGCTGCCATCTGCGGAAGAATTCCCAGGTGGCCAATTGCTGTTCGAACACATCGCTTGGCCTGTCTTTCGGGATCCCCAAGGCATAGGTCCAGGGCCATATGTATTGGGCAAGGTACTCTGGCGTCCCCTTTAGCTCCCTCAAACCTTCAACGTCGACAATTGCGCGGCCTCCGTCTTCCTCCAGCCGATTGTAGTTTTCCATGTACCAAGCGCGGTCGGTTTTCTCGATTTTCTTGTCTTTCGGAAGCCCTTTCTGGCACCACAACATCGGGGTTCCTAGCTCTGGCGATGGGCTAACACCATTGCGCGGTTTCCAGGTGGGAATCTGGCCCTTGTCTACCACCTCGTGTAGCCGTTCGTCGAGCTTGTTCAGTAGCCCAATGTGAATGACTATGGAGCGTTTATTGATGCGCCGCCCCTGCTTTTCTCTGGTCAAAGCATGATGATAAGTCTTTTGTGTTGGGAATCAACCGGAGTCGGGGTGGTATTACTCACTTCCAGTCTCGAATTCGCTTCTGGAGCTCATCGACAGTGTCCTTGGGCATATCATCTGTGCCGCCGCTTGCGGTGATATCGAGGTCTCCATAGTGTGCGAAATACTTCGAGATATAGCGGCCCAGGTACTCATCATTCATGCGGAGCAGGTCTTGCACACTTTTCAGCTCCATTTGTGGTGGAGCGTCGCGCAGCCGGCTGGGGTCGAATCGAGCATCTTGAGGAGGGTCGCTGGGGCCATGGAACCAGAAAGGGGTCATGATGGGCAACGGGAGAATTGATGCGGATGAAGTCAATTGGAGGGTATCGTCGACGTCGACGATGTCGAGGGCTGAGAATGAAAAATTTTGTTGGGATCACAACGCCACCTCAGCCCCTTCATCTCCTTCTTGTACCACCACCGCCACACCCAAATCAATCCATTCACGAGCCAGATGCCGGCTTTTGCTTCCATTCGCGAGCCAGAAGCTGGCGTTTGCTCAATGCTAAGGGCCATCGGCGGCATCCAGACGGTCTAGAAGGTAGATTTACACAATCGATTTTATTTTTACCAGAGGATGTATGGTTCTATGGTTGATGGGTTGTTTCCTCACGACAAAACATACACACCATCATGCCGAAATGTGTAGCGAGGCCATGGAAGCGGTTGGAAGGTCAGTCTTGTTACACAGTTTTCTTAATAACACTGGGAGCACAAACATTCTTGCCGTACAAGAGCAAATTTTTCATTTCTTTGTTCCACGTCCTCCCTCTTTTCTTTCCCCTCACATCCCCTTCCATTTACGCCGATTCTCTCCTACCTTTCGCATTTCCACACCCACCTTTCCACCCTTATTCTCTACGGAGCTACATCTTTGTTCACGATATCACACAATAATCACGATAACAATCACAGACAATAATCACGGACGATAATCACGGACCCCCCACCACGTACCGCGAGCATGGGCGATGCTATGATTGCCTCGTTCCAGTTGAGGACCATCTCTTCTGAGTTGCCATGGGGCGAGACTCACAAATTGAAGGCGAGCCAGTATTTCGTTCCCCAGGTTGAGGGTCCTCTGAAGCTGCCGGAGGTCCTGTGTATCGCCGTAAAGCATGATTCCGTCCCAGATTCATCCAAGGGAATCACCTTTGGTTCACATCAGAACTGTGGCGTTGTGCTGCCCAAGCATGACTCCATCAGTAAATTTCATTTTAGCCTCACCTTCGACGATCAGGATCGACTCATCATCAGAGATCATTCAATAAATGGGACAGAGGTGAAGTATGGTGAGCAGGGCGCCGGTCTGCGTAGTAAGAGACAATGGATTCTTAATGATCCAAAGTTGCCTTCGGAGTTCCGCCGTATCTAGATTGACGTAGCCGGCGTCATCTCTTTTGATGTCTCTGTCCGCTTGATGATGTCAGCTGAGGAATTGTACAAGAAAGTTGTTGATCGATTTCGCTCTTCCTGTGAAGAGAAGGAGGGTGTCGCCGACTACATGCTGAGGATGGGTGTGAATCCCACCGTCGTTGAACGCGACCCGGACGACGCTGATATCTGGCTCCATTGGGAAGTGGCAGAGGGGACTTCGGCCAGCATCACACGTTGCTGGAACACGGAAAATGGTTTGGAGAAGGTGGTCAAGACACGCCACAATGATTGCGACCAAAGAAGGTGGTCTCAACAAGTCAACTTTATGAGAACTCTCCAACATGTATGTCCCATTCCCGGCCGCACGAGGTTATACTAATAGTTCAAAGCACCACCACGTGATCAATATCCAACGTTTTTCGAACACGAGCGAGGGTTCTCCGACACAGATCGAGATGGACTACCTGAGCAGGGGATCTTTGGACGATCCGAAAGACCCTTCCCCGGTTTCGAAAAATCCTTCCCAGTTTTCGCAACAGGAGGCAAGATCCATTCTTGCCCAGTGCCTCTCAGTCTTGGTGGAAATGCACACGCAAACTCCACCAATCTGCCACCAGGATATCAAGCCAAGCAATATCCTGATTGAACACCGAACTTCATCCAGCATCTGCGTCAAGCTTGCAGGCTTCAGCGAGTCAAACACAGAGGGTGAGAGAGACATGCGCGGACGTGATGCTCTCTACGCTTGTCCGAACCACTGGGCCGGGATATGTGACCCGTCTCTGGACATTTGGTTACTCGGCCATACCATCCTAGCATTGCTTGACAAGGATCTCCAAAACTTGTATTGCACTAATAAGACGAAATTCTGGGATGTGGCTTTTCGGTCAGAGGACAGCCTTGTAGAGTTCCTGCTGTCCCGCATGATCCATCAGACAGCTGGTCTGAGATCAACGGCAACAGAATGCTTGGAGCGCCTTCAGGAACTCCAACTCGAAGAACGTCATGGTCCAATCGTGCTGTGCGGGTGCTCCGATGAAATTGATCTCACCCACAAGGTTCGAGTTAGGCGATGATCGACGCCCGAGACCTAGCGAATAAATTTCTATGACATGGGGAAAAGTTCTGTTTGATATCGCGTTTATCTTGTTGGTCTTCAATAGCTAGGCAAGTAGCTGAAATTATTGAAATTGATTGAGATACTAAACAATGAGCTGCTTATTTTCGAGTCTGTGACCGTCATGGTAGACTACTGAGTGTCAATAAAACATAATCGAAATATAATATGGCATAAATTGCCACATTGTTTCGTTGCGAACTGCTCATTTTTCTATTCATCGTACATTGTAGTCGGTCCATAGTCAACCTTCCCTTAGATAGCTCTCATCAAAAAAAAAAAAAAAAAAAAAAAAGGCTCATTAACTTTGAAGTATGCCCAACGCCCGTCCACCTCCGTCAGTGTATGGGCTGTTTGGGTAAATCCACGTGATCATTCACTAGAATTATTCGCTATTGTCAAGCGCTGCCCCTAGAAAGCTTCAGAGCATACTACGAAGGGAGGGTCGGTACCGAGACAATTGCAACAAGCGAGGGAGCGAAGAAGGGGAGCGTTTACCCACGCTGGTCAACGTCTTTGAGCCACTCATATATAGCTTTGAAATGCAACCGCAATGTTCTAGTCTAGTTCGGTGGCACTCCCCGTGGACGTGACTCTGGATGGATGGAACAACAGTTCAAGGTAATATAAGAGCCGTCTTACTGCCCCACCCTGTATAGGATGTTGCCCGTTGATTCCTAAGCCTAGAAATCTAGCATGTTTGAATAGGTTTCTTTTGACGGGGTTAAATTATAAAGGATGTGTGGAGAGTGGTATAGTAGCGCAGGCTCGCCGCGGGAGTTGATCCACGAAGATGAACATATAGAAGAAGTCCGGTGTGAATTTTAAGCAATGATGTTTTGTGTTATATTTCAAGAGTTAACGGTTGCGATAAGGGTTAATTATGAACACCCGTGGAGGCTCCTGGCGGACTGATGCTCTGACGTATATTATCATAGCATCCTATCTGCTGCAAGCCACGACCCCGGTAGTCTTGTGTTAGCTCACGATATGCTCTTGCGAGGTTGAAGACCGTCATTGCCGATGATAAGACGGCGCCTATTTTGGAACGACTTCGAATAAAGGAAAGAGTAAGACGGCATTGTATTGTAGAAGAGAGTGATTGAGTGATTGATAGGTGTAGACGGACGTATTCCCCGACCTACACATAGCCCTCCACGACAAGCGAAAAATTGGTGACGTTTGACAGATATAGAGCTTTTCACCCTCGCATACTTCCGCCGAGAGGTATCCTCCACCTAATTCGAATAGGCTTCCGAGCCACGTTTACATGGCCTTCCCCTACCGTTCCACCATCTGGTCAATCTCATCGACTGAAAGAAGACAAAAGTTCTTGAGTGTAGCACCCTGAAAAAATAGTCCAGTCAGCTGAATCTTTCCGACGAGCGCGAAGAGGAGCCATACGTACGCATTGAGCAAATATTCCAACTACTAGAGACCCACAAGGCTTGGCCGTGATCCAGTTCTCTTTATTACAGCTTGAAGACTTTGGGCCGTAGCCAATGACTCGGCCATGGTTTGTTTCAGACTGAGGAAATTGCCAGCGTCTTAGATAGAATAGCGCGGAGGAGCAGTTAGGCCTCTTCTACTTTGATGCCTCGGACGTCACCCCAGCTTTTCTCGACCTGTACGCCGGTGATTCGCTCCCCCCTCGGGCCTATCAATGGAGAAGGGGAGATGGCGATCCTTAGAATATTCATAGACTCTGTTGCCTGGCCTGTTATCGGATGGTCCGCGACGGCCGAGTAAGATGTTTTTGGAATCATCCGTGTGAATAGTCTCGAGACCTGCAAGAGTGAACATGTCGTATGCATAAGCAACAACCTGGATCAATGTCGACAGTGCAGGATTCTCAGCCGGACCGAAGAAACAGGTGGTGAACGGAAGATAGTACTTGAACCCGCGGGTTGGGTCACACGTAAAGTCATACTTTATATGTGGTGATGGAACGTCTGGGTTCTAGAGGACAGCATCACGACATAACGTCTGCCTGTCTTGATCAGGCTGTGCCTCAAAACTGATTGATACGAGCTTGAGTGTCTGTTTATCTGTGAGCAGATGATACATTTATGGCTATTAATATAGCGTCAGAGGTCACATACATTAAAATCGGCCCTCATCACATATAGATGGCGAGGAGTTGACCGGTGATGGATTGGTAGTGTGCCAAGCTCACCTACGTAAGGCGAATTCCACCCGCTTTCAGTCTTCAACGAGGTGGCCTTTATGCCTCGAAAGTCCACGCCGAAGCACCGTTCACGAATTTCTGCAGGCTGAGGCAAGCAGATGGGTTCTTCTGTGGCAGGATAAATGTATCCCAAGCAGTCATCCCCGCCTTGTTCCTTGATCAATCGTAGACCAGAGATGTACTTGGTATCATTTATAGAAATAAAAGATACCATTAAACGTGCAATCCGAAGGGGGTTTACCCAGATCACCTGGCGAGACCGTAGAGGTAGGCACCCGAAATAGAATGGTGTTATTGTCGGGGTACGAACAGTACGACCTGCAGTGCTCCAATGTTGTTGATCTTCATTTGACACACCTTCTGGCTCGAAGCAAGTAGCACGGGATTGCCCTTGGCATGTAACGCCAATCATTTGATCATGTGGCGATTGAAGCATCAGCGCGAGGCTCTAGACGCGTCGTCGGTTTTGAAGGGCCGGGACTGACAGATCCAGCATTCGGAGCATCATGTAAAATGCCCTCCAAGATTTGGGATGATTTGCCAAAAATTCAAAGACGTAATAAAACCCATGGCCCTTGCCAAGAGGAGATACCCAGAACACTTCCGGAAGGTCGATCGTAGCGAATGTGCATGACGCTTCCCGAAGATGTTTTACATCCGTCGATGGTAAGCTGATGATGATGAAGAGCCAATTTGCCCGGATCATAGCACTCAGTCTCAGGAACGGGCCCCTTTGAATAAAAGGCAGCGCTTTGATAATCGCGACCCTAGTCTACGGTATCTCTGGAACCGATTGACATGGAGAGACAGGTATAGAAAAGAAGCCCTAGGTCGGGCGGAAACGGATTTGTCAACAGGTTCCAGCAGGCGGAATGGATGGCAACCGGTGAACTCTGAAGGTTGTAGACCTGATATGGAAAGAGTATTCAGGTTAGCACTGCCTAGGCCGATATACAGAGTGTCGTCACTAGATCTTCATCATCGTGCTTTCGGTCGCAGTCTTCGGGACAAATGGCGGTAAAACTTTCCTCAGTTGCGATGCCGACACCGGACAGCTTGATATCGCTCCAGTTGCGATTATGTGCGTAGACTTAAGGAATTCAGTCGAGATCCTCTATGATATACCAGCTAGAAATTCTCGCAACCACCGCCCCGGAGATCTCAACAAATACAGACACCGCAAAGCGCACACGTCGATTCCATGGCCGCTCCATCAGCGTCTTAGGTGAAATTGAAGGTGTATGATAACTCTAAAATGATTCTTGGAATGAGAATGAGGGGAAGATCAGGGGAGAAAGAGACTGGCGTGTGTTAGAGCCTCTCTACTTACTCTGAGTTGTAATGTTGCGTTTTTTCTAGTCGCAAGTTGTGGATGAGGACTTGTCACTCTCTGCAGCCTTGACACTTAGGCCCACCACACTGGCTCACCATGGGCCGAATAACCGCTTGTTTGTGATCTAGTTTGTTAATACCTCTGATATAGCCGCTCGGAGTTTGAATCAAACGCCGGCTTTTGCCTCGATGAAATAGCGGCGCTACTAGCAAGGCTATGGTTTGCCCATCCCCGGCGCCAAATAGTTGCCGCTGGACTACTGCAAGTGAATAAGTTCCCTATGCCTGTCAGGCTAGTAGGAGAGAAGCAAAGCCACGATAGTGTGTCTTGTTGGTCGAGTCTCAAACTGCTCTATCCATTGTCCGAACCAAAAGTCAAACTGCAGTTTGAGTTATTTCCATCCGTCACCAACCAAATTCCCCCAGGCCCGTAGTTCGTGTTGGTTCTAGCTGCGCCATCATGCAGGCTTCATCTAGGCCTCGCATAACCCCTGTAGTGGAGTCAGTTCGTCGCCCGGCTCGGAGTATGGGAACTCAGATTCTATTCCTGGTGCCTCTTTATCCGTTATCAAGCGGACTATAAGTATATCTTGCTCACGTCCTCGTGCTTTAAACAACGGCAATTTTCTTCACACGAAGTCAATATTTGATTAAAGTTCATCCCTGTTGTTGCTCAAAAACCTTCATAATTGATTATACTGTAAAGCCTTGAGTGCAGCCACTCTGCACCTTTGCTGACGAGTGCTCCTTTAATTCTCTTTCGCCATGCCTCGAGACTGTTCCCCAGATCTTCCTCCCCCAGAGGACTATACGGGCACTGTATGTTTTCGAGGCGAACTCTATGTTGCCCTGGACTGACTTCCTTGCGGTATATGGAAAATCCCAGGACCGCCTACGAGATCCAAACCCTTCTCCCGACCACACGGCAGTCTGTTATCTGGAACCTTTGGGTAGATATTGTTCAAGAGACCTTTCCAATGCGCGAAGGCTATCATGTCCGTCTGGAGAGTGAACCCATATCGGGAAGAGCTGATTGCAAAGTTTACCACTTTGAACAGACTAGAAACCCAAAGAAGGTGGAATTCTTGGGCATTGAATGCAAGCAGGGGCACCATGAAACTCAAGATGATTCCTGGGATCTGGCACGGGAGCAACTGATTACCTACCTTACTGGCTTTCAAGGTTCAGCTAAGGTTTTCGGTGCTATATGTATGGGAAAGAATGTGAGGTTCTACCGGTTCTTCCCTGCTCAAGATGATGAACCGGCTACCATCGAAGAAATGGATGAGAATGTTATCCGTATTGATAGGCAGCCTCAGACCGTGGTGCGCCGTCTTGAGTATATTAAGAGTAGTGTGTCCTAATTAATTAGCTACCTAAATGCTCTCTTTGTGTGGTTGGGGATCGAGGGCATTGTAGATATTGATAGCGACTGTTTGTCCTCGGGGATTTCGTTGCTGCTCCTAGAATTTCATATCTTGAATGTTGAACTATGGATAAGATCCTGGAAATCCTTTTAAAATAACTGCCTCCGCCCCAACAGTCATATCATATTTGCTTGAAATGTGGATAATCGAATGATTGTCTTCGAAAAGAAATTGCCGATTTAGACTAGAGATACAGAAGATTGGATCTGCCTTCATGCTTCTCTGATATGCATGACTAACTGCAGACATGGAGATATTAAGGCAAGTTCAGTCCGGAATAGTACATACCATCTGTCTAGGGCGATGGTGTATTCCAAGGAGTAATACTGATCAGCATTTCCTAGTTTGTGTAGTGATTGACTGAATCTCATTTATCTTAGCAACCTTTCTGCCGCTAGACATAACCACCGGCATTCTGATGTCAGCTCACGACAGCCCCTTAGCCTGCCCAGCAGCCAGTCTCTGTGGATCTGGTCGGTCGTCTCGATAGCAGCAATGAAAACCGGCCATGCAATCCGAACTTGCTGGCGTTTATCACCGATGTTCTTAGAATGGATGAAGAGGAGGTGGGCAAGCTTGCACACTGCGTCCTGCCGGAAACCTTCTGTCACTTGATTGTCTCCAGTGACGCGATAGTAGTAAAGAATTGTGGCCCAGAAGAAGCTGACGAGCCTTACTACGACCTCTGTGCCGACTCTCCATGTGAGCTCATTAGCAACATCGGCTATAATGAACAAATCCGAGTAAAACTATTGGTTATTTTTAGCAAAAGTAGATGGCAGGGACGAAAGAAAGTACCTGGGTTGTAGCAAGTAACTTACTTCCTGCGAATCAAATAATCGGCTGAGCCATGATGACGGGTGGTTCTCGATATCTGAGCAATGCTTGCCGTTTGCTTCCCAGCTCCAGATGTGGAATCGAGCCGACAGGACTTGGAAGCCGAATTCCATAGGCCGCGCGAACGTGGCATCTCTCAAACGTTGCTGGGGCGAATATCGATGTTTCCACAGGAGCAGGTTAGTACGTCGAGCATTGGCGCAAAGCCGACGGAAGTCGAATAAAGGCCTTTGCGATCCGGTGAGTTCGGTTAAGAGAGACTTGGATGCGCCCGAAATGGTCATGGATATGTCGAGATATCTGCGTAGGTGGTGAGCCACTCAGTTCAGAAGCACCTTTTTCTTTCCAAATCAGATCAAAAAAGAGAATATGCACTTACATTGACCACACAATGATCTGACAACACATGGAGAGATTGGCAGCCTCTCCTTCTTCGTCGGGATGGTCGTATTTTGCTTCCTGCCGAAGAAAGGTCACATTCGAGCAAGCTAGGGCACGAAGACCCTCTAGATGGGCTCTGATACGCTCCGGCGAAGTCGAATAATGAATCTCGTAATTCAACATCAGGAAGATAGACAAAAGCAGGATCTCGACTCCTATTTTCGGCCTGACGCCTGCCACTCGTTCCAGGCCCACACGCAAGTCCTCCATGGCGAGAGCGTAACGACGCAGACCACAATCGGCGCCGTTACTTTGGAGACCCTGCCTATGCATCTCGCTGGCGGAGATGGCGAGAACCATATTCATGATGATGCTGTTGGACATTGCCAGTTCCTGGGTGATGTAGCGAAGACAGCTGGCGTCTCCGAAATCATACTGGGCAAAGACCGTTGTGAACGAGAAGAACTGTAGGTATTGCTTGTCTTTTGGCTCCAGGATCAGAGAGTTCCTGCATCGAATTTGTGGCTCTGTAATGGTTGGGGCAAGAGTAGGCCGTCGACGGGAGCCCGCTCGCCTGCATACCAGAGCTGCATTCCTAGCATATCTTACCCGGGCCTGGGGACACTTTGCACTTGATTTGGCCACTCGAGATCTTGGATCGATACCTTCGGAAGTAGGCCAGTCGCAGGAAAAGCGATGGGAAATGCAACGTGAGCATATCGGGTGAACCTCGTCGCACTTCACCTTGCGCTTTCTGCAGGTCAAGCAGCCTTTCAATAAGAGGCCCGATGTTAGTATTTGAGCCATACCGATAAGAACCATTCTGCTTTGCTGTTGACTTACCGTTTCTGGACCTGGTTCCTGGACCTGACATGGCGTCTGGAACTTGGCGATCTTGATAACCACGGAGAAAGAGCGCGTCTTGGCTACTTATTATTTCCAGCGAAGTTGATCATTTTGTCACAGGCGAGTTTCCAGCTGATCCGATTGGCGGTCATGTTTTCCAATTTGGTGTAATATTTAATGCGGTAATCTAATCCTTGCTTTACCTCCGCGGACATTCCGTCCAGGCAAAACAAAAGTACATACGTAAACGGGAGGAGTGGAGTTGTATCCCCAGTTCACCTTGCTATAGATGATTCAGGTAAATTCGCCTCCTGCGCTCGCTCAAGCCCAATCGCCCGTGAATTGCAGCGTCTTCCCCGACTCAATGTCGTCCAGGAGACCCTGAATTGTCCACGGCTGGTATTCATACCCAGGTGGGATATTCGTGGCTTTGAATGGCGTCCCCTGGAACAAGTGTGCGACAATGTTGCCATAGTTGGCATAAGCGTATGCCTCTGGATCATGGTCCGCCCACTTGCCTATGTGTGTTTTGTATATGGCCTGATCGGCCTCGACAGCCGCGAACTTAGTATTGTTCTGGCGCTGGTGGTTTATGAACCCCAGTAGCTGGAAACAGGCAGTGCGCTGGAATCTACGTAACTTCTTGTCAGCGTGACACCCGACTGGTCTCAAGAGGGAGGGGTCTCCTCTACTCACCGAAGCTTTGTGTGAACTTTGGTCGCGAGACTGATGTTGCTCTTACCGCCGATCTGGAGGCAAGTGGCCAAGGAGATGGCGTCTTCCATGGCCTGGGTAGCGCCGTTGCCAGAGGATGGGAGGAACGTGTGGGCACTGTCTCCCACCTGTATCACACGGCCATGAGGCGACGCCCAGTTCTCACGCGGATCGCGCCACATGAGTTCCCAGTCGATGATACCGTCCTTGGGTGTCTTCTTCATCAATCGGGTGGCTATCTCGGGGAATCCTGATATTTGAGCCGTTATTTCAAGGACCTTGTTGACGTCGATGTGATGGCTCCAGGACTCGTAGCCTGTATTGGTCCCCTAGGTTTGCCGTATCAGAAGATGATTTCCACCAGAGTACAGGAAAGAAAAGCTCACCTTGTGAGTCATGTGCCAAGCAATGAGGTCAGTATATCTCTGAACGCCGAAAGAGAGGCCTTCTCTACGAGCGAACAACGTCAGCGCCAATCGTGTCATATTCTGGCAAGGCTCAACTCACCCCAGCCACATCTCAATAAGTGGGCGCGAACCATCATACAAGGGCCATCGTGCCGCGATGTCAGGATCCTCCATAGCCAGCTCGATGGGAAAGGCAGTACGGAGGATGGAGAATCCACTCGGGTAAGCTCGAATGTCGTGGCCACTCACGAGATTGTGACTCTTGGTTCCCACGCCATCAGCAGCAATGACAACATCCGCCTTGAGCTTACTGCCATCCTGAAGGATGACACCTGCTTCCTTCGCCTCCTCGTCCTCGAAGTAGTCAGTGACGCGGTGACCATGACTGACGTCAACGCCGACACTTTTGACTTGGTCCAAAAGGGCCGCGACGAACTTGGGTCGGTTGTGGCGATGCCACTTGACGGTTCTCTCTGTACCATCTGGATGGGTGTATGCGATATCAACAAACGATGGTTCTTCAGGTTCAGAAACACGTTCACCGGTAATCTTATGGTAAGCAACCAATCCGGTGTAGTTGATCCTGTCGAATTCCTCGGCCAACTTCGGCCAATGAAGCTGGAAATGGCGAATAACTTGGCTGCCAATGGTGAAAAAGTCCCCTGTCGAGAGCATAGAGTATTAGTGTCGATTTCGGATATGCGTAGGCCGATATCAGGTGGCAGGGAGAATACTTACCTTCGGTACTGGGAGATGGGACCCTCTCAATGACACGAACATCGTGACCTTTGCGTCTACATTCGAGTGCCGACATCAGGCCTGCCACTCCGGCACCCACAATGAGGACAGAGAGACCGGTTGGTGGGTGGAATTTGACCTTGTCATCCGGGATGAGAAGGTCTGTGTCCTTGAGATCTTTGCGAAGAGGCATCTTGAAGGTATGTAGCGAGTCTGGTTAGTGAAAGATAATGTATGTTGGATATATTTGGTTGGTTGATAGTTGGAACGAGGTGAAGAGGTTGAGGTGAGAGTAACAAAGTGAACCTTCACCACAACGATTTATATAGAAAATCTTCATTATAGCCATCCTGGATATTCCGATGACGGAATATTTGATCATTGAAGATTTACATTAATCTTTCCGTACTGAAACGAAGCAGCTGGCGAAGAGTTCCGGATTGGCTGCGCCACCAAATGCACAGATGCTGAAGCCGACAGAGCCAATCGGATGTCGTCTTTCGCGTACGCTAAGGGAAAGAGTCGAGTTCTCATAAGCGTGAGATTGACGGAGGGATCCCCTGACTCACTGGACCCTCTGTCTAACATGGACTGCTTGATTATTGGCCTAGAATGCGACTGAACTGCTACGTTACCGCATGAGGTGTGCAAGACGCTGGATCGCTTTCTGTGTCAGCTAAAACAGATTAGTTCTCTTGGCGTCTTGACTGCTCACCGTGATATGTTTTTGGATGGCGCAGGTGAAGCTCCACATGGAATATCATCCCTGCACCGTGAGTACGTGGACTGAGCAAATCTTCGCAACTCATCTCAACCGCCATGAAGCTGATTCACTGTGCCAGCGGGCGCGTCGAGAGCGACTGGGCAGAGGGCGTGCCCCCTCCGTATGCCATCTTGTCCCATACCTGGGCCCAACCGCGGGATGGATCCCCCGCCGAGGTGTCCTACCAAGATTACGTGACCGGTCGCAAGGCCTCGCCCTCCCGCAACTGGGACAAGATAGACAGGGCCATCCAGATTGCCATTGAGGACGGGCTGGAGTACATCTGGATAGATAGCTGCTGCATCGACAAGACCAGCAGTGCGGAGCTGAGCGAGGCCATCAACTCCATGTTCCAGTGGTACTCCGCAGCCGCCGTCTGCTACGCCTACCTGGAGGATTACGACAAGGAGGCCAAGGGCAAGCTGGCGAGCTGCAAATGGTTCTACCGCGGGTGGACACTGCAGGAGCTCATTGCCCCGGCGAGGGTCGAGTTCTACGACAAGGACTGGAAGAATCTTGGATCGCGCCAGAGCCTGAGCGATGCAATTGCCGATATCACCAATGTGGATAGGGAGATCCTCCTAGCAGACAGTGTAGAGGCGACCAGTCGACTTCTGTGTCAGGCACCGATTGCGAAGAGGTTCTCCTGGTCAAGCAAGCGAGCAACCACCAGGCCGGAGGATCTGGCATACTGCCTGCTGGGGATATTCCAAGTCAACATGCCTCCGCTGTACGGCGAGGGGCGCAGAGCGTTCATTCGGCTGCAGAAGGAGATCATGAAGGACAGCGACGACCTCACCATCTTCGCCTGGCAGGCCCCTCCCGGCTATAAAGTGTCTATGTCCGAGTTCCGCGGCATCCTGGCAACCTCCGCGGATGAGTTCTCGCTCCCTGCTGAGGTTATGCCCACTCATGCAGCGGGCTTCAACCCAAGTTTTGAAGTGACGAACAAGGTGGGCGTAGTGTCGGATATTATAAGCAAACCAACGCAAGAGCTAACATGATTCTGTAGGGTTTGAAAATCGACGTGCCCCTCAAGACAACAGCCAATAGCGAAGACATGTGGATGTCGTTGAATTGCCGGTACGGATTCGAGCGTGCGACTCTTGGAGTGCTCCTCCGATATCAGGGCGCCAACCGCTACATCCGTTCCAAACCACAGGTTCTGCAGTTTGAGCCGCCGGGAGAGTGGACACGGCCAGGGCAGATTTTCATCATCCTGGACACCGCCGTAGCCATCACTACGATTCTGGAGCCAAGTGCGGTCCATCAGAACTCGTTTGCCTTTTCGCTGAACGAGTACCGTCTTCAGATGGTCTCAGTCTCCCACCCCAACCGCTGGTACCAACCAAAGAACACAATGAATACCTATGGAGAACCTAACTTCGTTGGTTGCTACTTCTTTCGGACACGAAAGACGTTGGTCCTGCTGGAGACGGACATTGTCCTGGCGTTTGGAGTTGGGTCCCGTGGGGAGCCCTGGGCATGTCTTGGGATTGGCAAAGGCCGCAAAGCCAGCGCGGGAATGCAAGGAAAGGTGGAGATGAACACAGACCTGTATGATGCGGCCGTCGAGGAGAAATGGGACAGGGTCCGCCAGCTCGGCATGACGCAGCAGATTCACGGGATCCGGATCTACCATTCGGTAGATGGGCGCGGCAAATGGGGCCTGTTCGCCTCAGTCGCCCCTCTGGAGATGATTTCTAAAGAAGGAATCTATAGCGTAAAGATAGGCTGTGAGCCTTTTAGCGATAGTTCGTTTGCTCCCGGGCTCAAGGGGGCGTTGAAGCCAGTATGATATTCTGGCCATGGTTCCGGAAGTATTACTTTCATCTACGGTAGAATCTGGTAGCATCGAGTTACTGGCACTGAAGGTTTCCAAGGAAGATGAGATTCACCGCTAGCTATCACCTTTAGGCCTTGCCGAGTGTATAATTAAGAAACATTGCTTACCATTCCTTGATAAAATGTTTCCATCAAATATTAGTGCATCCGCATGAGTCGTTGCTCATATATGGAGGATGAAAATTTGATTGTGGTCGAGTTACGGTTTATTTCGTGATTTCGAATGCAGCTATGTATGTAGTTCCCCTACATGAATATATGAGTTAGAAGAGATGATCAGCTTGGTCCTTTGGCCAACCCGCCACCTGGACCTGCAAACTCCATGCCTCCTCTAGATGCCAGTCGAAGGGTGTAGGGTAGCTCAAATTTCAAACCCAATGACGGCGCGGTGCATGACCTGGAAACATCTCTTGAGAATGAATAGAGTGACATGCTGACGCTGATTGAATGACATGCGTCTTTTTTTGCTTTATAATCGCCTCGATTTTGACTGCTTTCCCTTTAGATGCCCGTACACATCAGCCATATCTCCTCTAATAAATGGGTGTGCCCCCTTGAAACCCGCTGGACAGGCGTCGTTTCAGCGCTAAAGCCACTAATTCCAGCGCTCTCTCAGGCTCACCTCAATGACATACTCAAGGTTGATTCCATTCCCTTATTACGAACTGCTCATCGCCCCTTCGATGCCATCGACAGAGATCAAAGTCTCTATTTCTATGAAAGAAGTCGACGATGAAATGTCTAGATGCCTTTCTGACTGTTTCGCAGGCAGCAGGCTGGTGGCTGATATTTGGGACTGTCCCATCACCACCGCCATGGACCAATTGGCGCCTTGGATCTTCGGAGGTTGCCTAACACGAATGGCGGCTGCCTTCATGTTTGGTTGCTGAAATTTTGCTAAGCTGTGTACTGAAACAGTGAAGATCCTCTGGATATGCTGCGCCGCATAAATTTGCTTAGCTATCGGACCTTCTCATCGTCTGAGTCTCTCCATAAAAACATCAACCGGAAGCCATCCTCATCCCTCTCATCAGTATTCAAGTCGCATGCCATTCGCTCCGCCATTCATTAGTGAAAATTACTAGAAGAAGTGACCTGAATCGGCACTGACAGGACAACATGCCACCCCATTCCGGTTGTCGCTACATGGCAGGCGGACGCCCGGCATATCTCCCTCGCCTCAAGACCGACCTTCATATTCATCTCATCGACACCGTCTCTCGATCCACCCTCACCCAGACCTTTGTTCATCCACACAAGGATGAGCCAGTTGACGGGGTTGAGTACGTATTCCCGCTGGCCGGCGGAGTGTCTGTGGTTGCCTTCACATGCATCCTCGCCGATCGCACCATCAATGGCGTTGTCAAGGAGCGCGAACGAGCCAGGTCGGATTACTTGGAAGCCAAGAGCAAGGGAAAAACCGCTGGTCTCATTCAGCAATCACTCAGTGCCTCGGATGTCTGGACGGCCAGTATTGGGAACGTCCCGGCTGGGGAGACCATCACTGTGAAGATCATTTATCTCAGCGAGCTGAAGCATGATGCCGAGATCAATGGAGTGCGGCTTACCATCCCAACTCATATTGCGCCACGCTATGGTAACCAAGGAGGCGTTGAAGGTACAGGGTCTGCTATCGAAGAAGAGGGTTTGTGCATTACTCTAGATGCGGAGATGCCTCCTGGATCATCAATAACCACCGTCCAGTCACCTAGCCATCCGATTTCTGTCAACATTGGGAAAATCTCCACTGATAAAGAGTCACAGCCTTCTCTTAGCAGAGCTTCTGCTGTACTTTCGACTCCATTGACAGGATTCATAGAGAAGGATTGTGTTTTCGAGGTAGTAGCAACCAGTCTCGGCGAACCCGTTGCTTTTTTGGAAACACATGCTTCCCTCCCCAACCAGCGTGCCTTGATGGCTACGCTTGTACCGAAATTCGACCTGCCCGCCGAGAAGCCTGAAATTGTCTTCCTCTGCGACCGCAGTGGTAGCATGAAAGGCAAAATCCCTGCTCTTGTTGCCTCGCTCAACATTTTCCTCAAATCACTGCCGCTCGGCGTGAAGTTCAATATTTGTAGCTTCGGAAGCTCGTTCGACTTTCTATGGCCAAGGTCCTGCACATATAGTCAAGACACACTCAGCCAGGCGGTTGCATACGTCCAGGATTTCAGCGCCAACTATGGCGGCACCGAGATGTATGAGCCGATCAAGACCGTGTTTGAGCAGCGATACAAGGATACGAGCCTTGCCGTTTTCCTCTTGACGGATGGCAAGATATGGGATCAGCAGCGACTATTTGACCTCATCAACAACGAAGTTGGTAAACCTGATGCAAACGCTCGTATCTTCACCCTTGGGGTCGGATCTGGAGCCAGCACATCATTGATAGAAGGGGTTGCCCAAGCAGGGAAAGGCTTCGCGCAGGCTGTCCTGAAGTCAGAAAAAATGGACAAGAAAGTCATCAGGATGCTCAAGGCGGCGCTTCTTCCTCAAATATCTAATTATAGCCTTGAGATAACGTATCAAGACACCAGCGCACTGCCAGAGGATGATTTTGTCGTCATTGAGAAGAACATGGAATCACTCAATAGAACAGCCGCGGAGGAGGAAGAAAAGGCGACCCCAGTCATATCGCTTTATAACAAGGGCCTAGAGAGCGAAGAAGATTCGAGCGGTGATGATGGTGGTCCGGCCGCGGTTGACGCCAAGTATGACCATCTACCACCCGTCGATGTCCCCGCCTGTATCCAGACCCCGACCGAGATTCCTCCTCTTTATCCCTTCAACAGAACAACAATTTACGTTCTCTTACCGGCATCTTGCCCCGAACGAAAGCCGAAGTCAATTCTTCTCAAAGCCACATGTTCACACGGTCCTCTGGAAGTCGAAATCCCAATTGTTCATCTACCCGAGCCATCCACTACGATTCACCAGCTGGCCGCTCGTAGGGAGATGAAGGAGCTTGAGGAAGGACGTGGCTGGCTAGCAAAAGCAAAGAACGCCGAGGGCGAGCTCTTGCGAACCAAACACGACGGGAGGTTCTCCGACATGGTGGAGCGAGAAGCAGTACGTATCGGAACCCGGTTCCAGGTTGCGGGTAAATGGACCTCCTTCATTGCCGTTGACGAATTGCCCGATGGAAGTGAGCAGTCCGTTGCGGACGAGGGCTTCAGTCAATCGCAGCACGCGGAGCCAGCTCAGATAAGCACGATGCCTCTGTATGCTCTATCCCATTCGAAAAAGAAAAAGGCCGTTATGAGCTGTTGCTTCGTTGCGGATAATGATTATGGCCATGGAAATCGTGAGGACAAGACTGACGACGATCCTGCGGAGCTAGAGGTGATGAAGATGGCAGGCCGCCCGCTCAGGCGCAACGTAAATACCCAGCAGCACATGATTGACCGGATAACACAAAAGTCAGATGTGGTAGATGATGCGGGTAAGATGAACGGGGAGCGTCTTGACCGGATTGGTGACGGTCCGGTTTCGAGGGAGCAGAAAACGCACTCACCCACTCCGCTCCAGACCCTCGTCTCTCTGCAGCAGTTTTCAGGTAATTGGGCATGGTCTCAAGAACTCAAAACAGTCCTTAGATTCGATATCAAAGGCCCCGCCGAAGCAGCTCTCCTCAAATCTGTAGACAACCATACTGATGCTGAGATGATCATAGCGACAGCATCCGCAGTGACGTTCCTGAAGAGGAGATTCGCAGAGGATAAGGAGTTGTGGGATATGCTGGCCGATAAAGCAGAGACTTGGCTACGTGGAAAGGTCGGGGAGAATGTAGAGGAATTGTTCAAGGTCGTGGAGAAAGCTATGGGATTCTAGTTTCATTCATATTACTTCTTTTACATATTACGTTTATATAAAGTTAGTCGATTTCATCTTTTTTAGAACCCTTGCTCAACTTGACTCCCATTTTTACTCCTAACTCGGAGGATAGACAACATAATGTAGGCCCAGAATGAATCAAATGAGTGTATGTGGCGTTACTTTGGGTTGCCTCTCCCGCCGAGTCGCCACTTCTTGGCATCTGCCTTGTCCCGTTTATCGTCCACGGAGAATAGAGTAAACGGACTTGGGGTGGTACCCAAAGGGAAAGGGAAGGTTACATCGGACAGATTTTCTTATCCCTGTATTCGCTTCTAGGGGATCTGCTGACACAAAGCCAAAGCACCGTTGTGTGTCCACGGGCCATTGTATAGGCAGTAATTGTGAATTTTTGCGAGATATTCTGGAAGAAGGATTGGGACGGCATGTCGAATTATATAACCACATGCCGGTGCTCACTAGTTCCAAAAGACTGTCGGATGCCATGGCGTTCTCAGACTCAAAGATTCAGTCATAGTGGTTCACGATGAGACAGTCTCTTTGGTTTCTAGCCGCTGCTTTGGTGGTGGCTCAGGCACATCCACAACGCTCCAGAGCAAATACAGGCGCCAGCCTCCGGAGGCGCGGCGTGAATATTGACAAATATTTACTGCCTGACAGCAGCACTTATACCGAGGCTGCTTCTCTCGATGATATCAAGCTGTCAACTCTTGGCTCTGGCTACATTGAAACTGCTACAAACATTGTCAAAAGTATGTTCCCTACCATCGATTTCCGTCTTGTCGATGACCACTATGTGGGAACAAACGGCATGGCCCATGTGAACTTCAAACAAACCGTGCATGGGATTGATATTGATAACGCCGACTTTCATGTCAATGTACGGGACTTGATTCCTGATAAATGGCACTTTTCGTTAATACGGTTTTTTTTTTAGGTTGGAACAGATGGAAATGTCTTCTCGTATGGACACAGTTTCTTCGGCGGCTCACTCCCTCACGAGCCTCCCCGACAAAAGCGGGACACGGGTGATGCTGTCCAGGCCCTGAGAGGTGCCATTGATATTCTGGGTCTCCCCGTTCAAATAACACCCGATACCGCAGTCGTTCCGAACTTGCTTGAGTCTACCGTCTACTCGGTTATTGGGGCTTCAGGTGCCGAACGAGACCCCGAAGCACGTCTCGTATATCTTCGACACGGAAAGAGGTCAAACTTACCTGGCGTGTTGAGACTGACGTCGTGGAGAACTGGCTGCTTACATATGTTGATGCTTGTTCCATGAATGAGATACGAGGCGTTGTTGACTACGTGTCCGACATTGCGAGCTATCAAGTCTACCGGTGGGGGGTAAATGACCCCGATGAGGGTTCACGTACGACTGTCATGGAACCTTGGCTTTTATCTGCCTCCCCGTTCACTTGGATTAGTGACGGACGACAACGCGCGGAAATAATGGAATTGCGCAGGTAAACCCTTCCGGGAACTCGTCGTACCTCGATAATTATCGACCCGATTCTCCGGAGCTCAAGTTCGAGTACCCTTATTCGCCGGATCAGACAGACCCCGCTGAATACAGGAATGCATCAATTACTCAATTAATCCACACCGCTAACATGTTCCACGACCTCCTGTAGACACTGGGATTTACCGAGGCTGCCGGGAATTTCCAGTTTAACAATAATGGTCAAGGCGGCAAGGGAGATGATCCTGTGATTCTTGACGCGCAAGACGGCTCCGGATCCAATAACGCGTAATTTGCTACGCCGCCAGATAGCAGCCCTGGACGGATGACAATGCTGATGTATACTTGGTCGCTTCCTGAGCGTGATAGCACCTTCGAAGCCGGCGTAGTCATTCATGAATACGCTCATGGGCTTTCCAACCGACTTACAGGCGGTCCAGCCAACTCCAACTGCCTTGGCGGCGAAGAATCGGGCGGTATGGGCGAGGGCTGGTCCGATTTCTTCGCCACTGCTGTCCGTCTCAAGCCCAATGACACTCGCGAGACGGATTATCCTATAAGCGCATGGGTCAATGATTGGGCTCTCGGCATTCGCGCTTATCCATACTCGACCAGTATGACTACGAACCCACATGTCTACTCCGATATTGATAAAATGGGTGGTGAACCTCACAGCATCGGTGAAATCTGGGCCAGTGTCCTTTATGAGATCTTGTGGAACCTTATAGATAAACATGGCAAGAATGATGGGGATTTTCCCGACTTTGACAGCAATGGTGTCCCCACCGATGGAAAGTTCCTTACTATGAAGATTGTCTTGGACGCCATGGCGCTGCAACCTTGCTACCCGGCATTCAATCAAGCTCGCAAGGCTATCATCGACGCGGATAAAGCTTTGACTGGAGGAGCCAATTATTGCGAACTCTGGGCTGGATTCGCGAAGCGTGGGATGGGTCCTGATGCAACCAATTCTACGTATAAGCCTCGCATGGACGACTTCAATCTACCAGTTGGCTGCTTGAATTGAGGCTTTGCGGGATAAAATTAATGAGTTGAGAGACAACTGATAATGAAGATAATACGAAATGCTGCGGTAAAATTTTCATTGATCTCACACTTTGTCTTTTTTAGGTTACATATTATGAGGGATACTGGAAGGACGTAGTATGTAAACGGGATTGGATAAAATTTTCCATTAATAACAATGAAGAGAACAATAGCAACACATATTTCTGAGCCTCAAAAGAGAGAAAAGAGCAATGAATTTACAATGGGATTGTACACAATAGAAAGTCACCTGGCAGGCATAGGCGAGAGCCGAGCCCGAGTATCCGGAAAAATATTGTTCGGTAACCTTAAAACGCAACGAGATCGAGCTGAACAGAGATGTGACTGTGGCTTGGATTAGTTAGTTGTTCTAAATGTAGCATCTGCCAGCCTGAATAGAGCCCACCCCTTTGTTCAAGGTTCAACAAATCCCTTGCATGAGTATTCGGCTAGTTGTTCGCTAGTTCCCAATCGTCTATTCGCCACGTAACAAAGGAATGTCCTCCGGAAATGCCGATCACATCATGCTCTCTCAATGGTTTAGCTTCTGGGCTAGTTAGATATATAATAATCACGAACTGTCTGCTTGATCTGATTTTCTCCTCATCAGGTTGAAGAAACGACGGAGTGGCAGGCTTCAACATCGGCCTCTTTGTGAAGAAAATACAGGCTTCATACTAGTCAAGCCACAATATTTCTGGCGAGCCGATCCAATTCCATCGAAGATCGACATAACATGTGATCTGGACCCGGCTTCCGCGACGCTGTTCTGGACCTTCGAGGCTGTGCCGATGCTCCACCTACTCGGCTTCAGCCATAATGTCCTTTCTCCTTGGGGAAGTGTCGGCGTTTAGATTTGGTTTCAACGCGGCAGGGATTGCCGTGAGTGCCCAAATTCCATATTGAGTTTTGAATTCAGCCTTGCGTAGATCTAACGTGAGCACCTCCAACTGCTCTTTAACGGGCGCCCGTTCATCCGTTTTAAAATGTAAATTCATCAGCATTCATCGTGCGGCTCACATAAGTTTCGATATAATACTTTCGGATGTGTATGGAACATCGTAAACTGATTCCCCTGAATTGATTCGGCATCTAGCCTTTTGTGCCAACAGTCATGCTGTCTCTGAACATACTGGAGGCGCTTTGCGCTGCATTTGCCTTGGGCATTCCTCACGCGGCAGCACAAACTTCTACAGACCCCTGCGCTGCGGTAGCAACCGCACAAGCCAAAGCCTTTAATACCAACATACCCAAAGACGGAGATCTTGTCCTCTCGGCTCTGTTCGATGCCGATACAGCATACAAGTGCGCTCTCTCGGTGCCGTTCAACAAGGACCATGCCCTCCAAATGCTCGACCTTGCGTTGCAATACGCCGGTTTCCAGACCACCCTCGCCTACCTGAAGAATCCACCCCAGTCGTACCTACAGGCTCCCGTTGACGTTATGGGCCGATTCAATCAGATTCGGCAGAAGATTAACGGGAATAATTACCCGAATCTGTACGCTTTCGATTTGGACATGCTTGCCATCGTGCGTGACACTCACGAGGGCCACTTCTCGCTCCCTACCGGCGTTCTGAACCTGTTCAAGTGGTCGCTCCCCGACACGCTTGTGTCATTCTCCAAGGACGGCAAGGAAATTCCACAGGTCTATTCTGCGCAAGACGTATTTAGGAATGTATCTGATCCATCGCCGGTGGTGCAGCTCGGAGGACAATCTGTCTTCGAGTATTTAAGAAGCTATGCCTCCAACACAAGCGATTTGGGCCTGGTTGAGCCACATGCCGAGTGGAATGTCATTATGCAAAATTCGGCATATTCATTTGGCGCGTCGGGTTCAGATGATTTTCAGTCTTATTATCCCGGTTACTTCGAGAGCACCCCTGTTTACAACGGCCCCTCAATCACAGGTTCGTTTGCGAACGGCACTCGTTTCGAGTGGAAGTACCAGGCAGGCTCCAACCAGCTCCTGGGACAAGGCAACCTGACGAGTGGGCAGGACATATACGACAATTATGTCATGAACCCCGATTTCGGCTCAAACAGAAAGCGAGCTACAGGGCCCTTTGACCCCCGCAAGCTTCCAGGTAGTCCAGTTATTAAAAGAGATACTTCGGCAGTCAGTGCAACGGCGGTGCCTCTTCCAAACTATCCCAAAAACCCGATTGTTATACAGGCCAACTTTTCTTCTGGCGGCATAGTGTCCGGTTATATTCTCGAATCTGACTCCATCGGCGTCCTTAGTATACCCAGCTTTTCTGCTCAGGATGGAAAGGCAGACCCTCTCAGCTTCCACGATGCCGTCGCTGGCTTTATCAGCCAAGCCTCATCCAAGGGGATGAAGAAGGTTGTGATCGACCTTTCTGGGAATGGCGGCGGCAACGTGAATCTCGGTTACGATACTTTCAAGCAGTTCTTCCCATCCGGCCTGCCCGGTTCCGCTGTCCGAGCCCGCGTCACTCCTCAGGTGAACACTTATGGATCTATCGTGACGGGAATCGCCAGAGACAACGGCACATTCTTTGATAGCGATGTCAAAGCGAGCTTTGCTGCCGTAACCCTGGGCGCTGGTCAGGTCAACGCCGACTATACTCTAAACCAAAACCGATCAGCCTGGAAGTCGTGGGGATCCTTCTGTACTCCTCAGGCCATCCACGGAGACAACTTCACCAAATTGGCGACTTACAACTTGACAGACCCCCGTACGACCGCTGATCTCGGATTTCAAATGGCCAACACCAACATCTCACAAGGATCTCCGGCCGCGCCCTGGGCGGCGAATGATATCATTATACTCTTGGATGGGTACTGCGCAAGCACATGCAACATATTTGTGGATCTCATGAAGAACGATGCCGGAGTGAAAACTGTTGCCGTAGGCGGTGTCCCTCAGAACAGCCCAATGCAGGGAGTAGCTGGCACTCGTGGAGCGAGCGTGGTGCCATGGTATCGGTACACAGGTCTGTCTGAAGCGATCGGTAGTCTCATTATGGACGATCCCAACGATTCCGCAAAGGCGTTCACTGCTTTTGGGTTGAACGCCAGCGACCTCAACGGGCTCCCACCACGAACCGACCAGGCTCCGTGGAACGTCAGAGAGGCAGGCATAAACGCTCTGGATATGATCCGGTTTGACAGCCCCCAGGAGCCTCGACAGTTTGCCTACGAGGCAGCCAACTGTCGGCTGTTCTACACACGGGACATGATCCGAGATATTTCGCAGGTGTGGCGCGCGGCTGTTCAAGTTGCTGGCGGTAACAACTCGCAGTGTGTGGAAGGGTCTGTGGACGCGCAAGGATCAGGTGTCAACCAGACAGTGACAACATCTGTTGGGTTCACTGCTGCTGACATTTGGAATAGTGCCAATTCAACCAATGTTACTCAGAGCAGTAGCAACAACAGCGACTCGTCTGGCTCGGACCACGGGGTTGGGATGGCTGGTTTGGTGGTTCTTCTATCGCTGATGGTAGCTTTCATGTCTTAGGCGGAGTATTTCTCTGATCTGGAAGTTTGTATATTAATAAATAGTTGGTGTTTAATCACGAGGGGGTTGTTTGGTTCTTACATAGGGGCTGCTCATCGTTTTGGCCGAAACTGAAGATCACCTTTTCTGCCCTGTTAATTGAAAGGGGGCAACTGAGACGTTCGTCTTAACGTACAACAATCTTTCTTGATACTTGAACTTGACTCTTTTTGTCTCGGATTGTGATCCTAAGACCCCTAGCATATCATCCCTGCTTATGCGGGGGACGAAGAAATCCTGACCCACGAGTCAGCAACATCCCCATTCCCCAACCTCGGCACAACTCTTGTCCACGTGATCCGCGATCCTTCTTCTCTTAAAGGGGATAAATCTCAATAACATTGTGACCTGTTCATTTCTCTCTTTGAGCCATCTCGGAAGAAATCTGAAGAAAATGCCCATCTCGCTCACAAGCCCTGGTGCGCTCAAGGCGCTCTACGCCGGAAATGCGGTACGTCATTGTTGCGGTTCTTCTTGATGAATCTTAGCTTACTGGAATATTTGATATCCATAGCTCTGGTTTTCCAGGTAAGTAGAGAGTTAATACAGTTCATTTGAGTGTGCCACTCTGGAGTTCAATTACTTACGACAAACAGCGCCTTTGTTCACTTCGCTTTCCGGCAGACATTTATCATGACGAAGCTGAGCAAGCGCAAAACCAGCGGCAATGAAATCTTCAAGAAGATGGCACAAGGAGATGGCTGGCACCACGACATCCTGGCATATCTCGGCGCCATGAACACATCGCTGGCAGCTCTGGCAATCCTTCGTTTGTACGCCATGGTCCGGCCCACGAAGGCTCTGTCGACCGGAACAGCCCACGGAGACATCCCTTTGGACGTGCTGGCGTTGGTTGTCCTCGGCGTCGGTAACGCCTCACAGGCTTGGATGAACTTCCGCACCGCTTTGACGAGTGATAGATGGATCATGGGCAGAGGATTCGACAGGATTACAGTCTTGGATGCCGTTTTTACTGTCCTTGACTGGGTCGCTGCGCTTGGAAAGGCAAGAATGCTATAAGACACTGTGTAATCCTGTATTTGCAGAAAGCCTACGAGGTGTCACATTTCATGATCCATACCGAGAATAGATACCGGGAAGAGGAATAACTCCCGAACAGGAAGAATGGATTGCAAAGGTGTATTCTTTCAAAGTTTCTCTGGATGATGTATAGACGAGAATTGAGGAAGATGACGAGAAGGGTGTATGGTCCCCACACCATCGGAATAGGAAATTGATGATATCTCGTCATTTCTGTAACCAAGCATGGGAATCAAGAGGCATTTATTTACCTTACTTTTATTAGCTTACAATCCAGGCACTAATTGAGCTCCTCTGTGATGCAGCGCAACACAAATATACGCATCGTGCATGGGGACATTTAGCAACTCTCGCCAACTGGCCTACAGTGAGGTCTGCAAAGAAAAAACAAACACTTTTTTAGTTCGAACTTAAGCGTTAAGAGTTTCAACCGTGTTCATTACTTTTGAACTACCGACTTGCCAAGAACAGAGTACTTAGGTTCCACCAATGAGAACATGTGTCGACGGTCCTAACACCATCGGTGCGATTTATATGTCAAGATGTTGGGTCTAGCATCTCCCGTTTCAATTTTTGCTTTGTACTCGACCCCTCATCAGTTGTCAAGCAATCGCTTCAACAGTATCCCGTCTAGATTCGTGCCAATGCACCCGCTAATAGCCGTAGAGAATTCTCTAGAGCTTTCCAGCAGATCCTGAAAACCCTCGCACTTCCACAGGTCGGTTATGATGCAGGCGGCGAAGAGGCTGACGAGCGTTCTCAGCTTCTCGGGGGCTGGGTTGTTGAAACAATACTGAAGCAGAGCTATAGCATCCGGGGCTATCTCTGGGATCTTCTTGGGGTCGTAGAAATGAATCCTCAATTCTTTTCGAAGGGCTGTAAGAGCTAGTTGTTTCAGGAGTGGGATCATGAATTTGTCTGCCAACACGCACACCCGGGCATGTTGGAGGAGCAGATCTGCATATGAATTCATGACTACTCGCCTGCCCACCGATTTAGGTTGAGGGGAGGCCGAATCTTCTGAGTCCGCGAGGCGTAATGTTTCAAATTCGAGCCAAAGTCCTGTGGGGATACACTCTGGCATTGTACAACCTGGCATTTTACAACCTGGCAGCGTACAACCTGGCAGTGTAGAATCTGGCAGTGTACCTGCCTCTTCCTCTCTTTGGTCTTCTGTTAGCTACCTAGGTATGTTATGTTCTCCGACTGCGGGTGTTGTCTGTTTCACTTACCGAATCTCGGTTTCAAGCAGATCCTCATCTAGCCTTGAGATCAAGACAGGAGCAGCATAGCGTCCCGAATACAAAAATTGCCACAGACCGAGGAAAGCACTGGAGTCAACGTCTGTCCAATCCACGATTCGGTCTCCAGATTCCTGCAGCCCGCCATTTACCATCGCGTCGAGGGCTGGCGAGTGGTTCGCGAGAACTGCGGAATGGATATAATACTCCTTCTTCTCTGGGCCTACGATGAAGCGGTAAACCTCCGAAGACGCGACGCTGTATAATTAGTGACATGTCGTCCTGTTGAGATAAGAGCAAACTTACGCCTCGACAGATCTCGGCTTCAGAGCTTCTAGCTGGAAAATCGAAATGTCTATCATCTTGTTGGCGGCTGCGCGGCTTTAGAAAAATCTGAGATGATCGGCAGATCTTCTGATTTGCTGCTGTTTGGACGTCAAGAAATTTGGGGATAAGCTTGGAAACTAATAACACTGATGCAACGAGCTTGGAACGAGAGAAAATTGAAGCGTATAAATAGTAGAGGAATTCCGCAGCCGCGCTAATGATAGTTTGTCTCCGTACAGCAAATCTTTATGCAGACTGACTAACGCGCTATACTCATTTACAGCTACAGTGAGACCGAACAGAAGTTCAATCAGTCAAAATATAAAGGGTGGTATTGTGATTCTGTTACCTCAGTATGGTGAAAAGGCATTGATTGTGTTGAGATGTCGGGTCTGGCATGTTTCATTGTCGATCTGTACTTTGTACTCGAACTCTCATCTAATAGTAGCGGTGCATATTGGATTCGCGAAAAAGTGCCTTTTAGTTTGTAACGTCCTCATTTGATCGTCGATTTACAATTCTTGGAAGGCTTAATCGGATTGTAAGGTTATTGTACTTATGCATCTCGCGAAAAGATGACGATGGTAAGCGGCTCTAGCTCTCCTTCTTCACTCTCATTTCTGTTAACCCAGTCGATCCTTTCAGACTTTCTCCATCCTGGCACTATTAGATCTTTAGGATTACTGGTATCAAAATCCTCTACTTCAACTGTACGTAGTGCAGTAAAAAATTTGTCCGTAAGAAGTGCACGAGGAACCCCGTCACCGCCCGGCACAGCGGAGCCGCGGATGTAGATTGATTCCAGTCGTGGAGGCAGAACATTTCTTAAGCTGGCTGCCAGTTCACCCTCATCACCTTGCGGGAAATCCTCTTCGAGATCTTCACTCCTCAGCTTGAGTTTTCTCAGTGCTTTCAAGTTCTTCAAGGATCCCAGATGGCCATCGTGCCCGAAATAGCCTCTGAAACCTTCAGTCTCGAAATCAAACGTCTCGAGGCGCTGCCCATATTTTCTCAACACAGCTCCTATCTTATTGAAATCAATATCGTCGGCCTGTTCATCCGAGTCCATCCTGCCAATAACAGCCAAGACAATATGCAGACTCCGAAGCTGTCTGCACCGGCTGAGAATATCTTTCAGACCGGCAGCATCAACAATGGAAGATTTCATCTGCAGAGACGTGAGGCTGCTCGGAATATGGCTCCAATGCATCCTCTTGACATCTTCCTTTGCCCAAGTGAAGGCAAAGAGCCGAAGAGTCTCGATTCCAGGATGTAAAAGCACGCCTTCGATCTCTGAAGCGCTGTCAAAGCCATTGCCGAAATCGTGCCTGAACCGTACTTCCCTGAGCTGCGCAAAGGGGTGGCCAAGTGGGACAGCATGCTTATGGGCAGTTTCCTTGCTCGATATGATACTTGCGGCCTCGCTATTGTTGTCTTCATTATCAGAATCAGAACCGGGCTCATCACCATCGTCGTCGTCATCATTATCACTACCAATCTGCTCGTCCTCGGAAAGCATATCCCCAGATAAAGAGTCTTTGGACGAAATCTTCTCGAAGAAATGATCTTCCACATCCTGCCTTCTGCTGAGGTAAGCTGCAACTCCCCCGTCCGCAGTCGTCTGCCCGCAATCGAGCATGCGTAGGCGGGGGGTGAGAATGAGAAGAATGAGCATGAGATCATCATTGCCCGCCCACGGTCTTTCCGCCGCCAGCCATCGCCGCAGCCATCTCTGCTGCCTCTCATCCAGATTATCCGGTGTAGCTAGAAGTTTGCGGGCTATGTTAATTGCCTCAAGGTTCCAGGCTCTCCAGTAATCCACGTGGAAGTCTCGAATGATGAGCCCGAGATGAGGATCGTCGCATAGCGTGCGCAAGAATGTCTCGATTATCTTCTCCTCATACTTGTCCTCGCGCCACTGGAATGCGACTGTGCGGTAGATGAGAGGGCGGGAGACATCGCGAAACCGGCGGCACACTCGCGAGAGCGCGATCAGGTCCCTTGGCGGTGGACATTCAATGTCGGCGATGTAGCCCTGCTCCCAGTTGTCAAAAGGGATCGTACATTCAAAGTGCTCGAAAATGCGATGAAGAGTCTCGGACGGCAATGTGTCCATGTTGAGTGTCTAGGTTTGGTGTTGCCCCCGTGTTTGGTGTTTGATTGTCGATGGTTGAGTTGATGGTGGTTGTGGTTTGTTCACGGCAAAGTTCTGAAGCGTGAAATCTGAAGCACGAAACACCCTGGTCAGAGTGGATTCTTCCGAAGGATGTTAGGATTATGATTTGCCCATGCGTACCGATATTAGCTTCTCACAATAAGCTTCAAATTATGATAGATGTAAGCGACCTGTTCAGACTGAATTGCGTGATGAAACCGCTTGCGAAATGGGAAACAAAACAAATGCAACAGGTTTGAGTTAACATACGTGAACTGAGCAGTTGTACATGATTCTCACCTAGTTCTTGATTCGATCTTTACCAAATAAGGCTAAAGATATGGGCATTGCCACCTGCAACGAGGCCCCTATCCATCCGCTGGGAACGAACAAATAGCACTGAAAACTAGCCCATGTGCGATCTGCTCAGTGACTCCAAACAGGAAACGATGGCCGCAAAATACTGGCTGTTCTTAATACAGACACATGGAGTCATCTTCCGTCGCAACCCGGGACACGCTCGTTATAATTAAAATAAATTGTCTGATGCGTAAATAGATGGTCAGTTGGCAGCTCGGTTGGGATTAGATAAAGACTTGTGCGAGAGAAGGTTATCTGATGCCTCCGAGAAAATCACGTATATTGGCGAGACTGAAGAGGCATAGCCCAGAAGGAAAGTGGTATTAGAATATACCCAAATATTAACAAGGTGTGATCCCTCAGATAATGTCTAGACATGGAACTGTCCTCCCGCAAATGCCAATCGTTCCATCACAAGTATGGAAGAAGTGGTGTCATACCATCTCAATCAAGCTAATCGAGGTCCTTGTGCCAAGGAGGTATCTTATTGCGCCATTCGTCCTTCCATAGCGCATAATCTGCAGCTTTGTTTCGCCTCGGATATTTGTTCCCGATATTGGCATCATAATCTTGTCCCATGACATATTTCTCCAGGACGGGCTCCAGGTCGAAAAAGATCCCCAGTTCCACATGAAAATCGAGCAGGTCGGACAGTTCTTCTCGAACTGCCCGCATAAAGATAACGTAGCTGTCATAAGCCATCTTCGAATGTTTCCTGCGGTCCGAGCTATACCCTTCATTTTCTCAGATCCGATGGCCGTCCATATCGAAATCAAGTTCAAGGCATAGTTTTGATATCTCAAGGTTGTTGTGAATAAAAGACAGCAGAGTCCACCACTCGTTTTCATTTTTGTGCCGAACTAAATAGTCACCACCCATGTCTAGACTGGTCCGTCGTATTTGCTTCAAAGAATCGGATGGGAGACTTTTGAGCGCATTCATAGTCTCGACATAAGTGCCGCTGAAGAGAAATGTATTGGTTGAGAATAAAATCTCGGCGGCATCCACATGCATTTGCCATCTGACCAGAAAGAGTTCGAGAGGCAGCAGCCGACAAGCACAAGATTTGTTATACGACGCATAATTCAAGGGACAAGAACAATGGAGCTTGGTAAAGGAACATTTCGTGCAGCAAGTCCGTACCTCAGATGTCATGCTCCATATGCCAACCTCATGATTGTATTTGCCAGCCGTGAATCGAATAAAAGATAGATCGCCGAGATATGAACCGCCGGGCCCAAGATTCGTAAACTCAAGTATGCGGAGACGAATCTCTCGAGGCAGTGAAGAAAACGAAATCTTGGAAACTATTTGTTTTTCTTCTGTTTCTTCTGTAGTGAGGCCAAGGGCAGTCGATTCTGCAAGTGAACGAAGAGTATAGTCCACCTTTCTGGCAAGCCGTATGCTGCATTCTCTCAGGCGCGGGAGAGACCTCAGAGGCCTGATGATATATTCGGCTGTTGCCAAGTCTCCAACATCGCAGATGAACTCAAGGTGAAGTTTTCCTGGAGTGATAATGGTACAGAGACGCTGACAAACGTCCAGCCATCCGGCTATGATGTTTTTAGAGGCACTTTCATGGACAGAAACCTCTGGGTCACTCCCCGAGATGTTCCCATCTTCACACAACCAGCAATCGCCCGTCTCTATGTTGGTCAAACTATGGCCACGGATACACGGCCAACTGTTTAAGCGAATTAAGAGATGCCTTAGTACACGTATCCCTTCGATAGGGTGTGTCAACAAGACCCGCAAGTCCTCAACATGCTGATGTGTGCGGACAATGAATTTGTCCTCGCCATAAAGCAACTCAAGCGCCTCCTTATGGATGCCCTTTCAGACTAGCAGCAACTGTTTAGGTATGAGTGGACAGTCGCATTCCGGGCTATGAGCAGTAACACGTTCCGACTTCATCTGTTTGTGAAGCTTGTATGCACACGTGTGAAAATTGCTTTTCACGTGTCGAATGGCACCCCGTGAGGGAGGCGTAATGGTGATGGGGCATTCTCGGACAAGGCCCGCTACAACGTAAATTTGTCTCCGAATGTTCATGGGCAGCGAAAGAAGGGGCGACGCCCTTGATGTTGATGTTAGATTCATAGTGTTCATCTTGTTCCGAAAGCTACTACGCGTGACGGAATGATTCTAGGAGTCCGGACATTCTGTCTTTCTGTTGTTATAAGTGGCAGAGACGAAGGTCTGGCTTGCCGGGCCAACAGAAAAAGATAATCGGCCTCAGAGCTGGGAATTACTAAGCGCATGGAAGAAGCGGCGCTTCCTGTAAGATTCGTCAAGGGCCTCGAGGTGGAAACGACAACAAAAGCCACTCCAAAACGCAGAAGCAGGCTCCTAAGGCCGCCCAGAAATTAAAATGTCAGCAAAAACCCGACCCAGCAATGCTCGCGCTCCCAACAGAAATATGAAAGCTCCCGGCAGGGTTAGCAAGAAGTCCGCTAGAAGAGGGAGAGCTTGGGCAAAAAGTCACCTCGAAGAAAAAGAGCTGGCAGGATAACTCCAAGTATAACTGGCAAAAAGTCCCCTAAAAGGCTCCCAAACAGTCCGCTAGGAAGGCTGGTAGAAAGGCTCTAGCTAAAGCTGGCAAGAAGTCTCCAGCAAGAGCTGGAAAGAAGCTTCCTGCTAAGACTAGCAAAAAGTCTCCTAGAAAAGCTAGAGAGAAGTCTACGGGTAATCCTAGAAAGAAAAGTCCTAGCAGAGTTGGCAAAAATAGTCCAGGCAAGGCTGGGAAGAAGTCTTTAGTCAAAAGACCATCGAAGAACGCTCCAGCAAAAGGCCGGCCAACAAAGAACAGTTCAACGAGGAAGGCTTCAGCAAAGACTCCATCAAGGGAAGTTACAGCAAAGGCAGCAGTCAAAACAGAGGCAAAGAAGGCTCCATCCAAAGATCCGACAAACAAGGCTCCCGAGGTCGAGCACCACCTACGAGCCACGATCACCGGCGCGACAGTTGTAACAGCTGAGTTACGGCATCAAGTTATGTAGACTCCAGGCCAGTATTGGTGCCATTCTACGAGATGGAGGGGTCGAATGCTTCAAGGAAGGCCTCTTCATGCCGACAGACCCATCAATGCTCCGTCGTTTCGGCAAACGCAAGGTGGCGATCGGAAATGGTTTGCCTGAATACATGGTTCCGAGCTTTGCAATTTAGTTGGCAAGGGTTCCTCTGACCTCTAACGGGAAGACAGATCGACGTCTTCTACTGTCGGAGATTTATAGACGCCCACGAAGGGATCCATTCGCTTACGACACGGATGCAGTCAAGCAACAACCGTAAACAGCCGTAGATATATTGTTGAAGAAGATTGTGGCTTTTATTTGAATGCAAAGCCAAATTCCAATGGCATGAATGATCATTTGTTTCAACCGGGGGACCATTTGATTGTTGTCATGTAGCTTGTTTAGCTTATGTGGGAAATGACTAGACTCTCACTACATATGGAAGATGGGGTTGGCACACAGAACTTGCAAATCCTTACTGCTTGCATTGCTAAGCAAATTCTCGAGTAAAAATGCGACTAAGGTGGTACATTCTGTCAACTCTTTGGAATCTAGTTAGCATAGCTCTAGAAGCTGAGCTCAATGAGCAAGACAAAACGAAATCGAGAGAGCCTTTCCCCCCCATGTTAACCTTGTGACATTATTGTGAGCTTGCATTGCCTAATACGACTATGCCACATCAGCGGGCTCTCCGATGTTTCAGCTGATGCCGATGCCGCTCTATCGCCGTGCTGCATGACTCGAAGATATGGGTCGTGGCCCAATGCTAATTCTGTTGTTGCATCGCAGGAACTAATCGCCAATAAGGGTGAAGAGTAGATGCCACTCCCTATCCAGAAATGGAACCAAGGTTACAATGCCGAGCACCACTGATCTTCCACGTACAAAATGACCCGCCTATCCCATCCTCATGCATCGCTGGAGTAAAGGACGGTAAACGTGGCGCTACGTCATGTCATGGTTTACTAGCAAAAGAAGAGGCCATCATAGAGACTTCTAATTAGCCTTGAGAGCTACGGCCCAATAAATGGCATGAGCTTAGATCACCCAATCGACCATTCTACTTTAAACTCTCTCACGGTACAACAACACGCTTGGAGGAGTGAAAAGCTCCGCCAGAACGCACCTGGTTTCATCGTGGAGACTTTAGGGTTACATGGTAAATTTCTGGTTGAATATTGCCCTGAAACGCCGAGAGTAAGTGATTACATGTCCCTGATGCGTTGGCCTTCACATTACTATGCGTGCCCCTCGACACGTATCATCGACCCCTGGGTAGATATTCTCCGTAAAGCTTATTAGCACGTCATTGAAGTCTTCATTGTTAAAGGTCATGAGTCTCCGTTCTTCATGTATTCATCATCTGTTTAATAAAGCCGTATTCGATTATTCCCCAACATGTTGTTTTGCCAACTTAACGAGACCTCTACTCTCGGCTTTTGCGTACACACTCTTGTTGAACATGCTGCTATCAGGTTCTACGATAAGATTGCCTTGATTTGTGCAAATCAGTCCCTCACATTCGGTGCTCTCAACTGCCTTTCGAACCAACTCGCACTGTCCTTGATAGATCAGGGCATTGGTCGCGGCCAAATTGTGGCTGTCGCCCTAGAGAGGTCACCCAGACTTGTCGTGGCCTTATTAGCGGTGCTCAAAACGGGTGCTGCGTATCTGCCTTTAGACCTGGTACTTCCAAATCAGCACCTCAGACACATCTTGAACGACGCCTCTCCGAGTTGTGTACTCGTTGACTCTACATCAAAAGATTTATTCACACCATGGAGGAGTATTTGCTTCGATATTGACGGCATGCAAAGGATGCCTACCGGCGCCCGAAACCCAAACATCAACGTAAAAGTTGCTGATCTGGCCTATATTACGTACAGCTCAGGGCCGGCTGGACGGCCGAAGGGCGTTCAAGTTACCCACGGCGCTGTCTCCAATGTGCTGTGTTCAACGATGCGCGAGGTTAATGTTAATGAGACGGACCGTCTACTTGCCATCACAGCTATTTGCTGTGACATTGCTGTGCTGGAGCTTTTCTTACCCCTTTTGTGTGGTGCTTCCATCGTTCTCGCTCGGACTGCGGATACCAGCACTCCCAAGGCATTACTTGGTTTAATGAGACAATACCGCATCACTACTATGCAGACCACGCCAACAATATGGCAGATCCTGCTAAATCAAGGACTTCAGGAGGCTCCCCGCTTGGCGAATCTGATTTGCAACGGACACAAGTTGCCTCAGAAGCTGGCGCAGAATCTCGTCCCATTCGCGGATTCGGTTTGGAACTTGTATGAACCTTCAGAAACAACAATCAAATGGAGCTTGTGAGGAGTAGCACTTACCTCAAAGGATATCTCATCGATCATCATGCCTCATCTTGATCCTTTCAATCTCAACCGTGAAGCATGTCCGTTGCTTATCGTGATCCCTCATCCAAAGGTTATGAAAAGGCATGATGGGCCATGACTAACAAGGGAGAATCGGGAGAGTGCAGGGTGGCTTTTTCCACAAGACCAAGAGATTTACTTGCATTAATGGAATTCCAGTTCATAGAGCACCTCACTAAGCAATGCACCCAGGGAAGTAAGGAATCGCTCATAAATATCATTGAAAATTCTAAGTCCTATCGCCCATCTCTAAATACTAAGTATTCCCTCCATGTTGCGTCATTCTCTAAATATTGGGTATAAATAGCCACTCTATATCAGACATTGGACATTTATCTTCTCCATGTTCAGGCAAGGCTCTTCAAAACCTGGTTCCTGCGCGCATCAATGTACTCGCTGCTGAGGGGGTAATCGTTGTATCCAACCTCAGAAGCAGGGATGTAGAAACTGGCGCGATGGTACTCGTTGGGAGCAACGCCGTTCTTCACGCGCCAGACAAAGTCAGGGGTCGCCAGGAAAGTACGGCCGAAGGCAACGATGACATCCCATTTGGCGTAGTGGCTATCCAGGATCGAGGCTGCCGAGGAGGGAGTGTAGGCACCAGCTACCACAACAGGGGAGTGGTTGTCCCAAATTTCTAGGATGAAGTCGAGATTCTGGCCAGCCACTTCCGAGTCATCGGAGGGGCCGAGCAGCTTAGCCGGGTCACCGCGGGGCTCAACCAGGGAGAGATAGGCCAAGGGGGCGAGGGCCTTGAGCTCGCGGATAATATAAGTGTACTGAGCAATGATGTCGGAGGACTCGGCACCCTGGAAGGTTGCGAAGGGAGACAGGCGAAGAGCAGTGCGCTCTGGGCCGATGGCAGCACTGACGGCCTTGACGACCTCGAACAGGAGGCGGGAGCGGTTCTCGATAGAGCCACCCCATTTGTCGGTGCGCTTGTTGACCGAGTCGGAAATGAACTGGTCGATCAGGTACCCGTGGGCACCGTGGATCTCGACGCCGTCACCGCCGGCAGCGATGACGCGCTTGGCGGATGCGACGAAATCGTCGATGAAGCCCTGGATCTCCTCCTCTGTCATGGCCTCGGGGACGACACCACCCTCCGAAATGGGCACGGCGCTGGAAGACCTGTACTTGTACCCGCGCTTCTTCTGGTACTCCGGGTTGGAGGCCCGGCCCTGGCTCCAGAGCTGCTGGAACCACACGGAGCCGTTCTTATGGACGGCGGAGATGACGTTCTTCCACGCGGCCTCCTGCTCGTCAGTAGCGAAGGCGGGGCCGTGAGGCTCGCCGGCATCCTGCAGAGAGACGCCGGTGGCCTCGGAGATGATCAAGGTCCCTGGGGTGGCGGCTCTCTCGCCGTAGTACCTCTGGGCGAAGGAGTTGACAACATGGTATTCGTCGTTGCGGTATCTGGTGAGAGGCGCCAGGGCAATGCGGTGCTGAAGCTGGGCCTTGCCGATCTTGACGGGCTGGAGGAGCTTGCTGTCGGCTGGGACCTTTGCGGCTGTCATTGTGAGTTGTTGTTGGGGGGATGTTTTAACTTTGGGGTATATAGTTGAATGATGCGTGAAACAAATCGCTGTCTATAATGCTGTCTATGAGAAACAGTGGATGTGAGGTAGAGTGATGTTCTTATTATGCTGATAAATAATAGAAATTGTTAGCTGAGGAGAAGATGCCCGCCATCTTTATAGCTCAAGATTTGTAGCCTCAAACCCACTTACCATCGGCAGCTGAGACTGATTAACGAGCAAGCTCCTCTCGCAAGTGTCGTAGCACATCATCGCTCCACTTCCCGCTGGAATCGCGGAATTTGGAAGATTCTGGGAGGATCATGCGATGGGGTGGAGGATATGACATCCCGGCCTGTCAAAGCCAAACTCTTCCTATAACAAGAATCGCCCGAAACGATTTTGCAACCGATAATGATCGGATGTGATGAGCAATCAAGCGCTATTATTAATACGCAGCATCCCTGGCATCAGGCTCGAGAACTTGCGGATTAAAATTTGTGCCGCTCACGTTGGAGTGATTGATTCCGGCATTCCGATATCAAGCTTCAACTGGATCTCCGCGATTCCGCTGGTCCTCGCCAGTGACATTCCGTGCATAGAAAAGGGATAAAGGCTTGTTTACGCAAGCATATCCCCACTCTTCCTCGGTTCTGGCAGCCGGATGAGTTCAAGGCCGTGCTTTAATGATCATGGCATCCTTTGACATGATTCGATATTGGCCGCGCTGCCTTCAAGCCTCCCAAACTCCGCCCCTTAGCTGATGGTAATAATTCCTCTAAGAAGGATGGAGGCCCCAATTCCAGGAACGAGGAAGACTGACTGCTATAATTCGCTTAGGGAAGTTCACATCGCCTCGTTGGGCTGCGACTTTAGACATTTGAGCAGCCAAGAGCTTTTCTTCTAATGACCAACGGCAGGTGCTTTTATGCTAGCAATCGCCTAAGACACCACGCTTGGTGATAATATCGATTGGAGCTTTAGGTGCAAAGAAAATTACGACACACTCCGCAGAACGAAGAGATGCATAATATTTATACTCAATACCACTTACCTCCGGGCGCACACCGAAACGCATGTCACTGAACGAATAGATTCCCAAATGGAAACTATCTGACGCGTCTTGAGGCAGCTAATCACCCTTCTTGTTCCCTCAATCGTCCGTGCTGGTGGAGTCTCTCGTAAATATCTTCGGAACGCTGGCGAATGGGATCAGTGGATTGCCCGACTGGCCACTCTCGCGGGAAATGTACACGATGAATCCGGGCTGACTGACCAGATAAAGAATATTTCGCGCTCAGGCGGAGCATAAGTTAAGTATATCGAGGTTGGTTTGCCTCAATCAGGCTGCAGAATTACAAAAGTGCTGCCTGATTTAAGGCGACATACCAGGCAACATTCAAAATTGGCCAAGATGCAGGTCAATCCCTATAATTAGGCACACAATTATTTGAAAAGTTTTAAAGGCACTGGCTGTAATGATTTCTTGCGCCGGTATATAATTAAATTGACGTCAAAGGTTCCTCTTCCCTCCAGCACCTTCGAAGCAATTCAAGGAAGCCCCGTGTAGGATCCGTAATAATGGCGGTGAATTCTTTGCACAACATCGCGACACTGATTAAACGGTTTGTCTTTCTGTGCAGGAATGTTGAACAATACTAACATGTGTTTATCAGACTAGAGGCAGTGACATCTAGACTGGAAGATATCGCTTCCTCGGCGGATTCACTGGGTCTACATCCTGATGATGCTCATATTGTCAAAGACATCGCCACAGCCCTTGCTCCAGTCTCGACCAACCCCCCGGAGCCTCAGCAGCAATACTCTGGAGGGGCATTGGCGAGACCTCCCGAGGATATCCCTGTGGATGTGATGCTATTTGACTCTTTCGTGGAAACGGGAATGGATCCGTTCTTTGAGTTAAGCCAGAAAATTGGAGGGGTAGTGGCGGAACAGGTGAGTCTGATTTGATCACCAGAAAGATGGAACTGAGGGGTTCGCTAATTCCAGACCAGGCTGCTATCTTAAGAAAGGGGTTTGAGATTCAGCGCCGCATCCTCCTCGTCATTAGCAAGGCTAAGAAGCCCCATGGTGATAAAGTAGCAGAGAAAGCATACAAAAATCTATTGCAGCCGATGGAAGACGTAATCTCATCTATTCGTCGAATCCAACAGGAAAACAGAGGGACGCCAGCATACAACATGCTCTCAGCTGTTGCTGACGGATCATTCGCCCTCACCTGGACAACAGTGGAAAGCAGACCCTGGAAACAAGCGGAAGAGTCACTCACCATGGCTCAGTTCTTCGGTAACAAGGTGTTAAAAGAACATACAAGGTAAGAGTGACACCAATACCCAACACCCAACACTCCATCGCTAACAACCGATCCACTAGAGGCTCCCTGGAAGCGCAATGGGTAGAAACGTATTACGCTCTTTTTGCAGAGCTTGCTTCGTTCTTAAGAGAAGCTTATCCTTATGGCATCACGTGGAACAGCCAAGGCGATGCTCTCGGCAATGTGGTGGCAGGAGAAGCGGCATAGCATATGTGCCTTTTTAAAAGCTTTTGGTCTTACTTAAGTCAAGGCAAAGAGGGCGCTGTCTGGTTGGTCAGTGTCGGCTGACGGCACTTATTTCACCAATGACGTTGTAGAGGTTGCGGAGGGCTTACCCTATTTACTTTACATACTTTGGCCCTACAAGGTTCAATATAGCTTGAAAAGCAAGTGAAGCTTGTATTTCGTCTACAATCAAAGCACAGTCTTTTAGGAGAGATATCATGTTGGCAAGTTTCGTTTTGACTAACAGAAGCATCAACACTCTTGTTTTAAGGCTACATGGCCTAAAAGACGGCGTAAATCTGATACACTAGATAAAATAGAATCATTCCACAGCCATAACTCTACAATCCAAAGCTATTCGCCACTAGGCGGAGTGATTTCCGTGCCAAGCGCTGGAGCCTGTCCCAAGTTTGGGTTTCCTTGCGCATCAAATGTCACCTTTTGTGCCATTGTGTACCTTGCCGGCCCACAGTTCCCAGTAGATATACTTGTTGCATGGAAGATGTTCTGTCCATGTCAGCATGTGCATTTGAAAGGTTCACCTGGGGGAATTAATACATACCCAAATCTCCTTCCCATCTGGCGAGGTGAAGAAGGCATTGTGGGCGGTGCCATAGTTCCCGTTTGCTGAGGTGAACACTGGGCCAGACTTCTCCCATGATGAGATATCCAGCGGATCACCTCCGTTGTAGTATAAAAGGCCCAGCGCGTACTCGGGAACATCGCACGTTGAGCCCGAGTAAGACAACCAAATGTCATCTCCATGGTACAGAGCCTGGAGGTGGGGGTGATATTTTAGCCTTTCCACCGCTGACTTCTGTTATACGGTATTTACTCACATAAGGGCCCTCATTCAACCCGGCGGTGGCAAACAATCCTGCGCCTCCTCCCATATGCTGCTCCCATGGTTGATCAGGCCTCGATATAATATGCCATTCATCGACGGTCCAGCGATTAGTGTTTAGTTTGGTGATTCCTATACTCTGATAGCCGTCCTCATTATGCATGCTTACCAGATGGTAGCGTCCCTTTCCGGGAATCTCCATATAGCTTCCATCGATGGAATAAGCATCATTTCCGTCAGGGCCGCCCTGTTTTCCAGCGGGAGGTACCAAGGTAGCTCCGAAGGAATAGGTGCAGTCATAAGGGTTGGAGCCAGTGCACCCGCGGAGCACGCGAGTACGGTAGGTATCTACAACGTTTGCGTTGCGACTGGAATAGAATATATACCACCTGTTATCTATGCGATGGATCTCAGGTGCCCAGATGTCTGCGTTTCGTGTGGTGTCACTGTCAGTCCAGACAGTTTTAGTTTCTGCATTCCGGAGTCCACTCAGGAGGGGGCTTCTAGCTATTTCAATGTGGGTTGCTGAAGTATATGTTCTAAAACTAGTTAGTTTACCAGCATTACTTGGTAGTTCTAGGCATAGATGAACTAACAAGTAATAATAGCCATTAGCATAGACCAGGGAAGGGTCTGACGAATTGTATCTGACAGGGTTCTGGAAGCCAGACACAAGGCCAAGCTGAAGGAGGATTCCTAACAGCCAAAATGTGATGGAAGAGAGCATGACGAGTAGCAAGGGGCACAGTAAGCATAAACTTAATCAAGGGGCTCAGGATTGGTAAGACAACACGGAACTACACCATAAAATTAACGATATTGCGTGTATTTTATATACCAAGTCCGATGATAGCCTCCGTTATAGACTAGTTGGTTCAGCGTTCCATTACAGCATGCTCTTCATGTGCTGAGGCACATGACGTTACCCAAACCATACAGAATAGTTGGTTCATAACCATCTCAACTTCAATCCCGCCCAGTCTCAGCTGGCCACTCACACCTTGGCCGCCCCCAAGGAGGTCAGCGAGGGAAGGTGGCAGTGCATTTCCTCATCACGGGTGACCATTTCGCCCGCTGGCGAGCACCAATACTTGCTCCATGCGGCTTTAAGTCGCGCGACTGCGTTGGCAGCAGCATTGCCCAGTTGGGAATAACGTCACTCTGCCCCCCCGCCAGGTTGTGGAGATGTGATTCCCAATTGCAGCCAAGTATGGAGTTTGCGCCGCCCAGGAGAGTGTGCTTCTCAAGTCATCAAGCTTGCTGACGTGTGACTATTTGGCATGTGAGAATGACTCGTCATCGGGCAGCATTGACGCAACGTGTCAGCAGTTGGGAAGCATACGGCGTAGAGGCCGGGTCTGAATAAAGACGGGTGCTGATTTCATGTCAGCAACCAATATCTGGTTCTGGGACTTTTATATATAGCCCGGGTTGATCAACTTCCCCTTTCGCAACTGGCCTTTTCCAACGCATCATCGATACCACTCTGGGCATTCACAAACGCGGACATTGCCAGGCTCATAGTGAGGTCAACGTTACCCCCCAACATTGGCATCGTGGAGCGCAGGGAGGAGATCGACTACTACCACGAGGGATCGCCATGTTGCATTCGTCGGTCCTTGACAAATAGTTACCCCATCCTTGGGTCGGGCACATGGACAGACCCCAGTCCAATAGCCTCGGCATATAGCCAATTCTGACGGACAATGCAACATTTATTTTCTGTATCCCTGGAATCACAATCTCGAACGTTCTGCAGCCCTAGAGCTCATCGCAGCGGTTTGTATGCGCGGTTACGCACACTATCTGATCGACAACGCAGAACAACCTCGCTTACTGCCCTATTCATGCAGGTGGATATTCCCCTATCAATGAACACAGTAGCCAACTATTGCATGAAACTGAAACGCAAAGGGGCGGGAACAAATCAATGCTAGTGGGGCATGTTGATGAGCAAAGATCCCAAGCAACGGCTATCTATGGATCTATGCAAACTATCCATCCTTAAGGCAGCCGCAAGAGGCGCCGAAGAGACCTATAAAGGCCGAGTGGGTATATGCGGTTGAATCATGTGTTGAACTCCCAGGATGGCATGAAAGCCGCAGGCCAGGTCTCCTCCGATCATACCCACCAATATGGGGTAATTCTACAGGCGGTGGATGCCAAATTCACTCTATTAATCCAACCAGATGACCATTCTTGGAATTCTTGACTAAACTTGGCTAGGAATCTATCTTTTTGCGAAGTAAAGGACCGAATAGTCAATATGAAGTCTCCAAAAACAATGCGCAACTATTTACCCACCAATAGAGTCAACGATAAACAAGAAGACCTCGAGCCGGATTCCAATGTTGTGCCGGGGGCCTGAATCAGTACCAGGCGCCATATGTTTCTCCCCTGAAATCACACATATCCCGCAGCTCACACTCGCTCCCGAAAAGGATACTGACAAATACACGATGCATTTCCGTCGAATCCGGCTCAGAGTGGATCGGTGAATCCTCCTGAGCCCAGCTGAAGCGGATCATTTGTCCTGGTTCAATGGCAGCCTGCGGGTAGCTCTCCAGGGCCTTGGCCAACCCAGGATCCGGGTCATTGGTGTCCCAACGCCGTCCACTTGGTGAGGGTGAGTGCAAAATCTTATGGGCGTCTGGATTCGTGAGTATCGCCCTGGTAGACGGACCAAGAATCGAAAAGGCATACTTCGAGTGCGGCGCGGTGGAATCCGGACAGGTGCAGTCAAACATTCTGCCATCTGTATGCCATCGCGGCACCACCCATCCATCCGTCGGCAGGGTCATGCGAATACAAAGCCAGCAAGAGTGTGTGACCTCCGCCTTTGCGTTTTTCTGGCCGGCGACAGCTTCGGCAACGCAGTCGGCCTCGGCCTGTGTCAGGAGCCGGTTCAAGACCTCCACGAGAGGCAGTTGCTGAGCGTCAGAATTCACGGCGATCAATTCGGCGGCCTTGGTAGCCACGAGGTTTGCGTCAAAGGGCCCATAATAGCCGTTGGAGCGATTTTTGTCCACGCGGGTGATGAGATTGAGGGGTAGAGGCTCTGCTGGGAAGATTCGAAGCGGCTCCGGACAGACAGATTTCACGCGAGGTTGAGTGGCCATGTCGACGATTGCTCCAATGCTATTCTTCGTTCTCTGATGTTTGATGATGCCCCAACTGCTGAGGTGCGGTTCCTTGCAAAGATTGATGTACCAACACGATTGTCAGCAAATCAGCCAGATGGGTTAGGCAACAAGCCTCACGAGTCACCAATGAGTCATCTGAAGCGCACAGCCGTGCACCAGGATAAGAAGCTAAATGCACGCTTATGCAGGTGACGGTCATTGAAGGTAGCATACCATGCCAGGCGAGATTAAGTTACATGACGAATATTATTTCTCCGGTTTATACACCACTTTATCCCGTAGGAATCGGGGCGTATCAGGGTCGTGACTCGGAAGAACCACAACATCCTTTTGCCTCGAAAATTCTTTGATGAGCTTCAAGCTCTCAAACGCCGTCTTGGGGTCCTGATTGATTCCGTCCGGCTCCTCTCGCTCCAACAGCCCGACATTATACGTGGCGTCTCCAACTGCCAAAAACGTGGAAGCAGATTGGCCAGGCGGGGCGTCTTCCGTGATAATAACAGAGATGTGGCCTGGGACGTGGCCTGGCGTCGGAACCGCCACGACTTGCCCATCTGGAGTAATGGCTTCGGATCCAGCCCAAGGCCCAACCGGATTCCCCTCGAATTTCAATAACTTGAGGTTAAAAGCCTTGGGCCAGTGTTTCGACGCGCAGCCCTGCATATCGGCCCAGGTAGGATGCTTGCCATAGGCCTCCCAGTGGGCAGCGCTCATGTAGACAGGGACATCGGGTGCCAGTTTGACAATATTCTCCAGTCCGCCAGCATGATCAGTGTGCAGGTGCGTGACAACAATAGCCTGCAGGTCTCGCGGGCTGATCCCCCGGGTTTTCAGCTGCTCCACAATGTCGTCGTTGGGCTCGACCTCGAGCTGGGTCAAGATGCTAGCCACGAACATGTACGACGGAACGTAGCCGGGCTTCATGCACTCCGAGGAGGCGCCGGTATCGACCAGAATGGGCCCGTCGACGTGGTGGATCAGGAAAACGCCGATGGGCATCCAGGGAGTCCACGGGCCGGTGAAGCAGCGTATAAAGCGGAGCAGCTGGTTCTGGTTGCTGATCGGCTGCCCAGCCATCGGCTCTCTCATGCGAGCCCGGCCGGTGGTGATAAACTCGACGAAGCCTCGTTCTTCAGACATCGTGATGGGGTGTGAGCACATACTCAGCCTGGTTTAAGATGCCGAAGATGAAGAAACAAGAAAGGGAGCGACAGCTTAGGCGTGGATAAATCGCCTTCCTCTATTAATAACTATCAGGATGGACCCCTGCGTGCTGATCGGCTTGTTAGTTGAGCCGATGTGGGATCGCCCCAGCACGGATCTTTCAGTGATGCCGAGGCCAATACTGTTTTTCCTGGAATTCAGACTGATCAACTATTGAAAGCCGTAGCTCTTAATTAGGCTCTCTGAATTTTGCAACCGTGAAAACAATTTTCCATAATGGCTTTGCGTGTTCGCTTGATCAATTTGAACTTAAAAGACTAAGAAGATATTTCGTAGCTGACCGCGACAATTGCCAATGAAGATTTGAAAGTATAAACAAGATGTATTGGCAATTTTTAAGAAATACAAGGTTGAATTGTTTGCCGCTGTGGCATCTGTGCTCCCAAAGAAAAAACAATATTCACATTCTTCATTATCATAACATGCTGATCGATCAAATTCATTCCCACCCTCTTTCCTTTCTAGATGGGGATTTAGGAAGTCTCAAACTCGGGTATCGTGCTGAAAACAGAAGCATTATAACAAATAGGATCAATGTAGAAAGGGTCAAGCTCAGGGAACGCCGTTTCATGGATCACCGACATGGCGTTTTCCGCCATGATGGGAAAGTTGGTATCGTTTATTTCGCCCTCGGGCGTGGTTTGCGATAGCTCGAGGGGCCTGAGAAGCGGTTCGGCGTTCCATTTTTCCATTGAGTCGGCCATGAGCTGAGCGGCACATGATCGGACGCGCTGGTAAGAGGCTTCTGCCAGATGCCAAGTCCGCTTCATATTCTTCAGACATCCGAGAAGTAGGGTGATGCGGTTGTAATGATGCTCGAAGCAATCTCCTGAGTGTGTGGTGGTAGTGGCGATCTGGGTCATCCCACTGAGGGATAGGGCGGGTATGATGAAGGGAGTGTGCTTCTGAATATTGGGGCAGAGGGATAGATAATCCGACATACGTCTAGAAGCATCCGTTGCCTTGATACTATGTAGCAGGCGAACAGATGCGGAGGAATGGCCAGGGACGAGAGGCCAGAAGGGATCGGAGCATTTTGGCAGCAACGCATGCAGGTCACTCCGTGGTAGATGAAGGAGCATGCTGGCGTATGCGATAATTGTGTGCGCCTGGAACAGGATCTCGTCGATGTTTCCGTAGGAATCTACAATATTCCTCTTTTCGACTGGAAGGTGGTTCGACCAGCTGACCAGTGCATTTTGGATAGACTGCAGGTGGTCGTGGTGATAATCGCGAAGACGATTCAACCGGATAACTTGCCCTAGTATAACCGCTGCCTCGACCCGATAGCTGGAAGATGAGAAAATAGTTTCATCCGTAGCAAGAGCCCTGCGCTTGAAGTCGGACATTCGAGCCGACTTGGGGATTTCGCAATTTCCCGTGTAGAAGGAGTCATCGCATGGCAAAAGCACGTCGGAAGGCACCGAGCCACAGCGGAAGGGAATTGCTCGAGAGGGGACAGATATGATGATCTCGGCGATGAGGAGCTCCCACCATGTCCTTCTCAGGCTTTCGGCCTCGACTGAGTGCTCGGCGTGATGCGTAGTGGAGAAAGAGGCTTTGTTCATGCCAATCTCAAGGGCGATGGTTGTGGCTTGGGTATGTGCTTGCTGGGCCTCAGTTACTTCGTCGCGGGAGAATAAGACGATGGCAAGTAGAAGCCAAGCCTGCACCATGCAGGAGGAGCGGTCAGGATTGGAGGTCAGATCTGTAAAAACCCGGCCTTTGAGCTGCTCAGATTTGCCGGCGGGGAGGTAGTTGGACCCTGCAAAATCGACAACGAGCCGAAGGTAGGAGGGGTATGCCCGTTCAGCATACATGGAACTTGGGACTAGAATTGGGTGGGCTGGGTGGAAGTTGTCATAGAAGAGACGCAGATAGCGGTCGCTGTCGTAGCTGGTACGGGATTGGAACTGCGACGGCATGGAGTGGCGGGTGCTGAGAGTCTGTGCCGTATCGGGAGGCCAGGGGGAGTCGCTCGAGGAAACATCAGCAAGGCGCGACATAATGCTGCTCTGGGAAGACGAGGTGTCGGTTCCGTTGAATGCGCGGCCACCTGGTGTCATGATTGGGGATGGGCGCGTTGTTGAAGTTTGCGTGTCGCCGACAATGATGGAGGTGTTGCTTTCAGTCACCGGGCTCGCAGGCACCACACCGTTATCTGAGGCTTGAATTGGGCGAATCGGAACTGGATGGCGCGTCGCTGGAGACTGAGAGGCCAGCTCCCTGCGGCTTATGCGTCGACCACCGCGGCGAGAGGGCTGATAATGGCAGGCGATGCCATTATCGCGGCATCTCGCACATGTTGGCCAGTGTCCGTCGCACTTGAGATGCTGCTGCCTGCAGCCGATGCAGGCGAGTGAAGCGACCGCCTTGGTTTTGGTGCTGGTCGGAGCTGGCATGGCGCGTAATTAGAACAAGGGTCCCTCAAGCCGTTTCACTCATTGTCTTCGACTTTTGGGAGATTTGTTGGCATGGAAGAACAGGACAAACATGAATGAATGAATGCTGGGAAGTTGGTCGGCGATTGACTCGGCGATTGCTGACGAGGAAGGAGCAGCACAGGAGAGGATCAACAAAAACGCAGAGTGAGAATCGGCGATTGATCTGGATTTTGATTGGCTGGTATCTGACATGTGGGTGCATCTACGGTTTTTTCCGGCAGCCAATGACGCAACTTTCCGATATCGAACTCCCCACAAATACGCGGTGAGATCCCAAATCTCAATCAAGGACCTCAATCAACATGGATTGGATCATAATAGAGATTCATATTGAAATTCAAGTTGCTCGCTATTCGCCTAGTATACTAACAATAAATAGAAGCACGCGGATATGTCTTTTGCCCGCCTCTCGGTGCTGTCATTGGTCGCACATAATGCCCCCTTGTCACAAAAATCAATTGATTGCCTGAGGCAGCTCTTTGATTGTTTGGCCTTAGCTCCTGCCTGGGCTCAGCGACTTTGCCTGAGCAATAAAACTCGCTTTTCCGGTGGCTTCGTCGAAGACATTGTACCCGATATCGGCAGCATTCGGAGGGGTGTAGACTATAGCTTTGTCAGAAAGGAGGCTTTGTCACCAACAAGGCAGGATATTCTTACGGTGCAGGGACACAGCGACTTGTGTGGGATGTGGATTGTGCACACGGTGAAGCCCAATCTCATCCGACATGTATGTCACCTGGTCTGTGTGGTACGTCGATTGTTTCTTGACGCGCAGGGGATGGCCTTCATCCTCAGGGGTATTGTAGATCGTCTCTGTCAACTCGCCAGCCAACACCTTCAGAACTGCAGAATCGCCGGATTAGCAAAAACTTGCTCAGGGTTATGAGTGCTGGTGTGGGCGGGCTATTTATTTACCACAGTGCGCGTTGGCGTGATCGTGCACAGGTGATCCCTTTCCTGGATTCCACACGAGGAGAAGCTGGTGATATGTTAGATGAGTGCTGTTGCCCTATGGATAACAGGATACTTACAATGTTGGCCCTTGAGTTGATATTCTCAATTGTGTTTCGGGTATAGCTTTTCTCGGCACAGTTGTGGTAGTAACGCGCCCAGTCATTGGGGTTGGAATTGTATTTTTGAGCAAGAGACATTAAGTAGTCTGAGTTGATATTGGCATATCCAATGCCTCCAGATTCACCGAGATGTGCCTTGATATCACCGACAAGATCATCCAGGGTATAGGGTAGCGAGCCTTGGTGAAGCTCCACGGATGGACACAGCAGTGGCACAGGAGGAGAGAGGATTGATGTAGTCATTTTGTCGGTAGTTTCTGAAAAAAATTCAAGATAAAAACAAGTTCAATGTTTCGAGGTTGGTGTTATATCAATTGGCAATAACAGAGAGAAGATGCAGCCACGTATTAATACCAAGTGCTCAAAGCCGCGCTGCCATTCGGCGATTGCGCCATAGATGGTCGCGTTCGGCGATTGAATTTTGTGGTCCTTGCCAGACGAGAGGCTACAGGGTTATTATTAGAAAGAGCGAGCATCAGGCACACTAAATAGACACACAGGTACTTATGAGCGAACACCGCTCGGGTTTAGAGACTGGGTGATGATACGAGCTTCCACACTACTCAGTTACTAGTGAACGTCCTGCGAGATCGCGGTATTCTTTTCTAGAATGCAATAAAGATAATGCTTTATATTTTACCATAAGCTCACATTTCCAAGTTTGCCCGCTTGTAGGCTTAAATCAAAGTCAGCCTGCGGAGTGTGTGGCAGTGCTTACTGTTGCGTCACTTGGACTCACTTGGACTCACCGCAATGATGGAGGTGATATTTATCTACTCCCATGATTGAGAATGATTGTCCTTCTCAAGCCTAAGTTTCTTAAGTGAACCTAGTTTGGCTCTCGCATTGCTTTTCGGGTTCTGCCCCCCTTTCTTCCTTTTTCTTGGCTCGTTGATCTAAAGCCTAACTTGGGTGCAATATGGCCGAGCCCCTACAAAGGTACCCCTGGATGCCAAATTTTGAAAGATCCGCGTAGCTGATCCCATTGACAATATACAGCCCCTATGTCAAAGGAAAAACCCTAACACTAACTTTTAGGCGCGTTGGCAAAAAATCTCCTCTGCACCTCAACGATGGCGATCAGGTACAGGCGAGAATCGTCGATGTGATAGAGCCAGCTACTCTATCAGTTGTCGTTATCGTCGAGGTCAATCCACCCTCGACACAGGAAAGCCAGACCAGCCAGGCAAATTCTCCCCTCAAGATGGTCCTCAAGGCGTTTGATCGCCGATTTTCTTTGCAATTAAGAGAGGAGTTGCAGTCCAGTGGCCCGTCAAACCTTGCGACCGAGGAAGAATATCTCGCATTCTTGCAACAAGGATCGATGGCCGATTTTGTTGCCAACTACAATAAAGACTATAAGTTCACATCAGATGACTGGGATTCGCCGATGCAAGAGGCATATTTCAGTCTTACTTGTGCCAGAATGAAAGAAACTGAGGCTAGAATCTATGATTATCTTGTTGACCTGCAAGGCATTCACATACCGAAGTTCTTTGCTGACGTCCAAATCGCTTCAACGCCGGTAGCTGGAGAGCAGATCCACGAAAACTTCGCCAAGTACATTGACGTTGGGGCTATTTTGATCGAATACATTCCCGGATTCCTCCTCTCTAACATGGTAATAGAGACACCAGAATCAGCATGGCCTGGTATCTGTGACCAAGCTATAAAAGTTGTCCATAAGATTATCGGACATCATTTTGTCAATACCGACATGCAAACGAGGAACGTTATTGTCCGCCGCGATGGTTTAGAGAACTACCGAGTGTTTTACATAGACTTTGGGCTATGTGACTTCCGCGATCCGTTAGATAGTGACGAAGTCTGGATGGAGTACGCATATCAAAATGCTGAAGAAAATAGAATTGGGTGGTCTCTTGCAAATGCAATCTCAAGGGCCAAGGGGAAGAAGGGAAAGAGATACAAAGGCAAGCTTCCGCTACCGTGGGAGTTTACCCCTTCCAACCGGTTTCGTGGTCAGGACATCGAAGATTATCCAAAGCATATTTGGTATCCATAGCCTTGGATCTCGGGACAGCATGATGTAGGAACGAGCGCGGAGTAGGTGATGTGAGTGTTGACTGAACACGTTGTCGAAAATGTTAACACAATGATAGGCATTATTATCAAGGTGTGAAAGAGTCAGATAACCTAGTCGGTCACTATTGCTGCACTTGTTAGTCCTCTGTCGTTACTTTGTATTAGCAACCGCAGGTAAGGTTTTAGGCTTTCTCTAATCTCGGCAAGGGCTATTGTTGCGGTCCGCCAGCTGTTGCTCTTAAGGTGGAGGAAGATTGGGCAACATGGCTTTACTGGGCTTGATCGGCAGTCTCCCCTTTCCTAGCGTGCCGACTAGAAGGCAAGACACATCACATTCCAGCGCGCCTAGGCGGTCCTGTGAATGGCTATATTGTAAGGTATCTACCCATAGATGCAAGCTTCTCTGTACAAATATAGGCGTTAACTCTGAAGAGCTTGATGAGACAATTATATTCTTTTGTGGGATGGAAGGCGAGTCTGAACTCAATCCGCGCTCAATTATAGGGGGTAATACATCTTGAAGTAGAGAGGGGAAGGCTCTTTAACGAAGATGAATGTAGCGTGTCATTACTCAAGATTTACAGTCTAATCCCGTGCTAATATGTGACGAATTCCAGTGGTTCTAAGGGGCCAAAGCCTCCTCCTGTGCATGACGTTTCTACATAAGCTTGAATTGCCCTAGCTGTAGCCGCCCTACATTCCTACCCAGGCCGGGCCGCCGTATCCGTAGATCAGTTGCTGCACTTAGTTGAGACTCGGGTCATTTTTAGCGTAGTCAGGACGTCATGAGCTAACTAGTCGGAGGAGCTGTCACATATTGCATTGTCATATATTAACGGCCCTTGTCAAAATCATATTGATTCCCAGTAACAGTTCAGTGTACAATACTTGCTTTATCTTGAGCCATTGTGCCATTTGTTTTTATCCGCCGTCTTTATTCAGGCATCATGACGATTGTGAACCAGGATGAGTGGCAGGCTCAAGACGGAGTGGATGGAAGCCGTACTTCCCTGGACTTGGGAACATTTCTAAGATCCAGCTTCCAGTTGCCTGCTAATACACTGGCTGGAACAGATCGTCCAGGGCTGTCCCAGGCCAGCCTACGGACCAAGGTATCGAGGGTTGGAAGTAGCCACGAGACAGCTACCAATGCTTCCCGTGCGCCTGGATTTGATTATTCCAATGTGAGTAGACGCCCACTCCTTAATCGTTTCAATAATATTGAAGGCAATTCTAATTGTCATGTCGGGAGAATTTGGCGCATACAGAGCAGACGGAATGCTCTTTTCAGTCTGGGCAGGCCATTACCACACGTCCCTAGCCATCGGAGCAGAGCCTTGATGCATCATCCTAGAGCATATGGTACAGAAATTGGACGGAGAGCAGCAAGGTAAGCTGTCAAACAGCAAACAACAGTTTGGATATCATCATCAAGGAAATTAATTATGGATACCTCAGCGCTTTTCAAGCCAACCGAGCCGGACAGGGCTTACCATACGAAATGTCTTGGCTACCTAGGATCAATTTGACGCCACAGCAACTCTATGACATTGACGGGATCACTATTGATCGCCCCTTGGACGAAGCAGGATGTACCAAGGATTTCGTCGACAGCTCTTCTGAAGTATCATCTGCCGTGTTCGCAAGTGAGCCTCCATCTGAGCCAGATCATGTGGAGGAGGCATCTCTACTACAGGAATGCAACTCACTAAAGAATGGCGAATTTCAACACGCTCCGACAGATCCGCGCAACTCGTGGGCTAAGATTCGGGCAATACACCGCGAGGTTTTTGCAGAATTCCTTGCAACTGGCGTGGCGGTTTTTATGGGACTGTCGGGCACATTGACAGTGAGTCTGTCATTGGACTCCCCAATACATTATGGAACGTACGAGACATCATGTTGGTCTTGGGGTTTTGCCTGGATGTTTGGGATTTACCTGGGCGGCGGCGTGTCTGGCGCACATATGAACCCCGCGATATCAATATCTTTATCGCTATTTCGGGGATGCCCATGGAGTCGGTGTGCCATCTACGTCGCAGCTCAATTCCTCGCAGGCCTGGTGGCTGGCGGGCTGGCCTACGGACTTTTTGCGGATTCCTTACACCACATCGATCCGGAGTTGACGAGTGTATCTGCCAGCTTCTTCTCGACGCCTCAGCCATGGGTTTCACGAGGGTCGGCGATCCTCAATCAGGTGGTTGCGAGTGCCATCATGTCCATGGCAGTACTTAGCCCCGGTGACGATCGAAATAATCCTCCAGCACACGGGATGAGCGCTTTCATCTTGGGACTTCTGGTTACAACATTGAAACTGACATTGGGATACAATGTTGGCGCGGCTCTCAACCCTGCATCGGATTTTGGTCCGCGGGTGATTGCATATGCTATTGGTTACCGAGACCAGGAAACTTTTGGTACACATTGGTGGTACCAGGGACCCGGGCTCGGGACACTGGCAGGGGCTATTTTGGGCTGTATTATATATGACGGTTTGATCTTTACAGGCGATGAGTCGCCAATCAATCGCCAGATGAGCGGCGGTTCACGGAGGACGCTCCGTAAATTATTTCGGCTACCAAAGAATACAGCAAATAAGGGAGGGGAGAATAAGGAAGAAGCATGAGCCCACGCGGTTTAATAAAAAGAAAATCAATACTTACTCCATTCAACAGTAACGGGAAGTCTATATAATTAGTCACAAACTCTACTTCCTCATCCAAGGATTCTTCTTCCTCTTCTTCTCATTGAAGCATGCGGGGGCATTGCCTAGACGCCTGAAATTCCACCAGGCACTACTAAATCTCTTTTCTGTTTCATCACTACCTGCTACTACTTCTCCTTTTAGACTAAGTATTTGACTGTTGATGTCACTAAATAGCATAGGGTAAATGGGCAATCGAGACAATTTAAACCCATCGCTTGTCGTCCACGAGCCTTCGTCATCCGATCGCGCGCCTCTCAGGCCGCCCGCCATCTTCGCGTATCAAAAACAGGACAGAGAGTTGCGTCGCCACGACGTCCCAAACCTCGAGGCCATCCTCTTGAGGGTAACTCACGCGCGACGAGCATAGGGGAATTACAAGGTTTGAATTTTGATCTAAACAAGGTCTGCCTCAGCCCCAAGCAGCACCGGCCACACGTTCCGGCCTTTCCGCGGGATAACTCTGCCTCTCTCCGAGCTCGCAGTCCCCCATCGTCCCGGCACAGCTGCGCCAGGCCTTGGCTGCCTCGGTGTATGTGCAGCAGGCAGACTGATAGCCGGACTTGCAGCCGACGCGTGTTCCGCTCGACCTCCTTGCAGCTACCAGAGTTCTTGTGACCACGCCACTCGCACCTGGGCAGCCCCTGGCTCGCTGGACAACATATTTCCTTCATGCCACCGACGGTGCAGCATTTCTTTTTTGACATTTTTTAAATTAGGAACACGGCTACCGTAAGAACTTTTCGCGTGCTCAGGAGAGGCTTGTACATAAAGGCGAGTAGGACATAAATATCTGCCTTTGCGCCGCGCGCATTAAACTCAAGACAAAGCTTGCTTTTATCAGTGCCCTGATCAATTTGTGGCTCGACTTGGATATTTGAAATAGTTTAATAATTAATCTACCCCAAAAACAGCAACTAAGTTAGCCTATAAGTAACTTGTATATAGGTGTTTAGTTACAAGCCGGACCTCAAAGTTTGGGACCTCCATATAAATAAGGCCTTCTTGTAGATCTAGGATAGAGTCTTTGATAAGCTGGGGTAGAGTCTTATCATAGTTATTATCACTATCCTCAAATTCAAAGGCTCCAAGCTCAGGATTCCATATAAATCTATATCCTCCAGGTATTTCTTGATACCTATAAGGTATTAATATTGGAATATTATCACCTACTACTCCCTCTTTACTATTAAGAACAATATAAAGTATCCTTAGTGAATAGAAATACTCCATAAGGCCCTGTAGTGGTGCAGATAACCCACTCCGAATAAGAGTCTCTGATATAGCGAGTTGTTTAATTTGTCCATGAATCTCCATCTCACGGCCGGTCGGACTCTGATCAACAGGTTCATATAAAAAGTCATTCCATCGATCAGGTGAGATATATAAGGTATCACAACTGATATCAAATAGACGTCTGAAAACTGGCGATATAGTGTTATTCGGAAATTTTAACTCGCTGGATTTGGATTGCGCATGAGCCCAAGAAAGTGCTACACCGCGAGCTTCACGATTAACAAAGCCTAGACTAATCTTAAGGCTAGGTTCAGTCAGGAGCTTGGGGCAGAAAATATAAGACCAATTCGCAATCTCGCGCTGATTGTTATATCTCTCATCTGATTCCAGTATAGGCTGGGCAGACCAGCATCCGCGCTTGTAGATATATAGCAAATTGGTGATTTTTCCTGGAAGAGCATGGCCCCATATCTTTAATCGTAATTCAGGGGGCAGGTTGGAGAAGACACGAAACTTCAAAGTATCGGCCATAGTTCAATGAGTTGGTACTCTTAGAGCGAATAATAAAGGCGGGACAAAGAGAGGGGTAGAAGGCAGAGAGGCTTACCAGTAAAACATTACAGTAGATTTATTTCTGTCAGGACAAGTATTATATAAATAAAGGAAGCATCTGTTGGGATTACACGTGTCCAATCAGGCCCGTCATTATTTAGAAAATTCTTATGCAAGTTTACTAATCACACTCAGCTATAGAGCCTTTGCCCCACAAGTCAGGCATCTTCCGTCTGGGCAGGGCTCCCTCAGCACCAAACCCGGAAGGATACTGCGAAGATTTTCAGCTGCGTTCAGATCATAATCCGCACTAAGTCAAATGATGGAACCAACAGCGCAATTCTAAAGAATGTAACGTAATTTTTGAGGGAAAGGAACATCGAACCTTGGGAAAGTGAGTGATTGATTTCGTTGCTATTGCAGGGAACATCGGGTATACATAGAATTCACAACATAAATAAGGGGTTAACGCCCAGCCCATAAAATGTTGGAATGCTATGTTCACCAGTTATTCCACCCAACCAGTGGCAGAAAAACACATAATAAAACCTTACATCGGCATCTTTCACCCATAATACACGACCACTTGCTTTATTCATCTCCAAAAACCAACCTTGTATAAGCACAGCGTGAGTTCAGTCCTCAACAACATGGAAAAGCCCTGTACATGACTAAGATGAGATGTCCACCAGAGTCAATTTACCAAAATGCTTGCTACTGGAAAGCTGAGCCTCGTGCTTGTTTTATTCACTATCGAGTGCCTTGCCGTCAACCTCTCATACTCTGCCAGATTCAAGGGCCTCAATGGTCAGACGACATCGAATGGATACAATGCGGGCTCTATTACCGAAGACGAGGCCACCTTCATCAGGAACAATTGTGCGACATGGGGCTATAATTGTTCACCAGCTGGCCGGAACCATCTCGCAATTAAATACCCAACAATAGCTGAGGATAAGAACGCGTCCAAAGCGCCCCTTGATGCAATGCGGTCTAGGGTCAATGCTGAGCTGAGGACTTACAGACAGCAGAGAGATGCAGCAGCTCACAACGGTGGAGAAACTAACTCGGCCCCTGGGAAAAGTGGCAAAGGCTCTAGCAAAGGGTCTAATAGGAACAAACTTGGGAAGAAGAGCAAGGGTGCGCCTTCTGTAAAGAAACCTAGCAGCCACGGAAAGCGCAAGCGAAATATTCACCGATACTAACAATGTGATGACCGCTCGGCTGCCTGTTTTCATCAGCTAAGTCGCAATCTGGCTCTTCCATAGACAATCCTCTGAGGTCAATGGGAAACTAGGCCGTTGATTATTGGGAACACTCGCTCCTCTTCGCTCTTTTCGTTCTCTTTTCTACGTTCTTTCCTTGTCTTTCATCGTTTCTGCCATATACATATATATATATTATAAAAAAAACTACTGCGGGAAATCAATATAGGGTTCAATTGGCGAAATCTCTCATACATGCCTCTCCCATAGGCCTGCTCTCCAGACTGACTGCCTATACAGTTTCGCTTGGGATGCAGCATAGTATCAGCCATCGGTAAAGCGAATGACAGTAAACACCCAAACCTCCTACGCCTACGCGTCCTCCGCACCTCTCTCGAACGTATCCTTGTGGCCCTGCTGCTCCAGTGGCTTCCCGTCTTCCTCCGAACATTCGTAGCTACAATACTACCCGGCCTCTTCCTCCCCGACCGCGTGGTACTCAAGAAGATAAAGCCAGGCTGGCTCGACGAGTTTGAGAATGAAAAGGCTGTTTACGAACAGCTTGAAAGCCTCCAAGGCTATGTGATATACAAATTCTATGGTGAGGAGACAGTCGAGGGAACGCGCGGTCTTGTTCTGTCCGAGGTGGATGGCATCATGCTGTGGGAGCAGAAGCTGCCACCGCTCGGGATGGACGAGTTCAAGGCGCGTGTCGAAGTTGCGTTCCGGGCGCTCAATTCATTCGGACTGGTGTACGATGACCTGAAACTAGACAATATGATTCTTCTCCCAGACCGGGTTGTCTTGGTTGATTTGGAGTCGGTGGGTGCACCTGCGGAGGAAGATAAGGAGTATTGCTTCAACTCTGATAGAGCCCATCTCAGGGTCGCGTACTGGAGATATCTGGATAATTGCTATGATGATGACTTTTAGATGTACTGTTCGTGGATGATTTGCTTACCATTATAGAAAGGCCATTGTGGTATTAGCTTCGATTCAAAGTCATGGATGTCAATAGTAGATGAGGACGCTGGACCAGAAGAAATATCATCTCCGACTGCTTGCGACCTCATTGGTTTGCGAGATCGAAGTCATGATATCGGCTGCGGCCTTAGGTTTAAGGGGCCAGCGAATGGGGCTTAGACTGACTAGTGTGGTAAGCTGAGGCTGAGTATTCAAGTTCCCTAACCCAAGCCTCGCTGCGAACGACCTCGGCAGATAGACTTTCTAGCTACAATCTATCCGTTTATAATCGAAGTAAAAATATGCCTAATTCTGCTTCCAAGCCGTCCAGTGCCTCAAGCCCTAAGTCTTGCTGGCAATGCGCGAAGAGGCGACTGGTCTGCGATCTGGGGAAACCGGGATGCAAGAAGTGCGCTAATCACGGCGTGGAGTGTCCTGGATACGAGGCCAAACACCTTCAATGGATGCAGCCTGGCCAGACGAGGTCCAAGGGGGCTCGCAAGACCGAGCGACTAAGATACAGCAGGAAGCCCGCCTCACAAGCGGCGAAAGATAAGCCGACGACATTGACCACTGGCAGGACGACGCCTGAGTGCTCGCTTCCGCCGAAATGTAGTGATGATAGTGAAGAGGCCTTGATTGTCTATCCAGTGGTCACGGAAAAAAGCACTTTCAGCCTCCTCATTCAGGCGCTGAATTATCGTATGCGCGAAAGACTCCCCACGGGGCCGGTTAATGGGCGCAGCTAAGCTTTTCGCAGACAACATCAATATCTCGCCCGACTTGGTCGCTACTGGCGATAGTAGTCTGGACAACCCATTCATCGTCCCGGCTGGACTCGCATCTGTAATCCCTCCAGGGATAGCCGAAGTGATTATATGCACCGCACTGGGTCACCGCATGGTTCAGTTTGTCCAGGGTTTCGAGGCTGATAGAAATGCTATGGCTGTGAAGCTTCGCCGTCACCGAGGAGCTGCCATAAGCGCTGTTGCCAGTGGCCTCTCGCACCACGAGGCGCAGTGGCATGATAAGACGCTGATATCTGTCGTTCTGCTGCTGCTCAGCGAGGTGTGTGTTCATCATATCACATCCTGGCGTTTTGGCAGTTGCTAATGTTCACAAGATTCAGCACTCGCTGTCACCAAGCTGGTGGCAACACCTGGACGGAGCCTATTCCCTGATTGATTTGCGGGGAGGGCTGCCGCATTTGATTAGTTCCATGCCACAGTATAGGCATTGCTTTCGATATTTCTTCCAGTAAGCCCTGTTCTCTTCTATCGTGAACGTGCATGCTAATTGCGGCCCGCAGTATTGATGTCTTCGGAGCTACTACAGCGCCTTGTGTCGATGCACGGAGAGTGCAGCAACAGCTGAGTGTGGTTGGGCATCTGAAGACTTTGTATGGGGATGGTTTACTGACTTCCACTCCGTGCCCGCCTGAGCTGGTCTCATGCATTATTTTCACTAACTATTTTCGGTCTCAACAACTTTCTCTGATATCATTATCACTGTCGAGTTGCTTAATTAGTCTCGAAGATAGCTACCATCCTCTCGAACAAGTTCTGGCATTCGATCCTCAAGCATGGGCCTCGAGCCTGTCTCTCCACAAGTTCCAGGGTTCCGATCCAGAAGACCGGCACAAACACTTGCCTCCTTTTTGGAATTGGGCACGAATCGGCCGCATATATCAATCCGCTGTCGCCCTGTACTGCGTTGAGTCTCTTGGTCCCCCGCCCGGGCTAGGCCATGCCGATATCCGTTCAACCCACCGTGAGATCTTGCTGCAGGAACTCCGGCAACTCACTAATGGCTCACGGAACCAGCTTCGAAAACTCGTGATTTGGCCCATGGTCATTGCCGGCCTTGTCCTGGACTCCAACGACCAATTCTCTCAGGATTTCGTCACCGGCGAGCTGAAGTGGCTCAGTGCTACGCTTGGCACCGCAGCGCCTCTGATTGCCAGGGATCTTCTTCGTGGGCTGTGGCATTCGTCAGTCTATTCGGGACGCGGCAGAACTTGGGAAGACTTGTTTGATCGGCCTTACGTATTCGCAATCTAACCACCAGCTGCGCCTCCACGCTTACGCCGCTGGGCGGATGAATGCGAAAGAACCGAGAGTCACCAGGGTCTCGGTAGTCATATTACTTGTCGACGTGGCCACTCCACTTCTTCTCAGTCCGGCGACTCTTGGCCATTTATTTTGCCTGTTTAGGCAATAAGTCAACAAACCCGCGTTAGATCACAGGTAGGGCTGAGCCTCTGTACTCTTTTATCCCGATGGGGTAAGAAACTTTCATAATATCAATGATTTCATGATGTTGATGGATTGTCACCATAGAATCAAGAATATATTTTCTCTATATAAATGGCGCATCCACCTTCTCGGGAAGACAGACTCATCAATGCTCAAGTCCCTCGGCAGCAACAAACGCCTCATTCTTATTTTCATTATTTTTATTTGCAGCTTTACTCCTCTTTTTTCTTACGCTTCAGCAACGACTTAAGATGGGACTCTATCTGCAGCAGTTCTTGCTTGCCACTTGCACACATGCTGCCTTCACCCTAGCTGCCCAGCCCCAGATACTGGCAGATACCAACCGCGATGGTGTTGTCAATGACCTTGACATAAACGCCAAGCAGACCTGGACCGATCAGCGTGGCGCCATCTTCATACCCAACATCGGAGACGTTCACCAGCGCTGTTCCGCTTTTGACGTCAATGGTAAGCCACTGGGCAACAAGGAGCTGTCGATGTGCAATGATGCATCGGGCGATACACTTGTTGCGCCCGAGTATGCTGCTCCCGTGCGAACCAGCCCCATTTCCAATCTCTCAGCCGATGCCACGGGAAGGATCTACACCCTTCCAGAATCGACCCTCGGCCGGGTCCGCATCTTTTGGAATCAAGCTGGATTCGAGAACGAGTATAACTCCTCGTGGAGATTGACTGATTCTCAATTCACATTTAATGCTACAAGCATTGGTGGAGGACTCGAGCTAGCAGTCGACGCTACAGAGCTTGTGACCGGATCTACCTCGTGGGACGGACGGGTCTCCATCGTCTACGAGATCACGGAGGCCAATGTCACACGCTCAGACTCAGTTGCCTTGCAGCAAGCCCCAGTTCTCTTCCACCATCACCTACAAGATGTGGAGACGGTTTTGACGATGGATGCCAACGACACCACGTCAAGCCAAGCTCGGTTCGTTCAATCCATCCAAGACACCCTCGAGCATATCCCAGGCGGTTTACCCCTGAGGAAGCTTGAACCAGTTGGCGAACCTTGGGCTCAGGATTTCATGGAGCCAGGTTATGTCAGTATGCCTGGGCCTAATGGGACGATATCTATACGGGTCCTTGTGCGATCTGCGCAGTCTACTCGAATCTCTGGCCGCAAGGTGTTCAAGGAGCTAAGAGGTCCCGGTGTCGGTGGCCATCAGCTTGGGCTAGGATCCGGTTTCGGCCATGAGGAAATCAATTCAGGCGGCAACATCGAGACCATCCCTCCTTATACTTCCAGATCCGGTAGGCACTGGGCCCAGGGAAGGATTATCACGGCAAAGCATTTTGATAAGTACCCGGCTGAATCGATGATCGACTTCATGGTTGCTCAGGAGGCACAGTCACCTCTGTTTCTCGAGGCTGGGTGGCTTGCTGTAGGACATGTCGATGAGTTTGTGCAGTTCCTTCCTTCAGATAACCACCTTGGTTTCACGATCGCCGTCGGAGATGCAATGTTGGGGCTCGAGGTGCTCCAAGGGGCCCAAGCCGATGGCCATGGCTCTGCTATCGTGAACAGCTTTGATGGAGACATGACACCATATCCCAACGCCGTCTTCCTCGATCCTAAAACTAGGAACAAGACCATCGACAGCCTCCTTTCTAATCAGGATTTCATCCAGGCCAACAAATACGGCCAGAGCTACGTGCAACAGAATCTCAACCTCCTCCTGCAAGAGATCCCCCTCGACGAGTCAGAGGTGCTCCGGCTGCCGGTCCTGTGGCGAGACGTGACGTACCCCTGGCCTCTCACACTAGACGGTATCCCGCCACGGGTGCATAGGACGATCCCCGGCGAGAGGCAGCTGGTCGCGTACATGCCAGCCGCAGTGAACGGACTTGTTCTCGGCTCGGACTACATTTCGGCGAAGCCCTGGGGCCCACTCATTAACGGCCAGGACCCCTTTGAGCAGGCGATCAGGGACGTGTATGGCAGGGTGAACATGACGGTGCATTTCGTGGACGATTATATGTCGCATCACGTTCAGGGCGGAGAGGTGCACTGCGGGACAAACTCACTACGAGACACCAGCATACCGTGGTGGAGTACTTGATGGGCTGTCTCACGCTCGTATGTACGTATTTAACGGTGACGGAGGTTTAGATAGATATTACGAGCTGTAGATATTCGCATATAGGATAGCTATCAGTTGCAGACTTGCTTGTCCCGTTTCCCAGCCACTCTCCCTTCGATGATAACCACGTCCGCTGTACTCAGCCGCCTCTCCACTGGCATCGTAGCCCTCCGTAGGGGCCTAGGAGAGTTTATGAGAAGATATAATATATGAGTGAGACTTTTACCTTCTTATAGCATCCTTCCTGGCACGGGGCATATAGTGTTATACCTCATTATAGTTTTGTTAGAGGCCTATCACATGGCCAGTAACAATAGAAAAGGCAAAACATCCTGAACAAGAGTATCAGCCACCAAAAGAAAGATGGAGATTTTGTAAAACAACCAAAAAAACATACAACAGCCGGTATTCGCTGGTCGTCACCGACCCAACTACTAATCGGCCCCTTATCCGTTTAACTAGGCGAGAGCGGACGGGATCGCGTGTTCTCGAATAGGTATGGTCGTATGTGAAAGTGGCATGTCAAATGCGCTATATATGCGACTAATTTTGTGTGCATTGGTGTTGAGTTGTTAGGCTCTCGCAGCTTGGATTACTGTTTACCTTTATTCTCTTTTCTCTTACGCATACAATTAATCCTGTATTTTACCAGACTGGAGCCGGATCTAGTTCTTGACGAAGACATATAACCTACAGAAGCCTGGACATGTAGGACTTCCTGGCGCACTTGACAATCTCCATACTTGGCCTGGGCCAGTGCCATAGAACGCGACAAGAGCGATCAATTATGTACAACTGGTAATACCCTCGGAGTCCGAGGACCCGGAACTTTGAAGAGGGGTCACTATAAACCCCTGTTGGCTGTGAAAGAGGAAGAGGACAAGTGGACTAGCGGCTGAGGTGAGGTATTAAGGATAAATCCCTGGTCAGTAAGGCAGTTATTCGTTCGTTCATGGACGGATGCTTCCGATCTCGCCGACACATGGCTTTTAGTAGGTCCAATAAGATGGCTAGCCAGGGACAGGGAAGAAAAGACCAATTGATCAGAGAGCAGGATCCACGGCCAGGAGAACCACCGGCGTATAGTGACATTTGACCAATCATATCGTGAGATGGCCAAATACGAGGACAAAGTGGAATCTTGTTTTTATCAGATGATCAGATAAGATATACACTGCTCTTGGCATTGGAACTATTTACCAAGCTCCGGGGTCTCATCTACTAGGCCCAGCCCTAATTAGTCTTCAATCCACTCTGTTGAGCTCAAGGTTCCTGCCAAGTGACAGTGCTGAATGTCAATCCTGTCAAAAGCTCATTTCGGTTATCGAACGCGCGACTCCACATCAAGCAAAGTCGGATGTTGTCCATCGGCTTTGCCAAATCTAGTCCCATCGCCATCGTGGTTTGCTGCTGTATGAACGCTTGAACCAGTCATTGGGCCCCGGCTGCTGCATGAGCCCTTGCTCGGAAAGAGTCATGGTTTTATGGATTCTCGGGCGGACAGAGACTTGCGATGAATTGCCAAGATCAAGAAACATAGGCTCAATTTGGAAAGTCCCTTTCGACATGGACCACTCCCACTTCTGTCGATGGAGACGAGAGCAAAATGCCGCAATGTGTCAATAGGTACGATGAGATTCATGGTTGTATTATAATTATAAAGCCTTTGCTCCCTCGCCAGCTCATTCGCTATGAGGAAGACAAGGCATGCCACGTTCTTTGGCCTGTTGGATCTGCAAGGTGGTTCAAACCTCAGTCATTCGTTCTGACCAGCCTCCAAGGCCACTTTTTGTCGTTCGTTATTCATCCAGTCACAACGTTGAGCCTCCACAATCGCCATCATGGTGCAGTGGTTCGGTGTCCTCCGTGCCGCTACGGTTGGTGCAGCGGTACTGATGTCGGGTGCCAATGCCTGGAACAAGGAGTCCATCATGGCAGCTGGAAGACCCTCCAACTCCCTGAGCTCTGGCCAGGTACCGGGAAGGTACATTGTCGAGCTCGAGACAGGAGCTGGAGTGCGCCAGCGCGACATTCAGCGTCGTGCTGATGCCGTTCTGTCGAGCCTGTCCAGCGTTGGCCTAGACGTCGATGTGAAGGACGACTACTCTGCCATATCGACGCGCTTCAGTGGTCTGTCGATTGAAGTCAAGAACAGCAAAGAGGGCACCCTCGACCAGCTCAAGAAAGTCGAGGGCGTTGTCGATGCCTGGCCAGTATATACGGTCAAACTCAATCCAATTGCTGAGGGCGACGGTTCTAAGCGAGCATGGAACCCTCACATTGTCACCCGCGTTGATGAGCTTCACAAGCGAGGCATCAAGGGCCAGGGTCAGCGCGTCTGTGTCATCGATAGCGGTGTCGATGCTGCTCACCCGGCCTTGGCTGGCAGGATTGCTGGCGGCAAGAACATGCTAGATGATAACAACGACGTTCAGGACTGTATCGGTCACGGTACATTCGTCTCATCCGTTATTGTTGGAGACACCAAGGATTTCCATGGTGTTGCCCCCCAGGCTGAGGTGTATATGTACAAGGTCTTCCCTTGCTCAGACACCACTAGTAACGATATCATACTCAAGGGTATGCTAGCTGCTGATGCGGACAATTGCGACATTATCTCCCTCTCTCTAGGTAGCGACAGCGGATACCATAGCAGTACATTGTCCATGGTTGCAAGCCGTATTGCACAAGACCGCCTTGTCGTTGTTGCTGCTGGAAACTCTGGAGAGCAGGGTATCTTCTACGCCAGCTCCCCAGCTTCAGGCCGCGGCGTCCTCTCCGTAGCATCTGTCAACGCAAGGCAGGTTCTGCGCTGGCCGGCTACCGTACGGTCCTCCAGCGGACAGGAGTTGGCCATCAGCTACGTCACCCATGACGGAACCAAGGTCAACGAGACTGTCAATGCTCCCATCACATTGGACGCGGGAGATGCCTGTAATCCCGAGTCCTATGGTGAGGAGTCTCAGGCACTCGTCATCCAACGTGGAGTCTGCATGTGGGCTGGGGCATACAATACCCTGATGTACAACGGCTTCGGCTACTATCTCATTTTTGATTCCTACAATCAAGGAGTGTTTTACCCGTCAGATGCCCTCAACTCCAATCCTTCTATCCGCCTCTTCGGACTCACTGCCGCTTCCGTCGGCGCCTGGGTCAAGGAAGAGACTGCCGCGGGTCATAACCTAACTCTCGTCATCAAACCAGACGACGACTCAGCGGCATCTGATCCAGACAATACGTTCAACGACTTCCCTGGCGCAGGACAGGTCTCCTACTTTTCCTCGTGGGGTCCTACCTTTGAAAACGACTTCAGCCCCAAGATTGCAGGTCCTGGTGGCTTTGTATACGGAGCTCACCCTGACAACAAGTACGTAGTGCAATCGGGAACCTCCTTCTCAACTCCCTACATCGCAGGTGTGGCGGCTCTCTTCTACGCCCATGTGAAGAAGGACAGCAAAGAGTTTCTGCGCAGAATCTCCGCCACCGCCGCGAGTCTACCAGCCTGGGATGAGAGAGAAAAGTCGGTCCTCGCCGACATCGCGCCTCTCGCACAGCAGGGGTCTGGTATGGTTGACGCAGTCAAGGTCATGGATTATCAGACTATCCTCTTGTCTGATTCCCACATCTCACTCAATGATACCGACAACCGAGTATCCACACACAAGATTCGTCTGGCCAATACGGGCTCTTCTCAGGTCACGTACAAAATATCACATGTCGCCGCAGCCAGTGTGAAGTCCAGAGACGAATACCTGTACCCGTATACGTACATGCCTCCTCTTACTGCCGCTTCTGGTTCCATCAGTGCCCCTGGGAGCATCACCATTGCTCCTGGCTCTACACATGAGGTTGAAGTCACTTTCAACAAGCCCGCCGGCGACCAGGCGAACAGCGGTACCGTCTGGAGCGGCAAGGTCGTGTTCGAGGGCACCAATGGCGAATTCGTCTCCATCCCCTACATGGGCGTTGAGGTTTCCACCTACAATTGGACACCTCTGGAAGGCTCCCCTCTCTTCTTCCGCTACGACTCCGCAGATGGATACCTGTATCCCGTTGACTGGCAAAGCAAGCCTTATAAGCTAGCTGAAACTGACTCACCTGAAGTCTACTATGCCCTTCGTTATGGCACCTACGAGTTCTCGTTTGATCTGGTAGGCCCTGACTGGAAGGTTGAAGATTTCTCGTACCCTCTGGTCTCTGGAGCCGGGTCTGCCCAATGGCATGGCAGCTTACGATCGGCACCTGATGTGTTTGGCTCTTACGTCGAGTTCCCTGCCAAGTTCCCCGCTCGGTTCAGTAATGTCGGTTTCACCAGGTTCCAGAGCTTTTCCAACGGGACGGCGGTCAGGACTGGCCGATATAGGATTTTGGCTCGAGCTCTCCGCATGTTTGGTGATGCCAAGAACCCCAAAGACTGGCAGTTCACCCTGTCCGACGCCTTCACTGTCCAGCTCGGAGATGAGACTCTCCCCTCGACGCCCATCAGCTCGACCACGGCAGTCTCAACTCCGGTCTCCACGGCCACTCCAACCTCCCAGAGCGTGTCTACTACGTCCTCCCAGGTTATTGTGACACCCTCGAGCAGCGCCATTGCATCCATCACAACCGTTCCAGGTATCACGACTACCTTGCGGGCTATTGCCACCCCAACAGGAGTGCCCAACGCCGTTGTCGACGTCTCCGTTGCTAAGCAGGGCGCTTCCACCAACCAGATCAACGACCCCGGCGTTTGGCTAGAGCTACATGTTCGCTTTGAGATCCCTACGCGTCTGCCGCTCGACAGTTCCGTCTCTTTTGCTCTCCCTCCCCAGATTGTCGACGTGGCCACGAGTAATTACGTGATGGACCAGGCCTCCAACTTGGTGGGGTCTGCCAGCTTTGACAAGAGCACCAGCCTCTATACCATCAGTTTTGGCGAGTACGTGACCTGGCACAGCCAATTGGTGGGAGACTTTTATCTCTTCTGTCGATTCAGCGAGGACTATCGACCACAGATGCAGGCAGGCACTTATTACCTCGAGGTTCTCACCGCGGGAAAGCCCATCTACACCACCCTTATCTACACTGCTGTTGATCGCACGCGCGTGTACGAGCACATGGCCGTCAAGAAGGTTGACAATCTTGACACGTATCTGTTCAATGTCGAGGTACCTGGTCAGCTGGGTCCTTGGAATTCGGTTACTTTCACGTCCGTGTACAACGAAAACGACGGTTTCCTCTGCAGCGAGACCACTGTGGCTGTTGGTACCGAGTTCAACGCCCTCAACCAAGTTTCCAAGTCCAGGGATATCACGGCGCCATCTGTGAAGCGATGCGAGGTTAAGAATTTCAGGGCCATTGTCACCGAAACCGTCGCAGCAGGAGATGCTCTCATTTTCAACATTGCCACACTCATGGGAAAACGAGAAAGCTGGTCAATCACTATGACTTATGGCCTCGCCATTGAGCTGAAGAATGGAACTACAATCGGATGGAACTCTCGTTCGATGACATATGAGAAGAATTCTCGCAGCCGCCCCGACAACTGGATCAGTGCCGTTGTTGACAGAGACGGTCCCATCGGCCCCATCATCTCGACGACCAGTCTGATTCCTACAATCTCTACCCCGGTGTCCACCCCAGCTTCGACTCCCGTAAGCAGCAGCACCGCGGTCACAACGACAAGCACTCCAGGTTCCTCCACACAAGTGTCGTCGTCTACCCCTCAGTCAAGTATTGTCAGCTCTAGCGCTTCGATCGGATCATCTAGTTCAGCGGTTGAAACATCAACCCCGGTCTCTTCTACTACACCACTGTCCAGTTCAGCCGTTTCATCTGCAACGCCTGCCTCTAGCACAGTCGTGTCTTCAACTACACCAATCTCTTCCGGCACACCCGTTTCGTCGTCTGTACCTGCATCCTCTACGCCTGTTTCGTCCACTACTCTGATCTCTTCTACAACCCCTGTCTCTTCTACTGAGGGTTCCTCGTCAGCTATCTCCAGCTCCCAAAGGACGTCTGGCTCTTCCACTGCCCCCATTTCCTCACATGTTTCGTCTTCGGTCATTCCTAGCTCTCAGACAACGCCTGTCTCTTCGACAAGTGCTGGCAGTTCTACAACAGACGCGTCAGCTTCAGTTTCGCCTTCTATCTCGCAGACGACACCTGGGACAGCAACTCGCGGCTCTACAGCATCTTCTTCAACAATTTCTGCAACAGGATCTTCTTTTTCAGCAGACATCTCAAATTCTGTTCCGGCCAGCTCCACCTCAAGCCTCTCTTCTCCTTTATCAGGCACAACAGTCCCTACTTCTGCATCCAACATCGCCACTTCGTCTTCGTCTCGCGGATCTGTCAGCCAGTCTGACGAGCCTCACCCAACCACCGGGCCCTCTGTGGTAACCACCACATCTACCAAGCAGGGTCCTGCTGCCACCGAGACACAGACTGTCACCGTCATCACCTCGGTGTGCTCAGACCCGAGCTGGACAGCCCCCGTCACGGTCACAATCACTGTGCCTTTCGCCACCAGTGGGCAGACCGAGGTCACAACCATCACATCTGTCTGCACGCGGTGCGCTGACCACCCCGTAACCGTGACTTACACCCAGCCTGCCGCTCAGTCCACTTCAACCAAGGTCGATGGCTTCCGCGTTCCTAGTTCAGGGTCTCATGCGCCTAACTTGGTTCCGCACGTCACCATTTCGGGAAGACCCGGGAATCCTGGAAACCCTGCCCGGCCCAGCGCCTTTTCCACCTTGACGTCCATCAGCTCAGCGAAGGTCTCGGACGGACCGGGACAAGGAAACGGCGACAAGCCCAGCCAGAGTTCTCAACCTAATGGGGCTACAGGCGATAACAGAAGCAGCAGCGTTAGTCACATTGGTGCTACTCAACCAGCTCTTACCCAGAAGACAGCTACATCCGTTGCGCCGAATGTTCCATCGACCGTCTCGACTTCGGCACCCGTCTCGGCTGCTGGTCATGTATCGATGCAGTATCTGATAGCCAGCATTATCGCAGGTTTTGCAACTTGGGCATTGATTATATAAGTAATGTTTATTAGATGATTTCACTTGGATACTGTTGAAATATTTCAAGAGAATAATAGATAGAGTGTAATTGATATTAGAACCTCATCGGTAAAGATATTCACGTTAAATGTTGATCTTATTATTATTCACTTAAAGATTCATAACAATAAGTTTTAGGTCGAGAAATACGAAGTCTCATCCCACTGAGTCGTACTGTACAAAAGGCTTCATAAGAGAGCATCCCGAGATCTTACGACGAAGCATATGAGAGAGTCCGAGTGGAACAGGTATGAGTCTGTACATGTAGTTGATGCGACCAGAGCCCAGAGGGGTTTATCGTCGATCCTGTTGAAGTTCGGTGGTATTAACCAAGTCCAGATTCTACCTACCCTACAGCCACGCAACACGACCAGCCGTAGGTGACCAGCCGTAGGTGCCCAGCCTTAAGTAGGGTTCCTTGTTGTAGCCTCGAGATACGCTCTTCTTCCTTAATCAAGCCATCTCATATCAATTTTCGGTATCTCTCTGATCCTCGTTTGACGGATTCGCCTATTAAAAGTTGAAGGGTTGAGGGCCAACAAGAGATGCGATAATGCGATATCCTGAATCCGCGCTCAATGACGTCTTGTGATCGGAGGTTCCGTTTGCTGCGCGTGCTCAGATGGGCTGTCTAAGCTTCTCCCCAACACACACAACGTCAATGGAGGTTTGGAGGTTGGTGGAAGAGGAGAAAAGCTGCCCTAGAGAATTTGGTGGTGCAGAAAGCCGCGTGCCTAGAATACCACAGCAAGACTTCAATGATTTAAAGGCACAATCCTTAACTTGTTGGCTAATCAGGACGATGTAGAGTTTTTCTTGGGGTACCTAAACCCCTGAACCGCCTTAGTTTATAGTGGAGTAGTGCCGTCGTTTGGGGCTGGCCAACCACTGGCGAGTTGAGACTTTCGGAGGACATTGTACTTCCAGCTCAAATGGAGTGGCGATGCCCTCAACGACTGGGGCTGTGGTGATCCTATGCTGCCTGTACCGGCCCCTAGCGAATATTTAAACGATTCAAATGCCGGCCAACTTGGAATCTCCAGTCAATATCTTCCATCAACGCCGTTAAACATCAGGACGCAACCACAGCTTACAACCTCCACACTCAAGATACACAACCCTCAGCCCAAATCAGCATGTCGGAAAAGTCATCAATCTTCAGCGCCGCTCCTCAGGAGTATGAACATCCCCTTCCCGCCTACGGAGAAATTACAAGCAAGCCTGGCTACACTTACGGCGGGAGTGGTACCCACACAAGCGGTAGGCCCATTCTCTTCCCTCGGGAGTGCGTCTTCTTCTATCGCATGCCACACTCGCACTCTCATCTCGGCGTGAATAAAAATGAGCCACTCTTCCTTGTGCGACCGCCCCGTTTCTCCATGGGCTCGGGTGACATTATCCTCCTGAATGGAACTGATAAGCTCGACACCCCTCCTGCCTCAGTCGGCGCTCTAAAGCTCAAGAGCACCAAAGCCTGCGCCGCCGAGCTTCGACTCAAGCCGCGTCCCGGCGGCTCATTCACTCAGTCGTTGGAGATCAATCTGACCGTGGGGATCCAGAACAAGTATCAATTCGTCGCCCCTGTCGGTCCTAATGGTCAGCATGAGACCTTTGAGTGGCGTCAGAGCACAGGCGAGCTGGTGCGCGACCTCGCCGGCGGCTTCCAGTACGGCATGAAGCTTGTCCGCCTTGACGGCGTAACGGGAGACGCCAGCAGTGATGGGAAGGTGACTGTCGTCACAGGCGATGACAAGCCCATTGTGGCGATCTTTGCTGCCGTGCGTCCACAATGCACTAGTGCCAAGTTCCGCTTTGTGAACGAGGGAGCCACGGGCGAGTTGGGAGAGGTGTTTGAGCTTGCTGCTATGATTAGCTTTATGCGTTTATTTGAGTTGCAGCTGTCTCAGGGTGGTGTCGCTATCGGTCCTGGTAGCTCATGAGGTTAAATGAGGGAAAGTTGAACCAGAGGAATGATTTACAGTTGGAGTTGGAGCGGGCGTATATCTTACTTTGAGGCTGCGGAGTTCAGACTGGATTTGGACGTTGTTTAGGAATATGATTAAGTGAGACAAGGGAACGGGGCCTTGAGGTCATCTATTTAAGTTTCAGACTTAAATCTCATTCGCCCCTAGCGACCTTTGAAAAGCTGGCGTAAAGGCATCCCTTAAAGGTCTCCATAAATATAAGAGCAACGTCCCAGGTACCGGGCAGAAGAAGTCCAAGAGCGCTACAAACTCTCAGACAGCCCAACAAGCTATAGCTATTGGGACGCTAGTATACAAATATTTCCATTGCAGAAGCAAGCATTGCAAACAAAGGCCCCATTGCTAGCGTGACAACTAGGGAAACCAGAATCAGACGGTAGCAACCTATTTGAAGGACATTCACAAGTACATTATGAGCTCTCTCGTCGGCCTTCATATATCAAACTATGCTGAAGGTGCTTTGCTATAGTATTTTGTTACATCGTAAGCATAGCTAGTAACTAGTACTTCATATAGCGTCCGAAGGGCGATAAACCATAATCATCTTACCGAACTATCTTGTATCCAATAGCGCGTTCTTATTGATATAGTATTTATGAATCATCTTACGGGGGGGACGCACATCCACAACGAGCTCACTGCCTAGTAGGTACCATCTACGCTTATTGACGACATATGGCACCGGAGGGATTCATTGTGTTGAGTTGTCGGGCCCTCGCAGCTTCATTGTTATTAAACTCTATTCTCTTTCTCTTACGTATGGCACCGGAGGGATCGCGTTACTCGCCAGACCGAGGAGAAGAATGATATTATAGAGTGGGTACAACCAAAGGCCAGCGCCATGTTCTTTGTATCAAGATTTAGAACATTCCCACAGGCGGGGGGTTCTGCAAGAGATAATTGGACAAGCTCGGCGTGTACATTGGATAGGGCAAAAACTTCTTATAACTCCGCTCGTTGTAAGTTCGGCACGATTTACTTTTATCGGTATAAAGTTGCCATTTGTTAGCCTTGTTGAAGGACAGACAAGGCTCAATGGGCACCTGCTGACGGAGCAAAAGAGAAATCAGGTCCGATGTTCACTCTCTTGGTAGTCGACCAGCTGCAAGCCTTTTGCTTCCCTTTCAGCAGTTTGAAGCAGAGGGTCAATGAATTCTTCCAGCCCACAAGTATGACTAACAAGCGTTCGAGGAATCTTAGCCGTATGATAGCGGTCAGATGAGAACCATTCCTTTAAGCGTTTGCCTTCGATGCTTTGTTCCCTAGGGCTGTAGTAAATTGTCGGCTGATCTTCTCGCAATGAACGAATGATCGTGTCGATACTTTGCGACTCAAGGGGCAGGGGCAGGGCTGCGCTGAACAGCCTAAGCGGACGTATGTCCATCTTCTGGATCAGTGTCCCAAGTAACATGGCTCTGCAACCAAAGTTACAGCCCAACTTCTTCTCAAGTAGTTGAGTTTGTATCTGTTTTAGGCCTTCCAACAAGCTTTCGACCACTGCATCTCTCTGCTCCTTGATGTGCTCTGGACAAGTTAGTACTTCACTGGTTTTGGACATACATGGAGACGAACCAAGAATGATTGGACGTATTGGGACCCCAGCTCCAAATGAAAGGGGCAAACTTTCCACAACGGCTCGCTGGGTTGCATACTGAAACATTTCAGGCTGCTCAAAGACGAATGCGATCAAGATTAGTCTGGCAGTGTCTTGCGTGGTGAAGATTTGAGACGCGTATGGCGGTTGAGGAAGCCATCCTTGAGAAAAGAACCAAACAGCCTCATGGCACTCAAGATCGTCGACAATGGCAGCTATTCCAGCTAACTGCTCGACCGTGACTGTACGAGGAATATCCCGATTTCTCCCATGGATAATCCTCAACACAATCTTCCAAGCATGTGGATCGAAAATCGGCTGGATAGTCCAATGATGAAGGCCATCGCTCTCGTCTGGAATTGATTCTTTAAACCCGCCAGACAGCACTTTATGAGCACGACGTGAAGCTGTGGAAAGATGCTTCTTGGAGCACAAGAAATGATACTCGGGTTGTGACTCAGCAGCAGATTGAAGCCAGCCAAGTTGGCCAACTGTGACTGATTTCTCAGGAATAACAATCAATGTGTCCCCTTGAGGATCAAACTCCTCGCGCTCGATACTCATTTTCAGATTGGGGTCTCAAGTGCTAGAGTAGGGTCAAGCTTGGAGCGGGGTTATCAGCTATTTGCCTAATTTAAGATAGTCGCGTTTGGGGTGGGGTCATCAGTTGATGCCTGATAGCCGAACTTGTGCCGGACGATTAGAGTTGGCAGAGCCAATCCGCGTAGAAATGATGCTTCCTAAGGAATTCTCATCTGTATCACACTAATGGAAGGTAAAGGTCAGAATAGGTTTATAATATGGAAGGCTTAATCATTGTGTTGAGTTGTCGGGCCCTGGCAGCTTTCATTCGTGTTGAACTTTATTTTCTTTCTCTTACGATAATGTATGGAAGGCTGAGGGCCTGATGATAACTCACTAACAGATCGAGCTGTTCCTTTCGACACAATTACGACAGGAATTTGACCGAAGGAGACAATCGGTGCCCACGTACGTCACATTATTCCCAAATATTCGAAGCCATCTTGATGCCTATACCAAAGGGAACAATATCGCTGAAGAGCATCTGGATAGAAAGCAAGTAAAGCCATAGGAGGGATTCTTTCTCAAGTGTACGAGTCTGATAAATGATAATTCGGTACGATGCTCGCTGGGCGCATGTTGGACCAATAAACACTCACCTCGTCTGTCCTCCGTTGAACAATGAGTGTGGTTGAGAAACTTTCATGAGTCCACAGGTGGCTTGTCTACCATAGACGCAGGTGCATCGCTCCACATGTGCTTCCTGCTGAAATAAGTAAAATCTCGGCCTGGCGGTCGGCCAGCGACTCCAATTGTACTTTTACCTTGTTGCATTACGAGCCCACTTGTTATTACTTGAGAATTCGACTACGGAGAGCCACTCTACAATTCCTACCGACCCTTGCGACACCTCGGTCAGCAACTACTCCGAGGCATCTATGGGACTAACCATCAAGGGATGGTCGTGAGGACATTCCGAACCTTGAGGCCGTTGTAACAAAGAAAAGTCAACTATTGAAATGGGTATTGGGTTGCTTATGACAAGCCGTGATATCCGGTCATCATGTTGGGCTCGGTGGGGCCGCGTCGCGGCTTAAAGCTGTATTAGGAAGAATTTCAAAGGATGCGGAGAGGGTCTCCCTAGTCTCCGGTGTAGCTGACGGGCTGGGTTTGAGCTTGGGCTTTCTGGAGATGATCAAGATTAATCCCACGTGGTGCCCTGTATGTCCCCACGATGGCTGACCGTGTCTTCAAGCAGGGCTTGCCCAAAGTCGCTTATGAATCCAAGGAAACATCGTAAGCGAGGCTAATTGGCCCTTGCTGGACCCTTTGTTATCTGGGGCTCAGGCCCAGGGACTTGATTGGGTAAAACCATCAGGGCAATGGTCTTGAGAGTCAATTCGAATCGTTTCAACAAGTCAAGGCCAGGGAGCGACTGTGCCGAGATAACCGATCCCACAGCTACCCCGGCCCCGGAGATGGATTGTGATGGGCGGAATCTCTGCCTCTAAGCTGAAGATTCCTTTCAACTCAGGATACGGCAGAAATCTGCCGGGTCGAAGTGCCGAAAAGTACGCGGGCATTGGTGTGTAGGTGTTGGACTTCGATTTGAAAGTGGGCGGAAGTAGGTATATAATGATTTGATCCGTCAGGCTTAGAAACATAATCTGTATGCCTCTCGCGTCATCATTCTTATCCTATCTGTACCATTGAAAGACAGAATATAACTCTCAAAGTTGGACAAGATGCGCTCTGTTAAGAGTCTTTATGTTCTAGGCGCCGCCTATGTGAGCGGTGTAGTATGTCGTCCACGAGAAAACGGGGATTCGCAGGGGGCTAACGTCAACAGCTTGGCTCGAACTCAACTCCGATCTATGCTCTGAGTACTGATTCTCACTTTGCTTTCGTTCTGGAAGAATACCTGGCTTTGAGCAATGCTGGAGGAGCAGGCACCGGTGAAGGTATGACATCTATATTTCCAACAGAAGAGCCGCAATAGCCCACATTGATCTTTACAGTTTTACGCGCCGCCAGCCAGATTATTCCTGGTGATTTTGAAAGCTGGCACTCGGAATTCAAGTTCCTCGCCGATGCTTTACATACAAAGGCTACCTCAATCGACTCGAAGCGGTTCCCAGTCTCTGCTAGGGAAGCCTACTTCCGTGCTTCTAGCTATTATCGGGCGGCCGACTTTTACCTTCACGGGAATCAAAGCGACCCCCGAATCAACAGCCTCTGGAATTCAGCATTGGCTGATTTCGATGCCGCCACTAGTCTTCTTCCAATCCCACCCATCAGGAAGAATTTGACTGCCAATGGCTTTACTATTCCAATCATCTATTTCCCTGCCCAGCCACAACCCAGTACCAATAGCCATCACGGAAGACAACCTTCAGTGAAGACCCCAACAGTTATTGTTGGCACAGGATACGATGGTAATCAAGAAGCCTTGTACCATACTATTGGGCGTTCTATCCTTGAAAGAGGCTGGAACTACGTGAGTTACGAGGGTCCCGGGCAGCCAACTGTGCGTCGCCAGCAGAACGCTGGATTCATCGATAATTGGTGGGATGTCGTTTCTCCCATTGTCGACTACCTAGAGACTCGCGACGACGTTGACACGAAGAAGATCGCCCTCGCCGGTCTCTCGTTCGGCGGTATCCTTGCTCCGAGAGCAGCCTCGCGGGAACATCGCCTTTCAGCCGTGCTTGCCATTGATGGGTTGATGAACCTGCAGAAGACAATCAACCTCGGTGACCAGCTCACCGCGATCTTCAAGAGTGGAAACAAGACCGTCTTTGACAAGGTGATGACCTCTGTCATGAACAACTCCAGCATGCCCACCAATCTCCGATGGGGCATTGCTCAGGGAACATGGGCGTTCAACACTACCAGCCCGTTTGAGTGGTTCACTGGATTGGGCAAAGTCACCGCTGAGGCAGATACTCTAGCAAACGTCACTAGCCCAGTTCTAGTCGCCGAGGGTGAACACGACACCATCGCGCCCGGTCAGGCTGTGAGCATGTACGAGACTCTGGGAGACCTCGCAACGTACAATTTGTTTCGAACTGAATTAGGTGCTGGTGAGCACTGCCAGCTTGGGGCTGAGGCTCAGCTCGCTCAAGTTGGTCTCGATTGGCTGTTGGATATTTGGGACAAGGTCCAAATTCCTAAGAATACGACTGGCGGAACATACTAGATAGACTCAAGGAGCATGACGTCTTTGAGAGGCATAATATTTTGTCTTTGAAGTGGGCCGACGACTTCTGTGGCCATTTCTTTTTTAAAAAATGTACTTTCCGGCAGGCCGCGGCATAGTAGCGGTGTGGCAATTCTCGACCGTGAATCGACCAGAACCCCTTATCTAAGACATTTCGTATTACTGAAATGAAGTGACAATATAGCTTTCTCGTATCTTCCAAATATGCAGGCTAAAACCATTCAATCTGATCTACGTTGTTTCTTCAGGGGAAAAAGATGTATAGCCGTGCTTCCCGACGACAAAACTTCACAACACTGGCTGGAGGCATGTTATCTCTTCGGTGCTCATCATAGGTGGCTTGCTACCTGAATCTATGACTTATAGCAAAGTTCATTGATACGGTTTAACATAGCTATTACAACAGTCTAATGTAACATAGCCTGTTCCCCGTGATGGGAAGACTGATCGCGTCGTTTCTTTGTCTTACGTCTTGTTAGTGTTTGGATAACTGGATCAATTTGCGTTTTGTCTTCAACTCGCCACCGGCAATCCCGATGACTCGATAAGTGATCCCCGAACGCACTGCTTGGATCGTCAGAGATACCATTCTCGGTGATCAGGAAGATAAGTGTCTTGGTCCAGAAATGGTTCAGTGTCGGAGCAAGCTGACTGGCGTGTTAGATAACGAAATGTTCTGGTGAAACTTTTGACGTGATCATTCGTGGAATTTCTTCATATCATGAGTCATGGTAAGTAAAATTCATTGCAACAGCTAGCCTGCCGTATTAGGAGAAGGTGTCTGGGTGGAATGTCACACTTGAAGGCAAACGGGGAGTCGTTTTGTGAGTACTTTTTGAAGAAATGAAAAAACTACATATTCCCTACCTTGCTCCAGCAAAATAAGATCCGTTCTGTCCGTTGAACAAGAAGCCAATTTCCCAATTTTCAACTGAGCAGGTTGCGAATTGACTGGTTTAAGAGGCTCTAAATCTTGTCGTCAGTGGTTATTTATTTCGAGGGACGATCATTCATTTCACGATGCTTCAAACGCCCAGGGAACAACCGGCAAAGAGTATTGCCACCACCCTTTCGCAAATGACTCTCTACGTGCCCGGACTGGATCAGCTGTTGCAAGACTGGCCAAGAGGAGCGAACCCAAACATCGAAGCTGCGCGAGCTGAGGTTGAAAAACTCCTTGAAATGTAATGCCGCATTCCCAACTGTAAGAAACGTGGCTAAATCTATTCAGGACTATTGAAGCTCCAGAAAAACTAATAAAGCTGAGGAAATGTGACTTTGGACTGCTGGCAGCGTTGTAAGGCAATTCAAGGGGTTTCCTTGATTTGAGAAGCTCACAAGTAACTAGGTGCTACCCTACCTGCCCACGGGCTGGGTTATTAACCGCTACCCAAATGCTCTTGTGGATCTTTGTCTGGGACGACGAAATTGATATGGGAGAAGGGTTCACGTGCACCGCCACAAATCACGAGGATGCTAGGGATTACTGCAGCCGCTCCCTCCGCCACGTTGAGGAAGTGTTCGACCCAGGCATGGCCCATTCTAGCTCAGCCGGTCCTAATGCCATGAAGATATTCGATCGCCTGAGCGAACAACTACGCATCAACATGAGCAGTGGTAAAGCTTCCAACCCTTCTGCCTGTGAAAGCTTAGCTAACTTACTTTGAGACCAAACAAGGCGATTTGCCCACACCATCAAGACATTTATCGAACAAGCAGCCGTCGAGCAAATGGGGAACTCTGGTGGACACCACCTGCCCAATTTTGATAACTATATGAACCTGCGCCTAGACACTTCTGCTATTGGTCCGGGCTTGGCGATCTGCGAGTAGGTTGTCGTTATATCACAATGTATCCGCCTCTGCTAATGATCTTCAGACTGACCGCGAAGATTATGTTACCAGAATGGGTCACTCAGAGTGCAGAGATGGGATGCATGTGGAAGAGTATCAGCGTCATATGCATGCTGTGAGTGGAACAAATCAATATATTGGAACTTTGCTGACCTACATAGAATCAACGACATTTATTCACTGCAAAAAGAGCTGGTAAGTGTGCAAATAACTGATTGGGACGTTCTGCTGACGTGTTCTAGCGTAACGGCGTAGCCCAAAGTGCCATTCCCATTTTGTGGAGTGCTTCGGAACCAAACGACTTGGATCCCATCGTGCAAAACTTACTCCGCGAGATTGAGGGGGCAATAACCTCTTTTGATCAAGCTACAGCCTCTCTCGGGCACCAATATGAGATGAAAGGCCGAAGCAGCTCCGATCTACGCGCGTATGCAGATGCCTGTCGCCACATTGCCACCGGTTTGTGGCGGTGGACGTTGTCCTCACCGCGTTATAACATGCCGAAGTATCTGCAACCCGATGGAATGGCTGTTATCCCACTAGGAGAATAGCTGAAGGTAGTCCGAAAAAATGCAAGTTTGACGTTGTCTCGGCCATTATTGAATAGAATATTGACCAGAATGAAGGATGTTTCGTATTGGCTCAGCATTTAGCTTTGTCAGGATTTGTATGTTGGGCAACAGGCTTCTTTTATAGAGCAACCTCTAACCTTACGCAGAACATGTTTTTGTACACTCACTTGATGAAATATATGATCGTTCCAAGTTGTGACAGTTAATTGCACTCAAGAACCTTGCGACATGCTAAGTTGCATGTACTGGACTTGTCACCCGAAACACCGGTCAAAAATCGTCAATAGCCCCGTTCACCAGAGCGTCATCCGAAACGTGTGATGGACTTTTATCCCCCCGAAAGCTGCAGGTTTTAGTGAGTCAGCTACCAACCAATTGGATTCTAATCTGTTGATTTCCAGAGCCGGCTGCACAGGCACCGCACTTTCGCCAGATTCTGCATTACCTAGTGTTGTAGCGACTTGCTCGCGAACCATGAGACCGAATTCGCCAAAAGCAAAACGAATGGGAACGAAGATTAGCAACGCCTTGTCTGAGAGGCTTGCAAGCTATCTAGATGCTTTCATTTGATGGGATTGATCATTGCCGGGTCGACGTCACTTAGGTGTCATCCCTTTCTGAAAACGATCAATCATCGACCGATTAAGCTTTCTACAGCCATCTTCCAACTGTGGACCTTTACGCAGCAGTACAAAGCGCATCACAGTATATCTTACCCTTAAGAGTCAACAAAAAAAGGTGCCACCGTCTTCAAAGCGGTAAGATATTTAGACTTGATACTAAGTCCACCTTTGGCAATGCCAAGAAACTGTCCCTAATGCATCAGAGGGAGAACATGTTGTATACAATCAAGGCTCATAGAGCTTTGGGATTATATAGCTGTTTTGAATAAAATTATAGTCAAGCTTAGTTTATTCGAGGTCGGTGGAGTAAGTATCAAAGATGGAAAGCGTCGAGGAAATAGTTAGCAAAACACATTGATGAGAAATCCTTAATCGATTTTGAGCAGACTTATTATATAGCCATTTAAATTTCGTGAGAAGGAGAAGTAGGGCATTAAGATTGGAAGCAAAGTGAGATGAGCCGTCGATGTTATAAAAGCCGTTATCCCCATTACAAGAATACCCGTTACCGAATACCTATAAACATGAAATATCGGACTGGGTAGTCGTTAGTCCTTCTCATCAAACCGTTGAGTGTATATTTATATCAAAGGCCGGATTCGATTCCCCAATGGTGTTGCTACAGTAATCTCTAGCCTCGTGGTGCTTCCACCCTATAGAGATGGTAATGAAGGTAAACTGCTCAAGCATAGATGAATTCATTGTGTTTAATCTGCCACAGACCGTCTGTTTGGCTGGATCGTCCAGAGTTGTGAGAATGGAGGCAATGTTTAGACACCCATATGATTTAATCTTGTCCTCTCTACTATCAGTTGCACGTACTTCCATTTCCACGCCAATGATACAACATACTTTTAGCCACATTGAGTATTAGCAGGGCAGGATAAAAAATTCAAGTGCGTCTAGTGAGCTAAACATTGATATAATACAAGGCATGTTCTAAAGACATGGAAAGATTTCCCGCAGTAGTCGATACAATAGCCCAATTGCTACGAGACCGATACTTCGACTCGTAGAATCTCGAGCATTGAGAAAGAAAAGTATCCATATGCAGTACATAATCATATGCCATTATAAAGCGTATGGCATGCCGTCGGTTTCCTGGCGCTCATAGTTGCGGAGGTATCCCTTGTCGATAAAGCCCTCAAAGATTCCCCTGTCGATAGGGCACTCGAAGATTCCCTTGGGCGTATAACGTTGTCCCAAGGCTTGGTAGATATCATTGATAGCTGTGGGACTGTCTAGATCTAACTCGACAACCCTTGATCCTATGTGGCGTTTTGCTTTGCGCAAATGTAGGACTTGAATACTACAAGTTTGTTAGGCGCAAAACGGAACAACAATTTCTAGGAGAGAGGTTGGAGACAAACATGAAATCCCGGCCCCCAAGATACCTGTCGTGGACATTGACAAAGCTGAAATGCTGTATGCCTGATTCAGTGATGTCGAGGATGATTTCCTCGAATTTCAAGCACTCAATCAGATGAACAGTGTAAGTACGGGCCGAACAGGTATATTCTCTTTTCCGATCAAGAGTATAAATGATGAGTTTACCAAGCTGATATATTTGATATCCATCATCTGACTCGGTCCTTCTTCGACTATCGTTCATTCTCATGTCCAGGCATACGGTCATGAGGCCCTCGACTTTATGAAGGAGGGAAAACTTGAGAACAACATGATTTCTTTCGTTGTTCATCTCCGTGACGGCCACACCTTTCGAGTTTAGCTCGAGGAACTCAACACTAACCGTCAGAACCCAGGCATCGAGAAGGAACTGAGGGACAGCCTGAGGGTTCTTGGTGAGGTCATACTCGGCATGAGTGGAGAAAGACATTTCAAGCACAACTGAGGAATGATGAAAGATCTCTAATATGGATCGACAACCATAGCATCTAGAATCCGGTTGAGAGACTTCGAGAGTCGTCCTATAATGAAGAACTCCGAGTAGATAAGAGTGCAATTTTGACGAGGTGAGATCTATGTAATTGAGGGTCTCGAATGCTACTGAGTAAAAGTTCGTGGCGGATATGTGCTATTTATTGCCACGAATTACATTTGTAGACAGGTTTCTAGATAATGACTGGAAGATACGGAACAATGGAACAACGAGGCTAGGGTACAAGACTGTGTCTACTCTCAAATCTCTCTGGCTCCGTCAGAAGTGCTTTGCCTGAAGAACAAAGGCCTACTTCAATTGCGATTCAGCATCGTTTCTTTACGATTCAACAAGTAAGGAATACTACGATATTTCCCAAGACGTTTGGTGTCATCTTGATGTGCTATGCGAAAGCAACCACACTTTATGCCAATTTCCTGTTGTAGGTTTCAAATAGTTTGGTAGGACTTCAAGACCCTCAACTCAAGTGTCCAACGTCCAGTGTGTGAACCCTTGGTCCTTCGTTACGATAACTCATGGCTTCATAAACTTATAACCATTGGCGACGAATGTGTGGCCACGATCGACTTTACCGATGTGAACAATTTGCCTTTGTGTTTCGATAAACTGCAACATTGGAGATTGATCAAATTTCCTATGTCCGATGAGGCGTCTAATACAGCGATACCATTGGCTTATAGAGGCGCAACCTGTGCTTGGATGCTAAAAACCTCCTTTTATGTGATTATGGACAAAAAAGATCTCGAGGTCATGATAACTCGATGTAATGAGTAACAGACCGGAGAGTCAACATGGGCAGGAGATCCATGATCTACACTGCAAGATTGCGCTTTCCAATGCTGCGTGGAACCTACAAGTCGGCTTTTGAATGAGATGCATATACGCAAGGGAGCAGTGCAGGGAACTAGTAACACAGATGATCCGCGAAAGCCATTAATGTGGTTCACAGAGGCAGCGTCTGTTGGAAGTTGAGTACAGGGTAGTTAATATTTGGACCTACCCTATACTCACATCACTACAATTAGTGACAATTATCTCGAAACTCTACAATTAGACCCTTGGACAATTCTGCTCCTTCAATCAACTAAGCTGCTCATACTCATGCACCTATTCTGGCAGAATCTAGTGCTTAAGAAGGCGACTCTTGAACCTTACCTTGGCCGTGATCTTTGACACCGGATGCATTGTGAAGTGGTGAACAGGACGAACTGAGATGTCTATGAACGAGTGGATCTCCGCATCCGTAGCCAAACGCAACATCCTGATCGAGGAACTTAATATCCATGTCTAAAATAATGTATGAGATCATATACATCCATGTTGCCTTCATCTGTTGTTCCTCTGTAGATCATCTTCATAGCTTGAAGCGGGGTGAAGCGGGGGAAGCTTTTCCTGTCTCTCCGATATTGCCAAGTGCGGGGTTCTTGAACCCTCAAAAGCCGTCGCCGATCTCGCTCTGCCAATTGATCTATCTTATCGAACACATTCTTCAAGCTTCAGCTCCTTTTCCAATCTCTCTTCCTACAGTACCCCTGGGATCTCCCATCTCCCACTTAGTCTCCGACTCAATTCTCGTGCCTCGTCACGCAAGACCGACACGTCATTGGCCGAAATCCGTAAGACAAGTATTGCCATCATGGCGGAGCACAACATTGTTGTTTTTGCGGGCGACCACTGCGGCCCAGAGGTAACCGATCACCCGGAGCTGTCCCACCTTGACTCTGAAGGTAGAGAGGCTGACTTTGGTTCTCTGATAGGTCATTGCTGAGGCAATCAAGGTACGAGTCGGGTATTGCGGCCTCAATTGAGCACGTCTGACGTACGATTCAGGTTATTAAGAAGGTCGAGGAGCTGCGCCCGGCCGCTGGCAAGTTCAATCTGCAGGAGCAACTGCTCGGAGGGGTAAGTCAACGACGGATCACACGAGCCCAGGGCATTCCACGGGAGAAGTCTCCTGCTAACCTTGGCCTTTCTCTCCAGTGCTCCATCGACGAGACCGGTAACCCCCTCACCGACGAGGCACTCGCCGCCGCCAAAGCCGCCCACGCCGTGCTCCTCGGTGCCATCGGTGGCCCCAAATGGGGCACTGGCACTGTTCGCCCGGAACAGGGTCTCCTGAAGCTGCGCAGCGAGATGGCCGCCTATGGAAACCTCCGTCCCTGCTTCTTCGCTTCCGACGCCCTCATCGAGTCCTCCCCCCTGAAGGCGTCCATCTGCCGCGGCACCGACATGATGCTTGTCCGCGAGTTGACATCGGGGCTGTACTTTGGAGAGCGCCGAGAATACGATGGGCACAATGCATTCGATACCGCCGTTTACACGAGACCCGAGATCGAGCGTATCGCGCGGATGGGCGGCTACTTGGCCAGGACTCGGAAAGAAACGCGGGTCATCTCACTGGACAAGGCGAACGTGCTGGCAACAAGTAGACTCTGGCGCAAGGTGGTTGATGAGGTCTTCAAGAACGAGTTCCCCGATCTCAAGGTCGAGCATCAGCTTATTGACAGCGCGGCTATGATCATGGTCAAGAGCCCGACGCATCTGAATGGCGTTATGATTGCGCCCAACTTGGCAGGTACGTGAGGCCCCTCGTCCGCCTCGAAGGGGGTTTAGCTAACGACGATTCAGGTGATATTCTCAGCGACGAGGCGAGCGCCATCGCTGGAAGCATTGGGCTCCTCCCAAGCGCGAGTCTCTGCGGGATTCCGAGCTCTCCGGTATCTGGCATCTATGAGCCGATTCATGGTAAAATTTCTACCCTCCGCTCTAGCACTCATGTAGACATTACTCGCTAACGCACTTGATAGGTTCCGCGCCAGACATCTCAGGGAAAGGGATTGTCGTAAGTTTAGACCCATTTAGGGATATTCCTATCTATTCACTACAAGGACAGAACTGACATCATTTCCAGAATCCCATTGGCACCATCCTTTCTGTGGCTATGATGTTCCGGTACTCTCTAAATCTCCCCGACGAGGCTAAGCTCGTTGAGGACGCGGTGCGCGCCGCCATCGACGCCGGACTGAGAACCAAGGATATGGGCGGCAGCACGGGCACCGTAGAAGCCGGAGACGCTATCGTTGCTGAGTTGGTCAAGATTCTCAAGGCGTGAAGTGTCTCACATGAAAAGGAAAATGGATAACGGGAAGAAAGGGGAAAATGGGGACAGACAAAAAAGTAGCTGCGAGGTTGCGGCCGTATGAGAAATGACAAAGAGGGTTGGAAAAACACTCGGAATAAAAGATTATGGAGAAACATGGAGGCAGGCCAATAAGGAAACTCTGCTTTAACTCAGTGTTACTTTCCACAAATTTCAGCCACGCATGCCGGTTCTTTAAAACAGGACATCCAACTGATTCGTTGTGGGCGGCGCTTACACCAGCGGCCAGATAACGGGACCGGTGAAATTGCACCTGCATTGTTATGCTTATTCATATGGAGTCGAATTCTTCTACTGTACTGCTAAGACGGATAATGCTGGATCATCTCGTTCTGGAAATTTCCCTCCATAAAGGCAGATGTTTCTTCACAGACGGTGGCCAGCTCTTGGCAACCCAAGTGTGGGCACTACTATTTGCTGTCGACTGGCGTTCAAGGATAAAGACCAGGCTGGCAAAGCAGACCAGGGATCAGAATCGGGAAATAGCCGAGCTATTGTTGTCGCTACACAGTCCGACCATCCGCTTTGGTTCATCGAGGAGGGTGGTGATAGGATGCGGATAGTCGACGACGCGCGCTTACACCCGCCTGCAGAATAAACGCTCAGCTAAATTGAACAGGATCTCTGCAGGGCCAACACGACTTGTTGCATGTAAATTAAGGCTTGGTAAATGCTTTCGGTGTCTTAGTAGGAAGATAAGCATAATAAAGATTAGATGCTCTCCGGAAATAAGTTCGAACGAAGCATTCAGCCATTCTCTTAAGCATCTTGGATGTATATCTTTTCCTTTTTCCCTTTCATTTTGTTATCAGAATTTTATTCTTTCCTTTATGCGATGCCTCGAAACACCCTGCTCAACATGCTATGCATAGCTGTGCTTGCCTCTGTTGCAATGGCCAGCGTGCTGCCACGGACACCTGGCACGGGTGTAGATCTTCCTCCCTGGGAATCGATGCGCTACGCCCATGCGGCCATGTTCTGCTCGTTTGGCGATGAAGATCTGGCTACTAGTGATGGAGCGATGAAGGTATGGCAGGGCAATGGAATCGGCACAGCTTTAGACAAGTTCATCTCAGACCAAGGCAAGATATCCTGACTCCCACTGCTGGCAGTTCACGACGGAGACTGACTCTTTGTCGCGTTAATAGGCCAGGACCGCTGGCTCATTAAGAACCTGCCTGGCTGCAGTGTCACCGAGGATACAACGTGTGATAGACCGGACGGCTCTAAAAACTGCACCGCGATATTCGATGACGTTAACGCGACCAACTTGGATAAAGCCTCGTTCTGGATCTTCAAGGCCGTGGTCGGCGTCCAGTCTAAGTTGTCTAAGCTGCGATCGAGACTGAAGGAGGAAACTCTCTTCCTTGACCTAGAACTCAAGTCGCTGAATCCAAAGCCCAAGCATCGTGGATCGCCGCGGCTCTTAGCATTGGTGAGACACTGGTTGGAAAAGCATCGGGGCTGGTAAGCGCATTCCCTTGATATAAATTGAAACTGTCCATGTCCCCCATCTCGTTTTCACTGGCGATGAAATAACCGATTCTCCTAGGGCACCATTACGAATATAGGCTTCAACCTCTTCAACGGCTTGATAGACATGACCGGTGATCAGACCGCAGATGAGGGCGACTTGCAGGCATCATTAGCCAAGGTTTCACGCTCCATGGGTTCCAACATAGATGACATGCTCTCTGTCGCGATGGGAGGCGGCAAAGGAGATGACTATGACAAGCTTCCTATCCAATCCAAGGGCTCCTACAAAAACAAGGTTGCTCAATTTTTCAACACCGGCTTCTGGCTTCAAAATAACGATGCTGGCCTGGTAAAAGAGATGATGGATGCTGCGATCTTGAATTTGGTAAGATTTTTCTTTTGTTTTCTAATCACAATGGACTGCGTGATCTTTTGCTTGATTCTTTGAGCAACACTCTTGCTGACCCTCGTTTATACAAGCGGGCCAAGATGGTCGATGAGATCCTCAGCGCCAACGGGTGGTACGTTTCATGGTACGTTTGGCGAAACTCCGAAGACAAGTGTCCAAAGGAACAAGGATTTGAGTGGGTCAAGGCAGGTTTTGAATACTACTGCGTGATCTTGATGAATAGCAGCTGGAGCGGCCCCGATTTCGCAGAGGACAGGATCTACAAGGCCATGGATAATAACGGGCTGAGGGATCGAAAAGCTTATTACGGTAGCTTGGTTGACTGTGCCAAGAATGGTGACGGAAAGTTCGATGCCAAGTCGTTGACATACGGCAAGATTCCGAAATGTTTTTTCCATCTCAAAGTTATAGATTTTGTCTAGAGTTGGGGAATGGCAATCTGAGCGTGGAGTGAAGCCGGAAGTAATGAGACTATGAGGGCGATTTACAAGACAAGTTGTGTTGAGAAGTTTGGACGTGGTGTCGATAGTCAAATGGCATAAAATAGCATTTAGATGCCCGTTTCTTCTGCTGTATCAAGATGATTGTCAATACCCTCGCCGTCCGCGTATCGCTCTGAGCACCTCATCTACTACGCGATTCAACGAGCGGCGGTGTCTTCGTTTGGAAGATGAATACTTTGTATAGGGTGGGACATGTTGCGAAGTTTTTTGGTGTCCAACCACTCGAAAGGTGTTCAAAGATATCAAACCTGTCGGCGGATTGGTGGTACAAATTCTATAGAAACTTACATGAGGTGGTGACTTACTACTTGGCGGGCCTAGATTAGCCGGCCCCCCTAGCAATTTCGCCAGCGACTTGTAAAAAAAAAAGTGACCTAGTATACCTGCTAAATTTAGCAGGTAGTATATATACTATCTTTTTAATATATATCCTGCTTATATCCTTAGCTTACTCTGTTAATTTAATACTAATATAATAATTTTTTACTTTATATAATATAGCTATAATATATTATCTAGTATAACTCTATAATTAATAATATAATAATTATATTTAAAATTCAGAAAAAATATTATTAAATTTAGAATTAAATAATAATATTACTATATATAAATAGATTAATTTTATAATAGATAAACTGGTTTTCTTATAGTTTACTCCTAAAAATCTTAAGGAGTATATTATTATAGTAGCTAAACTCTTCTATATCTAATATTATAAGATAATTATAGCTATAAGTAAGAGATTTAGAATACTATATTATTATCTTTAAAGCTATATTTAGAGTTATTTAAGTATTAATTTAAATAGAGGGTATAATATATTTTTTAATAAAACCTAGATAAAAGCTATAGTTATATAGGCTTACTACTAGATCCTAATAGGTTTTTATATTTAAGGATACTAGCTTTATTAATATATTAATACTATTCTTAAGGTATTAGGAAGTTAAAGAATAGCTTCTAAGTAATAGTATAATTACTTTATAAAGAAGTATAGAACTATATTCTATTTTTATAAAGCTCTTTTATATAATATTTTAAAAGATTAAGGCCTCTAGTATAGGATAGACTAGCTATAGGGTAAGCTGGGTCTAGGGTAGGTACAGCTTATAGGGTAGGCTAAGGAATACTAAAGGGATTATTTTAAAAGGTATAGTAGAAGAAGCAGCCTACTTAGTAAGAAAGAGAGACTTTATTAGCTATAGGGTAGCTAAGAAGATAGACTGTAGGATAGATAAAAGAGTAAATTAGTAACTTAAAGAATCTCTATCTAGTAGGGAGGAAGCCCTGTACTTATAGATATTTTAGGGCTCTAAGAGCTCTGAAGATAATATATTACCTTCTGTAATACAGGCTTATAACTGCTGTAAGGTTCTCGTACAGTAGATATAAGGTCTGCTAATATAAGTATTATAGTAGATATAAAGTCTGCTAATATAGCTACTATAGTAGTTACAAGGTTTACTAGCTAAGTACTAAGGTTCTTATACAGTGGATATAAGATCTGCTAATATAAGTACTATAGCGGATATAAGGACCGCTAATACAAGCGCTACAGCGGATACGAGGACTGCTAATACAGTTGCTTACAGTAGATACGAGGACTGCTAATACAGTTACTACAGTATAATATAAGATCGCTAAGTACAGTCACTATAGCGGCTGTTACAGCGGTTGTGACCGCTAATGCAATTACCCTAATAGGCAGCTATAGCAGATTAGGCCGGTAGCTTTAGTAGGCTTCCAGCTTTAGAAAGCCCTAAGTTAGTTATTTTATTCCTTCTTACCCTATACTAATCTAAGATTATTTAATTAACTAATATAGAGTAACCTGATCTACCCTATAGTCTATAGGGTAAATCTCAATATAATATAAAGAGAAAGAGTATTTAAAAATAAGCTATATTAACTAGTTAGTTTAACTGCTTAAGGGATTATTTATAATACTATTATATTAATAATTATAATATATAGAATTTTAATAAGATTAATTTTATAATAGAATATCTTTAAAAAGAAATATTTATCTAGATCTTTACTAATATTAACTAGCTAGTCTTAATAGATATATATAATAAAGTTATTATTATAAGTATTAACTATATTTTAACTACTAGAGTAATTATTTCTTTCCTTCTTATTACTTCTAGTATTTAAATTCCTATTAAATAGGTTTAGAATAATCTTAAACTAAATACTATTATTTATATAAGTATAAAGGGATATATAACTAATATAATTACTTTAGAATAAATTAAGTATTTTAATAAATATATAAAACCTAATAATTCTAAGAAAATCTAGATCCTATTAATAGATAACTAAGAATATTATCTTATAAATAAATTTATTAAATATTATTATCTTAATAATATTATACTCTTTCTATTACTACTAAATTTAATATATTATCTTCAGTTTTATAATATTAGTATTTTTAGCTTATATAAGTATTAATATTAGAAAGTATTATATTAAGAGATTATAGATAGTATTTATAACTTTAATAAAACTAACTTCTTCTTCTATTTTTAAGAAATATAGAATTATATATTTAAGAAGTTAAATATTCTTTTAGTATAGAAGTAATATAAACTCTTTCTATTTAATCTTTCTATTATCTTAAATATTTTAAAAGGTTAAGGCCTCTAGTATAGGGTAGACTAGCTATAGAGTAAGCTGGATCTAGAGTAGGTATAGCCTATAGGGTAGGCTGAGGAATACTAAAGGGATTATTTTAAAAGATATAGTAGAAGAAGTAGCTTACTAAGTAAGAAAGAGAGGCTTTATTAGCTATAAAGTAGCTAAGAGAATAGACTATAGGGTAGATAAAAGAGTAAATTAGTAGCTTAAAGAACCTCTATCTAGTAGAGAGAAAGCTCTATATTTATAGATATTTTAGAGCTCTAAGAGCTCTGAAGATAATATATTACCTTCTATAATATAGACTTATAACTACTATAAGGTTCTTATATAGTAGATATAAGATTTACTAATATAAGTATTATAATAAATATAAAGTCTACTAATATAGCTACTATAGTAATTATAAGGTTTACTAACTAAATACTAAGATTCTTATATAGTAGATATAAAATCTACTAATATAAGTACTATAATAGATATAAGAACTATTAATATAATTACTATAGTAAATATAAGAACTACTAATATAGCTATTATAGTATAATATAAGATTACTAATATAGTTACTATAGTAGCTATTATAATAATTATAATTACTAATATAATTATCCTAATAAGTAGCTATAATAGATTAGACTAATAACTTTAGTAAACTTCTAGCTTTAGAAAGCTCTAAATTAGTTATTTTATTTCTTCTTACTCTATACTAATCTAAGATTATTTAATTAATTAATATAGGGTAATCTAATCTACTCTATAGTTTATAGAGTAAATCTTAATACCCCTTCTAAAGGAAATAATTAAGTTAGATCCTTATAGTATTTCTTTAGATCTAGTAGATCTCTAAAGATCTATTAAAAAAATATAGTTAGTAGTTTAGTTAGCCTATTAGTAGGTATAGCTTTAGTTTTTAGATAGCTAAAGCTTATTAAACCCTCTATAATTTAAACTCTATTATAGTAGAATTTTAGTAGAGTATACTTAGTTCTAATATATAGAGTAGGATTATTATTTATAGCTATATAACTCTAGTTATTATAGTAGATAGTTATAGGGGTTTTTAGAGATTAGTTTAGCTCCTTATAGAGCTCTTTTAGCTACTATAGCTCTCTAAGAGCCTCTATAAAGCTATCTACTTTAGCCTCTATAGTAGATAGGGCTATAATAGTTATTTTCTTAGCTTTCTAACTAATAGAGTCCCTAGCTAGCTTAAAGAGATATCTATAGGTAGATTTACTAGTAGTTTTATCCTCTATAAAGTTATTATTATAATAGCCTTCTAGGGGCTTATTTAGTAAGTAACTTATAGTAAGGTTTTTAGTATCCTTTAGATATTAAAATAGTTTTTTAATAGTTTTTAGATAGATTTTATAGGGTCTATATATAGTCTAAACTAACTACTAAACTGAAAAAACTATATTAAGTCTAGTTTAAAGTATTAGGTATATTAAAGTCCCTATAATCTACTAAAATAGCCTATATTCTAGAGAATTATAGAGATCTATAGTCTCTATAGCTTCTACTATAAGCTTTATAAGATTAGGCTGTAGAGATACTAATAGAGGTTTTTCTTTAGTAATCTTAAAGGCCTATAGTACTTATTTAATATACTAAGGCTAAGAGAGATATAGAGCTTTCTTAGATCTATCTTAGTAAATTTAAACCTCTAAGAAGAAAACTACTAGTTCTTTATTTTCTATAGGGTAAACTCTATAAATTTCCTTCTTTAGCTTATTAATATAGTTAATTTTAGAGCTTATTATAAGATAGTTATCTATATAGATTACTATAAAAATAGTTTTTTTAGTATTATAGAAGATTACTAGATCTAAGATTAGAGGGTTAAAGTCTAGAGATTTTAATAGAGCTTTTAGAGCCTCTTATTATTCTCTAGGGAATTACTTTAGGCTATATAGAGCTTTTAATAGTAGAATAACCTAGTCTTTAGAAAGATTATAGCCCTAAGACTTAGCTATAGTAAGTAATTCAGAGCTTTTCTTTAGTAGCTCCTTTAGATCTTTAGGGAGCTTTATATAGAGCCTTTTAATAAGTTTACTATTTAAAAAGATATCTATAAAGTTAATTTACTTAATATTATAATTATATATAGCTACTAGAGCTAATAGTAGTCTCTAGATCAGAGAAATAGCTATAGAAGTAAAAGTTTTACTATAATCTAGACCTTCTACCTATAAGAACCCTCTAATAATAAGCCTAGCTTTATATTTTAATAGTTTATTATAGGGGTTAAGTTTTAGCTTTAGTATATA